TATAGCAATATTTATATGTATTCATGCTACAATGAAAGGATATTAATATTTAAGTATCATTCTTCAGATACCTTTAATTCATACCAAAAGCTGTTCCTGAACTGCTTTTGTCCCTTCTTTAACTTGTGACATCATCGACATATTACTACACTTAAACATAAAAAGTAAATAAGAGAATTGTGACGTTTTTCAAAAGAATCCGAATGAGTTATTGTTAAACAATCTCCTTTTCAAATAATATTTACCTTCTTACAAATCCTAGTGTAAAATACTTCAAGCTATCATGTTATTCTTCATTCTTGAAATTTGCTTTTCGATTACAAATTATTTTTCCTTTCTAAATATTTTAAGTCACAACTTTAACTTATTTTAATTACGCTTTTTGAAAGAAGAAATATTTGATTAAAACTTTTTCTTTTATTGTTTTATGAATTTTATTGTCGTTTGACCCAAAATTATATTTTAGATACGTTTTGTATCTCATTAAGATTCTTTTTATGCGTAGATATTTTGTCTTCGTGCATAAAATTTACATTGAAAATTGGCACAAAAAATTTTTGCGACTAGGTGATGGAAGGGAAAATTTTCAAAAATGTTTAAAAGATTTCTTTGCTTTTAATTTCCCCTTAAAATTAAAAAATGATTTTTTGTTTTGTTGATGTTTAAGCAAACATTCGGCTGTTTCCAACCGTGTTTTGAATCCATTTCATGATTTTAGATGAAAGATTGGCGAAGATTGATGGTTTTGTCGTGTCTTGACAATCGCTCTGTTTGTTTTGAATACCATTAAGAAGCCATCTTCGGTGATAGCTCGAGTAACAATACAATGCTGCACCTTTATCGTTCTGAAAGGTAATAAAATGATGAGATATTGATTTCCTTCTATTTTTATATTAAACTTACGAAACATTCGCTGCTTAATCTGTTTTGATGTGACACGCAAATATCATCAGATGGTGCTGTACAATTATGTTCAACAGAAACGATCTTTTCATACTTCTCATAAGCATTATCTGTAAATATTTTCATGTTTTAATTTCCTTCAAATTTTCTCACATTTTAATTATTTAATTACTTGATTCAGTTATCAACCATCCAGTTGTTAAACATTCTTTCGACATATCTACACGTTTCTCATTAAGACAAGCTGAATAAATTTGATTTGTAAATGTGAGAACTTGTTTCAGTTCGAGTAATGCAAAGTCACTCTGAAGAAAGAATAAAAAATTAATTAAAATTCTGATGAATGGAAAAGAAGATGAAAACTTACTTCAGGATATGTTACAATGTTTCCAATTAAACTAATGACGCTATTCTTGCTGATCTTGCTCATGTTCAATTCAGTACTTCCAGCAATTAAAATCCATTCTTGATCCGGTTTACTTACGCAATCAGCACTTGTCATGGCCCAAAGTGGAGAAATGATGCTGGCAGTGCAACGTAAACTTGAATCGCGATTGACAACTAAAGCTATGCTTGCAAATTCACCAGAATCAGCGTTTGATGTTGAGTTAGCACCACATTCTAAATGAATTAATTTAAATTAAATTTTATAAGAAAATTTTGTTAAGAAGAATGAAAAATTTTACCGTAATTTGTACACTCAATTTCAACTAATCCATCATTGCATGATTCAACAAACTCCAAATCCTCCAAACCTCCCGACTTTGCAATCAAATATTTATCATCATTAGTTGCTGCATCTCTGTTATTCTTCCATCCATCAGCACCAGAGTATCCCAACTTATTGCAAACTTTATTTGACAAATCGCCTGTCCATGATGTTGCACAAACTTTAAAATATTTATCTTCTTTTTTCACTTGAAGAATGTTTGTGTTGTTGATGACATTAAAGCAATTCCATTCATCAGAATGATCAGAACATTGAGCTTTTCCATCACATACTTTGAACAGTGAAATGCATTCATTTCCAAGCTCACATTTGAACTTTCCATCCGAACATAAAAGCTTATCAAATCCATTATCAAGTTTTTGTAAGAATCCTTCTTTGAACAACTTAATTTTATCTTCAATGTTGTCAGCTAACGATTGTTGAGTCTTCTTCTCTTCGGTGGTATTCTTGAAGTAATTATCAGGTAAAATTTTGGCGTTGCGTGTAGCTGACGTCTCAGTCGAGTCCGAACTAGTCGAAGGAAACGTCGTTTGCTCTAAAAAATGACCAGTTGTTTCAGTCTTTTCTGTGATCTCATTTTCACTCGTTAAAAGATTTGCTTCTGTTGTTGTCGTCAATGGAAGGACTTTAAGATTGTTGTCTTCGAATTGTTTGAAATCATTTAAAGTGATTCTTGAGATGATATCATCGATAATGCCGTCATCATTATTCAAACTTGTTGAAGTCTCAACTGTTGAATCTTCCTTCATTGTTGATGATGTTGCCTCACTTGCTGCTGTTGTTGTTGTTAATGGTTCAGAAATAGTTTGGAATTTTTCATTTGGTCCTAAAATGAATTCAGCAACTGATTTTATAAGAGAATTTGTTGTCGTTGATGATGATGAATCAAGTGATGACGTTGTTTGAAGCATTTCAGTGGTTGTGGATGGGACTGGTGTCGTTGAACTTTCTACAGCAATTGGTGAAAGTGAATCGGAACTTTCAGATAAATTTGTTGTCAATTGAGATTCAGAAGTTGTTGTTTCATTCATTACAGCAATTGGAATTTCCGATGTTGTTTCTTTCTCGTCATTTTCATTCTCAACTTCAACTTCTTCACCAAAGAGGTTTTGATTTTCTTCTTCTTCTTTTTCAACTTCTTCATCGGTTTTTTCAGTCGTCGTTGTTGAAGATGATTCGGTAGCAGTAACATCAAGAAGAATTGGCAATTGAGTGGAAGAGCTTGAAGCAGCTGTTGTTGATTCAACAGGGATAACAGTTGTTGTTAGTGGCACAACTTTGATTATTGGAGAGTCAGTATGAGATTCATTTGAGTACGAAACTGTTATTGAAAAAGTTTTGTTGGCATCTTCAGTTGATTCTTCTGACATGATCATTCCATGTGCACCATTGAGAATGTGATGTAAAGTTTCATTATTCTCAATTTCTGGTAAGAAAGGCGATTGATTGTGCGGAGTTTCAACTTCTGAAACATTTTCAGTAACAGAATAAATCTTTTCATTCATCTTCTGATTAACATTTTCAACTATCGGTAAGAACGGTGACATGTCATGAGTTTCAGGTTCAGCTTGTGTTGTGTTCTCGGTCGTCCAAAGTTGGATTGGTGTCGATGTTGAATAGACTGTTCCATTATTTTGTGATGATGATTGTACAGTTGAATTCATATCGAAAACATTGACGTCATTCTTCAAATCTTTTGATCGTGAGACTGAGAAATAATTTTCTGTCGGTCGTGGAGTGTCTTCAACTTCTTCGATAACTGGTTTGCTTCTTGCCGAAGATTCGTCAACTCTTTCTTGTTCTTCCTCTAAAAGTTTTGATTTCTTGTCTCCGTTGTAAATAAATACTGAAGAATTCTCATTAGTTGTGTTCGTAATTGTTGCTTTTGAATCAGAATCAGGTTCGCTTGATGGTTCTAGTTCAGATTTTGGTTCGCTTGTTGCTTCTGGTTCAGATTTTGAGTCAGTTGAAACATGAACGTGAATATGATCATGATGATCATCTGCTTTTGGTTCGGCTGTAGGTTCAGGTTCAGAAACTGGTTCGCTTGAAGGTTCTGGTTCAGATTTTGGTTCACTTGTTGCTTCCGGTTCAGATTTTGAGTCAGTTGAGACATGAACATGAATATGATGACGATCATCATCAGATTTTGGTTCGCTAGTTGGTTCTGGTTCAGATTTCGGCTCACTTGTTGGTTCCGGTTCAGATTTTGGTTCGCTTGTTGCTTCCGGTTCAGATTTTGGTTCACTTGTTGCCTCCTGTTCAGATTTCAACTCAGTTGAAACATGAACATGAACGTGATGATGATCATCATCAGATTTTGGTTCGCCTGTTGGTTCCGGTTCAGATTTTGGTTCGCTTGTTGCTTCCGGTTCAGATTTTGGTTCACTTGTTGCCTCCTGTTCAGATTTCAACTCAGTTGAAACATGAACATGAACGTGATGATAATCATCATCAGATTTTGGTTCGCCTGTTGGTTCCGGTTCAGCTTTTGGTTCGCTTGTTGCTTCCGGTTTAGATTTTGGTTCACTTGTTGGCTCCGGTTCAGATTTTGGTTCACTTGTTGCTTCTGGTTCAGATTTTGAATCATTTGAAACATGAACGTGAATATGATCATGAAGATCATCATCTGCTTTTGGTTCGCTTGTAGGTTCAGGTTCTGATTTTGGTTCGCTTGAAGGTTCTGGCTCAGATTTCGGTTCACTTGTTGCTTCTGGTTCAGATTTCGAATCAGTCAAAACATGAACATGATGATGTTCATCATCTGCTTTTGGTTCGCTAGTTGGTTCTGGTTCAGATTTTGGTTCGCTTGTTGGTTCTGGTTCAGATTTAGGTTCGCTTGTTGGTTCTGAATCTTGAGATCCAAATACATGAATATGATGATGAACATGATCTTGATGAACACTTGTTGAATCATAATTTGAGTTTGTCGTTGGCTCGGGCTCAGATTTCGGCTCACCAGAAGGTTCAGGAGCGCTATCTGTGCCACTGTGATGATGATAATGATGATGGTCATGATCATGGTCATGGTCATGCGATTTCGGTTCACCAGATGGCTCTGGCTCTGCTTTAAGTTCTTCAGAAGGTTCTTCAGAATTTGTTGGAGGGGAAACGTAAATTGAATCATAATCGTTGACACATTCTTTGAAATCGTCATCAAATTTAAATCCTTTTGGACAGGTGCACATAAAATCGACTAATTCGGCATCAAAGATACAACCCTCATCACATTCATTTCTGTCTTCGGCAGCACATCGGTCAGGGACTCTGGCAGTGCGAATTGTATTTTTATTCACAAGATATCGACTCATGAACAATTGATTGTTTCTCTGCAAGAAGTTTTGAATTCTCATACTCATGTCTTCAGCGGAAAGTTCAGAATTTGGATTCTTCCAGCTGACACGATAATCAACAACTACTGATCCGGATCTGAAAAGATTTGACGTTTTAAATACAATGAAAGGATATGAAAATTGTTGAATGAGAAACTCACTTGAGGCCAATAATCTTAATGAAGAATTCTTCATTGCCGTTTTCTGACAATGCATTCTTCAACTCATATTCCAAATCTTTTATGAGTTTCTTGTAAATTGGAGAGTTTGGATCGTTATATTCATTCGAATATTCAGCATTTGACAGCGTGATTTGACCTTCCAAAGTATTCGGCACTGTGAACATGAAATTCGATTTAGTTTATAACAATTCATAACGATTCTATTGTTGGCGCATGAAATATTCGAAATATTCAATTCATATTTTATACGAATCATTAATAATTAACATCAAGCAACAAATGAAGGAAAATAAAATTCTTACCGTATTTGATATTATCGTCAACTATCTTCGGTGTCATTGTCTCAGAGATAATTGGAGGTAGCGTTGGTTCTGTTGTTGTCGTTGTCGTAGTTGTGGTGCTTTCAGGTCGTTTCTCAGTCACAGGTGGATTGACAAAACCAGCTGCAGCAACAGTTTCATTTCCAGTCGATTTAAGGTTTCTTGCTTCCGTTGGTGTTTGTGATTTGTTAAAAACTCCCGCTGTTGAAAAATAAGTAATAAAACATGTTACATCACATTTAGGTTTCAAGCAATCTCATCTTACATGCAGCAAGAATGCCCAATAGAATAACAATTGCAACCAATCCAATACATAATATCCAGCACAGTCTATTCTTGTTGGGGTTTGCACGTTTATCTTTCGTCACATATAATTTCTCACCTCTGCGGAATAAAATGAAATGAAAGAAATGGTAAATTGCATAATCATAATAATCATATAAAAAAAGGGAAGTAAATAATCTCGAATTATATAAGTGCATAACAATGTTTTTTAATGGATATTGTAAAGGCAACATTCAAATAAGAATTAATAAGCGATAGTCGGGTAAGCTTCCTGATTATAAATATTTTAAGCAAATTCTAAAAATTCCACCAATGAACCCAAAGCGAAATGTTTCTCTACTTCCAAATGATGACTTGGTTAATGAATCAGCATGGAACGGGAATGTTATGCGAATAAAAGAAAGAACTAAAGAAATATTTTACAGGTTTTGAAGCTTTAGATACAAAATAAGAAGGAAACAATAATCTTCATCCCGCAAATCCCGCATAGAATAAAGCAAAAAAAATCTGAATCATGACTTCATTCCGTATAATTAAATGAGTTAAGAAATGGAAGTAGAGAATGGTAGAGAAGAGAGATACCTCGAGACGTTATCGATCCATTCGTTATAATTAACAATTCCGTATTCAGGAGATTCAATTGACAGTCCGTTACGATCAACGCCATGAAGCTTACGGGGTTTTGATAAGCTATAAGAATGCATTTTTGTGTTTGGTGGTTGTTTTGTGAATAATTAAAATAAGATTCTTATTTTTGCATTAAATGTTAAGAGAAAAAGTAAAGTTTCGAGAATTCTCACAATTATCTTTCCACTCACCTCATGTATTTTCGATGCTCATTAACTGGCACGAAATATTCATCATATGAATCATTCTTATTCGTTCCCATTTCAACATCACCGCCGTCCTTTTTCACAGGCAAATCATTGTTGTTGTTATGCTTGCCATTTGTGGCCGTTGGCTTTTTCGCATTATTATTATTACTATTAATATTTATTAACTCTAAATTAACAGCTTCTGCGAATTGAATAAGAACATAAGAAAAGAAAATATGTAAATAGAAATATTGAAGGTGTTAATTAACGTGATGACGATTGCAGAAAATGTAAAAATGTTGAGTTGTCGCTTTAAAGTATTTCATCTCACCTGCTAATTTCTTTTCATTTATTTGACCATTTTTATTTGCACTATTCGTAGCTGAATCATTTAGGCCGTTGCTGTGACCATTACCAAATGATGATAGCGGCTTTCCAGACGATTTCTCTGTTGCTTCGAAAGCTTTATTGTCAATGCCTTCAGGTTTTGACATTTCGACAGATTTTTTTGTTAACGGCTTAGTGTCTTCGTTGATATTTTGACGTGGTGATGGAGTTGGATGTGCGGGTGGCGTAATCGTTGAAGGGGTTGAAGTCGTTGAATCTACACTGTCGTCGCCAATAGACAAGGAAATTTCATTCTTGTATGCGTAATCCTTGTGCTCCGCATCCATGACGTGCGTTATCAATGGAGGTCTGCGAAAGTTAAAAAAAAGAAAATTCCAAAAGTGAAAAGAAAGTTCAAGTTATCGATCAAGTACGAATGGAAAGTGAATATCACATTTCGTTGTTTCGGGAAACAAGAAGAATAACTCTTTATCATGTTCGTATAATGATGATGATTGCTTTTTTTTTTGGCGAATGCAAGCGACATTGCTTTTTACTTTTTAACATGGTCAAGCACTTACTATTTACAATTTTCATAAACGAACAAGCGTTTCGGTATCATAGAGACATGTCATGTGATGTTATTGAAAGTTTTCGTATAACTATCATCGACAGTAACATTGAAACTTCAATTTAAAAAGATTTCAAAGAAAAATAAGCAGTTCTTGACATCACTGAGAGATTGAGTACGTATTGAAGATTGGAAACTATCTTGAGTGATTGTTTTTGTTTCGGCGGTTTTTGTTTTACACTTCTCAACTTCTTCACGTAGAGATACTCGAACGATGAGAAAGAAATGTTAAACATAACCGGTTTAATGATCAAATAAATGATTTCTTCTTTCTTAACAAATTTAAAAAAAAATAATATCGAACAAAGAATGTGAATGTTTCGAAAGCAATTTCACATTTCTTTCCTGCAATCTTTTGCAATAAGATTTCCGATTATTTGTCTCAATCGCTTTTAATGAAATCAAAATGACTTCCAAAGATCCTCCACTATTAATAATACTGTTTTAATTAAATAATAGAGTGAACAACTTTCATTCACGTCAAGAGAGTTAGTTAAATGCTGAAAAATGTCAAGACGACGTTTCATCTTTAATTCATTTTTCTCTGAAGTGATTAAAATTCAGTTCATTAAATATGTTTTTTCCCTGAAGATTTTCATAAATGACGTCTTTATGATTTACAAGTTCAACTGACCATAAATCTTTGTTGATATCTCAATTTATGAATTTGCCAACTTTCGTTCATTTCTTTGCCATTTTCAGTGTCTAAAATATAAATTACGACGCTCATTTGATCTCGTTAGTGCTTCTCATTGTCATTTTTATATTCTTTTTTATACAATTAGATATTTTACTTTCAATTCTTTGAATCAGACAATTATAATTCCGAAAAATATCAAGAAAAATTATTCATTCGTTTTATATTTTTTGGAGTTGAGTTAAGTCAGTCGCCTTAAAAAGCGGCAAACTGGTTTTTATTTTTGCTTCAATTCGACATCAAGAATCTTCTTGTTTCTTCTCTTCTCGCACTTATAAAAGTTCCAACGAATAAATATATTTGGCAAATCTTGTAAGAAAATTCAAGAGATTGAAGACCTTTACAAATGCTGGTTGAGATCAGTGGCATCAGAGACTTTTGCGGCTTTTGCAATAAAATATTTTACAGGCTGTTGCCTTTCATTTAGCGTGCTTCGGACCACTCGACTTAATTTTCAAGAATGATTATCGTCATGATTCCCAAAATAAATTAAACAACAGAATAAAGAACAAAGAACATCTTAAATAAGCTTTAGAAATTCCTTTAACAACCAGAAGAAAAATTAGCTCTGCTTCTTTCTTTCATGCTTTGATGACTTAAATACAACAAAGAATGAAACCTTGAATGATCAAACGAATTTACATTTTTATTTAAAGCTGCTTGAATCATGTTATTCGATGCGTTTACTGCGGCCGTTTTTATACATTAATATTAAAATGATCTGTAAATATTTTCCCTTTCTCTTCGTCTCCAGTCTCTACACATTTAATCGCCTCGTCTCGTCTCGCTTTAATAGACAAATTTCTCGGAATATTACCAGAATTTCTACTTAAGTGTCTAAGCAGTAATGATGATGACTTCTCGTCTAACAAGATGAGAGAACGAAACTCTCGCTGTGATAATGTTATAAGATTTAAAACTCAACTTTACTCAGATCGTTTCGTGTTGTAATCCAAATTGAAAGTTACCAGACATTCATGTCAACTACTTAAGGAAAATTTTAATGAAAAACTTGTTTTAACATTTTTTTCTCTTCAAGAAAACCGTAACCAAAAAGCATGTAAAGTCTCTTTTTTTACTTCTTTAACATTTAAGTTGTAAAGCCAAATATATCATTTTTGAATATTTATCAGCTTCTTTAAACCTGTTATCATCTAAAATGTCTGAGGTCGTCAACAAATTATGATAATAAGAGTGAAAAAAATGTTGAACAATAAAAATAGTTTGTCTTATGTATTGAAGATAGTCGTCTATCGTTTCATAAGCATCTTCTCCTATAACAAATCTAAAAGAAAGTGCAAGTGGGAAGACGAAGATAAAGAAGAAGAAAAAAAACGAGATTGCCAAGAAAAAGTTATGCAGGTGGAACGAAAATTGCTTTGCGACATTTCCCCCTTGCTGGAAGTTGCTTCCTTTCTTTCTGAAATTTTTATGCTTATGATTCACCCCACATAAACAAAAGTCAAGCTGTTGACTCAACACAACAATGCTTTGTTTCCTGTTCTTATTATTAAATCAAGAAAATAAGAAGAAGATGAGAAAACCTTCTGTAGTCAGCAAGAAAACAAATCATTTCTCAAAAAAAAAAAGCGCAAAAAGGGAAGAATGACTTCTGCTTCAAAGGTTCAACTGGTTTTTTGTGTTCTTTTGTTCTTCTTTGACCACCAAAGCAAGTTGAAATACTAAGCGATGCGGAACATTAAAAATGAATTGGGCAACGGACAACAAAGCGATGAATCTTCGCGTTTAGTTATGCAAAAAGAAGCTTTAAAAGACATTTGAACCAAATGAAGCTTAATGCTTTTCACATGAATTTGTCTCGGATGGTTTAACAAAAAATCCGATTCCAGAAGCGAATAATTTGTATCATTATTCATGAGAAATAATCTTTTTTTTTGGCGACTTTTTTCCTACTTACAAACTTAGTTTCCATCTTTCTTAATTACAGTGCTGAGGTTTATGAAATATTTCGGTAACAAAGTGTAGTGATAGACAGTTGAATGGACGAAGCAATTGAATGTTGCTCTATTTGTAACCGGTAACATTCCAACGAGTACATAAATTCCGTGATTATAACATTGAGAGTATTAAAAACATTCATATTGTCAATTGACCAAGTAATTTAAGAGAAAAAAATAAATTTTTAATGGAAAATCCATGAAATTATAATTGAAAACTTTTTAGTGAATGAAGATTTGATCACGTTAAGTAAGACAGTGAGATGAGAAGTTTGACAAAGTTGCCAACAGACGCAACTCCATAAATAGATGCAACACATTAACATACTTGAATGATTCAAATTTCACTTTCATCGATATATCGTTGATAGTATATTTACATTGATTTATCAAAAAACAACAAACTTACGTAATCGAATGGATTAAGTTTCCATCTAATCAATTTTGTAAAATGAATTAAGATTTATACCTATTTGTTTTGTTTTAAAAGTCATTCAAACGTTTCAGTTAAAATGAATTGCTTACAATTTGCGTGCTTGTTTTTACGATTGAAACTTTTCATCGGTTGATTTTAAAGTTCATTAATATTCTAGCAACTAATTCAACGACTGCTTTGTCACACAAAAGAAGTGGTCAGCAAATTGAAATATCTGAATAAATTAGCCAGCGAAAAAATGCTAATTACATGAGATTAAGCCACTAACACTGACATCCTTTTAATTTGATGCTGATGAGCGACGTAAATAGTGATGTTGAAATGAATTCAAGCTTTTAGAACGCGGCACCATTTTAGGACAAATCTAATCAAGTTAAGGAACAAAATTAACTTCTTGAGATTTTATTGCTGACGCAATATTTCTGCTTGAGAAGACATGCGTGAAATTTCTTTCCACCTTTGATTCTTCAACATACAACGACCTGTTTTTATACTTAATCATCTATAATTTCAATTAAGAGAAAATAATGACGGCGACAAGTGGCGTGAAAAATTTGTTGAAAATATTAATTGGGATTCAATTACTTAGTTGCCCTTGTTGTTGACCTCATCGGTTTTCTCAATTATGTATGCGGCGAGACGAGAAGAAAAATAAATCTTCGAACAATAAACATAAGAAATTTTATTCCGTAATTCATTGAAAGTAAAAGTGCAAGAGTGATTTGACATACTTCAACTCTCGTATTAGTGTTGTCTATTCAGACCCGAAACGCTTGAAAAACTCTTTTTTCTCTCTCAGTTTCTTTGCCTTAACCCGCTTAGCTTTCGATGCAACGCACCTTTTTCTAGCCTCGTTGACTTTTCATCGCAATGGCATTTTTTTAAGTGTTTGTTGTATAGTTTCTGCACTCAATTTCCTTGCTAAGCATGAACTAAACTTTTGATTAATGACTCTTTTAAAAATAAACTAAAAAAAATGAGAATTTCAAGTACCAACTTGTCGTCGCGACTGTAAATTGCATGGAAGTCATGTAACACGCTTTTAGCTTAGGTGAACAGTAAAAAATATAATCGAGGCTTAAAATTCATTAAACGTTAGTTTTTTTCCTCACTCTCCTCGAAATTAAATCAATTTATCTGTTCAATTAATATTTCTTTCAACTGTTCGAATTTGCAACATGTATGAGCTGAATATTTGTTTCGCTTGAATTAAGCAAACTCTTCACAATGTCTGAGAAAGCACATTCCACATATTTTAAACGTTTAGACTTCGAAATTGGCTTCATGTTGGTAAATATTTCAAAGAAATTTAACGGCTAGCTTTATACTTGCTAAGTATGTTGATCAAAAGCCGACATTTGATACTTTGTCATCCCACTTTATGAGCTTTAAAAGGATGCTGCGTCATTGGAGATCATATAAATATAAACATGACAATTCCTTGTGCTGATTAGCAATGTCATACGATCTACTTAACAATCACCGTGTCACTAAAATGATAAATTAGAATATAACCCTTGAAATTTATTTTTTTACAAGCTTACGCATATTTAAATGCGTCGACATGCATTTACAAAATATTGAACAGGTCACAATCCAATTATAAAAACATAAAAATCAGCGATTGAAAAAGTAATAAAAAGTCAGCAGTTTAAATAGCATTGCGAAACTGCAATCCACAATGTATTGAATGTAATTGAAGGCTAAAAAAGTATTCGATCATTATTATTATTGTAAGATGACTTCTCAGGTTTTCAAAATATGATGCAGATGCCATCAACGCTTTTATTTCTTTTCTCACTGATATTTCCTGCAATTATAAGCATATCGAAGATCGTTTGTTAAGGTCGAAGATTGTTATGGTTAAAAATGAATCGTGCTGACAAACATTTCTAACAAAATAAGATTCGAATTGCGATTGCTAATCTGACTTCAACTTCCAATTTTATATTCTTCGCTTAAGATTCCAAAGAATTCATTTTGCAATTCGATTACGAAGTCCCGAGGAATTCTTTTGCGCAATCTCATGTTTTATGCCAACCATATTCAATATCGATATTTTTTTATTATTTAAATCTGTCGCGAACGAAACCTGATTTGTGGGTGTTTAACGAGACAAGAATATCAATCGGTTGAATGAAAAGAAAAAGGAATTGTCAACGATTCTGGTAAATTGGTGTTACTTTATTAACACTCTGTAAGATGAATTGTTCTTTACCTATGTTGAAATAAATACAAAAAGTTTAATGAATAGTTGCTTTGCAAAATTATGACATTGCTTATTAGATAATAACCATAATTCTTCAATTATTTACGCTTGTAGATTTTTTTGATACAAATTTTCTTAACAACATTAACTTGAATTACTCACGAAGCTTAAATTAACAGCGGAAAATTGTTGTTTATTTGTAAGAAGCGCGCGACCATCTTCATTATTTCTTTTTTTCATTCAATAGAACTTTGAACACAAAAACAATCTCGCAAATTGCGACATCACAAATCTATCTTTAGTTTCTGCCTCGTATTAACAGTCTCATATATCAATAGAGAAGACCACGACGAGGTCATACTTATTTGTGAAGAATTTCCGAGTACAAAAAACGAGAATTGATGATTCAAAAGGTGAAGATTATTTATGGATCTGTGGATCATTTTTAATATTTATTTAGACAGCTAAAGCAACAACATCATGATCTATCACGATAATCTCTCCTATTTACCAAGGACAATTTAAAGATATCATTAAAAATATTGAAGATTTTAATCACGAATCGTAATGAACTTCGGTGATTGTTTCAAGTTTTTATTTTTTCTCAAGATCAACGCTCTTTATATCGTTAAATCAACATTGAAATCTGAGGATAAAGCGTCAAGAAAACTATTTCATTGTTTGTTAATTTTAACGATTACACGAGAAAGAAACTTAAGCGGAAATTTACATTTTTGTGTATCAAGTGACAATGTCGTGGTACAGAAAAAATTGTAAATTGATTATTGCACAAGCTGTCGCCAACTGATCCATAATTGATAGGTATAACTTATTTCTTCCTATTATTAACGATGAATGAATCGTTGAAACTCAAAGTCGGATGGTGGTTGGTTAGATGAAAGTCGTTTGTCATGTTCACCATCCATTGATCTTGAAATGGCCATTTGAACAAGAAGCGTTATTTGAGTTTCTCATGTTAAATGACATACTTATGCAATGAGCAGTAAACTGATTTATTACAATGCACTTTCATGCTTAGTTAATTAGCATTTAATGTTCGCTAAAATGAAGTCATAAAGATTTACAACCACAGTTATAATTGGAAGGCTTTTTTTTGTTAAGGTCTGAAATTTCAAAAATGTATCACAAAAATATATTTTGAGATCAAAAGTAAAAGTATTTGTCACCATTTCGAGATTTGATATCAATGTTGAAGTATCTCTGACTGCTAATATTTTATTTTGCAAATAATAAGTCAGCTATAAATCTGTTTCCGGAATGATTATTTAGACATCACGGGTTGATGAATAAATGAAGATAAAATTTAAACTTGTCGCAGATAATTTTTCAGAAAAAAACTAAAATAAAATAAATCAAGTTGAAAGCATTTGGATACCGGAACTTAAAATTTATCGCAAAAATATTCATTTTAGCACGTTAAACTTAAAGTTTTGTTTTAATTGCAAAGAATGTCTTCTCAACTCATTTATAAATTACTTATTAGCACATGGAGAGAAACTTGTTAAATTGTAAATATTTTAAACGCTAATAAAGTTCAAAGAATTCTTGACTGATTTATTTGATGACTTATTTGGTGACACATTAAAGCAGATAAAATCTGACGACGTAAACACGTCTTAATTGATGCCAAAAAAAGTCGTTTCAGTCTAAGTTCATTACGAACTAATCTTTAAAATGTCATCAACATAGCCAGCCATTAAAATTCACCAAACTTTCAGGTAAAAGCGAATTCCCGTGAAGTCATTAGATTGTTTAAGAGCAATCAGTAAGGTCATTGAATTTAACATCATTACCTTCCTAAACGCTCTCGAAAATTGTAAGATATATAAAACAATAAAGTGATTAACGTTTCATTCATCGAACAATACTCGTGACTTCCAATGAATCTTACATCACTGCCAAAAAATTTCTACGCCACCATTGAAGTCAATTGTCGAGTAAATACAACATGAAGTAATAAATGAGAAATCATCACTTTCGAGTTTCTTTGGTTGAATCCGTAAATGTGAAACGGGGAAGGAAACTTTGCAGCCACATGGTGATCATTGCGATTTACCATAAAAAATTATTGAGTAAAAATCTTAACTCTTTCCAGTTAGCCGAGTATGGATATGTGTAAAGTAAATTACAGATCGTAATGCGACGAGTCAGGGGCTAATTATTTTTGAATTGCGCAATATCCAGACATCTCTGTCTAAAGCCACTTCAATAAAATGCAAATGTTTATTTTATCGTCTGCTTACTTAAATGAAATGTTGGATGATTCAAAGTCAAGTGCTTTCGTTTTAATGCAAAATCGCAGGTAGGCATAGCCAAGAGTTGAGACGTGACTTCATAAATAGGATTATTTAATTATACTTAGCTTTTTGAAAAGCCATTGCAGTTTTAGTTGATCGATAGCATCGCATGGATAGATAAATTAAACATTATCTAAGAAGCTAATTAGTAGACGAGGAACAAGTTTGTAGTAAAAGTTCGCGTTAAAATATTCTGCAACTCTTAAAATATTCATTCATGCCCATCAGAAGACTTTATAACATTTCTTTCAGTTTTGTTTTATCGCTTTCAAAACTTTATTGAATGTTTTCGATTCGAGAAAAGTAAGATTTTTATGATTTCTTTTTTAACCCAACCCGTTAATCACACATCACATGATGATGTTATTCTACATAAAACGTACAAATATTGATGATGTTTACTCGTCAACGTGATAGGTGAGAAATAAATTTAACGACATTCGATAAAAGTCTTCGTTATTTATAAGCAGAACAACCTTTTTGTGTCTGAGTCTAATGAGAAGCTTTTCTCGCCCATACAACACGAAATGTATTTAGAGGAATAACTCAATTTGACAGCTTGTGCATTTGATTTCATTCAATCAGGCTGTGACCTCATTTTAGACCATCAAACTTTATAATCGTAGAAAAAAATTGTTAACAATTCACATTTGTATCATCTTGATTGCATATATTTAAAATTATCGAAGATTAAGTTGTTGCAAATGTTCAAACGTTTATTTTTTCACTTATATTAATTTGTTAAATAATTATTTGCTTCATGAAAAGATGTCATGACATCAATTGCAGTCAATCTGAAAGCATCTTTGAATATTTTGGTAAATAAAGAGACTTTGAAAATTTTTTGTGTAAAGAATTATGAAATCGAGTTAAATTAACATTTCTCCATTAGATTAACATGAGTTCAAGTTGCAAGGAAAGCGTCATATTTGATTTGTTGGTTGTTGCTTATGTACGTGCCTTCACTTCACCACAATTGCATTATTTAAGTCGAGCGTTGAGCGAGAAACAAGTCGATTTGCATTAAGCATTGTAAAGCACTAAGAAAATGAAACCGAAAGTGAATTTAATGCTGTAATAAAACCTGAAATCAAGTTGGAATCAAGAAAAAAAATTGCTAGCAAGAAGTTGAGAATTCTTGTAATATTTATAAAAAAAGTGATGATTCAGTAAATTCGTTTAAATCCGTTTTGTAAACAACGATTGCACAAGCAGCAATGACATTCCACGATTTAAGATTTCTCATCAGTATTGTCCTTACATATGGCAACATTTTGTCATGCTGAATAAGTCTGTAGGTGTAAACAATTGTTTCGAATCGTTCAGTCAAATATCAATTCTGTTTATTAAAAGTACACAAACAGATTTAAATGTCATTAAAGCTCAGTCAAATTAAATAAAAAGCAAAACGATTTTATATGCTAAAGTGCGGAATGTGATGAAGAAGCTTTAATTGCTGTTGCGTGTTTGAAAAGAATGAATTGATTTGACATGGTTGTAAATTAAATATAATCGAATTATTCAACTGTTGAACAGGATGTAAACAAATGATGCGAGAAAAGTAACGGCCGGCCCTTTGATTTCCCAAATGAAACTTTTTTAGGTATCGTGACATCTCGAACAAGTGTCCACATTTAAAACGATAAGGCCGTTCGCTAGTTCGTCGTTATTTTCTCCCTCTCACATCTTTTTTTTTCGATTAAATTAAAACAAATCTTGGAGTGTGATGGTAAAACCGGTCAATTGGAATAATTTTATATCGCAGCTTGAAATCGTGTGCTAGATAAATTATAACAACATCAACTCAAATCGATTAAAGACCTCATTAAATGTTATTGTAGCTTTCATCATTTTAATGCGTGTAGAATTTGTGCAGAATTTTTATTATTATTCATGTTATAATTAAACCAAAAATATGTCAACAAGGAAATATTTTCTGGTCAAACATTTACTCAGTCACGATGTGCAAAAAAAATTATTGAATTAAAGAATTAAACAAAAAGCCGCTAAATTAAAGAATTTAGAACTAAGCAAATATTTTTCATTAACATTTTAGACATCTTAGGTTCTACTTTATCGAAACAAGTCGGATTTGCATAACATCATGCCATGATTAAAATATTTCTGCTTTTTAAAATCATATTTCGTAGTAAACCGATGTAGTTGTGTGAAGTTTTTGTGTGGGAAAACACGTTTTGCCAATTATATTTAGAACTGATTTCCAACAAAAGTTGTAACAAAGAGTGGAAAACGAAAACGGAAATTAGTATCAAGTTCTACCGAGTCAAAAATTCTCATGTTTCAGCATCGTCGATTTGCTATTGCGAGAAGAAAAATTAAATTTTGCTTAACTATGACTCACTCATATTGCTTGTAACTGCTTTTTGTTATTATGGCTTGAGGCTAAGCGCCCCGCATTCTCATTTTTTTTCTTCTTTCTTATGCTATTATTATTTCTCGCCATTAAGAAATTATAAAAATGTATGCAATCGAACGGGGAAAAAAATTTGAATTCCAATGGTAAACCGTGAAAAATCGAAATGAACTCAAAGCTGTTCACTTTGCAAAATGTTCATGACATCGAAAACCTTTAGCATTAGTTGTGACTCCGGAATATTTGTTGGTGTCGATCTAAACGAGAATAAAGTTTTCGGACAGCGAAATAAAACTGAAAGTTTCTTTGTCCGCTATTCGAATGCTTTGGAAATATCTCACAAAACTTATGCTAGACGAGGTCAAGTGAACATAAAATCTCCATCCGTTACTCAAGAATAAAGTAAACATTCTAACTCTTCTCTTTCCACCTTATTTTCGTCGTTGTTGTCGTTTCAAGTTGCACAATATCAAGTCAAAAAAGCAGCAAACATGTTCTGGTTTTTGCAATTTCTGCCCTTTTTGTTTTAATTTTTCGTTCGTATTTTAAGAACAATGTAAGGCTATTCTCGTTTTAAATGCTGGTTGCATGAATTTGTTCTCACTAGAATCGATTTCACTCTTTATAATTTCTCTTAAGTTCTTCAGTCGTTTAAATTGTTCGTGTGGATTGTTAAGACGTCGCATGAGTTCATGGCCACAAGGTTCGCATTGAAGTTTTTCCACTCCAACTTCCAATTTCGTTGTCTGACACATGCACAGACAATTTACAAAGGTGCATTCATAATATAAGTTTATGTACGTAGTATAAGATCTTTGCATTTTTTGTGTGCTTTTTTTCGATGCGGTTTTTAACGACATAAGTGTGCAAGTTCCCTGTTTGTGTTCCAACATTGTTGCCGTTTCGATAATAATAAAAAATATAAATTTTTATGGACCGGTTTTCTTGCAAATAAAAAACATTTTTTACGATATAATTTGGAGATTTTTTTTTGATTAAACAACATTTGGGAAAAGGGAAGGAGTTTCAAACTGTTTTCCTTCTTGTTCAATTGAATCCATTCACTAGATTTAAATTGAAATTATGCTTAGTAAAATTCATAAAAGTATTACAATAATTTTCTTTTTATTCAAACTTCAATTCAATCATCTGATTCATTAAAATATTTGGTAATTCAATTCCTAGCGAGTCCACGACGCTAACCACACGAGTCATGTTGATCTTTGCACATGGTTAAAAAGTGAAATTAATGTTCAATTTCTCGAAACAAAAAGCTAAACTCTACATATTAATTAAATAATAGACTAAAATAAAATGATGTTGTAACAAACAACCGGCCTACGATATAAAGAAAACATTTTTTTGCTACCTAGCGGGGATAAAATGAAATCAAGTTTCTTTGCATAATCGTCTCCTTATACTTGACACGACTCATTCGACTTATTTTTCAGGTGGTCTCATCATTTTCAGTCAGAAAACAACAAAATATGTAAAAACTAAGACTCAGTTCATGCATGAAATGCGTCTGAGTGGTGGATGGCCATCAAATGATTTTAAATACTAAACAAAACATTCCATTCTGATGATGGGTTTTCGTATTTTTGGTTCTTCCAAGAAAGAAGAAAAAAATTAATAATCCTTCTCACATTTACTTCGCGTTTCCTTTGATTCATTTGATGATGCAAACATACAAAATAAGCTGCATAACTAACACAAAATTAATGTTTTTGAACATCAGACAGAAAGCTTTTTTTAGCAAATGTTTCATCGATACAAGAACGACCGCATGCGAAATTCTAAGAAATCAACGCTTGAGGAGCATACACCGGAGTTCTCGACGATGATTTCACTTTCGATGTTTTTCCCTGCAGAAAAATTCATCTTGCTCAACATCACAGTTGGAACTTGAAAAAAAAGTCCCAACAAATGACTTTGAATTGACTTTTTTCACTTTTTCTTCTTTTTTCCGTCTTTGCTTTATTTTTTTCTTCTACCTTTCAGGCAAGGAAACTACACAAAAACCTATCGAGAATTCTTTTTTTAAACTTCTTCTTTATAACCTGGCACTTTAGTTTCATTTTATTCGCTCATTGGTTTCACGTCGCGGCTGAAATCATCTTTAAATAATTTCCTAATAAATATTCAATTTTCTCGTTATTTAATCATCAACGCTTGAAGCGACAACATATTGAGCATTGAAAACGTTTTTCGATGTTTAATAATTGATGTCGGATGTATAAAGTGCTGAGAGGAATTTTCCTCAATTAATACTTTCTCTGTTTCGATGATTGAATCAATCTGAAAATCAAAGTTCGAAGTGTTGACATCATCCAATCGATAACAGAAGCATAGTTTCAGATATTTATGTACAAATAAAACTTTCAATAAATGCCATTCGTTTAACAATCTACATTTATGTTTCTTTGAAAGTGTTTTTCAACAGTTTCGTAACCACTTTTGAGTCTGGCATTTAAACAAAGCATTTAGCAAGTCGGCAAACGCGAAAATTGGTTTAGATGATCTTCTTCTTGTTTCTTGTTTTCGTCTCTTTATTTACTTATACTCGATCAATTGCGAGGTCTGCAAAGTGAAAATTAAATTCATCCAATCTTCTTCATTGTGAGAACGAATGTTTTTTGATTTTTTTTTCTTCATACCTAAACTCAGCGTTTTCTGCTGATCAATAACAAGACATTGGACAATTGAATCCTGGCTTTAAGACTCAAGATTCACAAGGCCGAAACCAATATTTTCGGTAACCTGCTTGTCTACAACTCTCATTACTTTGTATGAAACATGTAATTACCGCAGCAGCAAGCCGAAGGCACAACCAAATTTTTATTCTTCTTAATTTAATAAATAACGAAGCCTCGAATAGTCGAATGAGATGGCCAAAAAACATAACAAATTGATCAAGATGAGAAGCGAACAAAATTGTAATCGACAGATTTCCGCATATCGCGATCAATTTTCGTAGTTTTCCAATGATTTTTTATTTCTCGGGGACACGCGCAATTAAACAAAATTCCACTCGCGACCGTATGTCGATATCAAATATTTGCTGTTTGAAAACATGAGGAAATCATGAGTAGAAAAAATACAAGACAAAACTACACGATTAACGACATTTCTTAAGACTCGATTTTTCAATTTTTCGGCAATGTAGAGAGTGAAAAAATATTTGCTAATACACGATGTTATTGTGTTGAACTTCGATTTCGGTAAAGTCCACACGACAAAAATCTAATAGAAATGGCAACAAGCTTTACCGAACAGAGAAAAAGAGTCGATTGCCTTGAAGCTTTGGAACTTTTTTTTTCTTCTACTCTCCCTGAGTTATTTCAAGTCTTTGCTGGCATAAACGTGCACACATTCGACCGTCTTTCGCGAACAAAATTCGTTTTCTTCTTCTCGACGTTATGATTTTTAACCATTTTCTTTTGACTTATTTCTGACACGGAAAGAAAATAAGCTTTGCGTATATTTTAGCACATACAAGTGTGTGATGTTTAAGAATAAGTTTTTTTTTTACAGTGAAGACAAGCTTCTTAAAATTCCAACAGTTCAATTCTATGCACAGCTTTTTTGAAAAACGATAAAAATAATTCATTCTGCAAGGAGTGTAATTTAAATATTCCTTCACGCTCAACTTGCTTAATTCACTTCTTTTTATAGCATTATGCAATACTTTGTTTCATGCACTTAATATGACAATAATTAAGATAATTTTGATGTCGTAGATTGAGTTACTTCTTCTTATCTTCCGCAATGGAAATTTTCGAAAAACGAAAGATTTGAATGCCGCTTTAAATTTTTCTCAGAGCAAGCCAACGTTTTACTTCAATTACCTTTTACTTTCGTGCTGCGCTGGAGTTCATGCAATGATTAATCCAACTTTTTGCTGATATCCATTAAATTATTCTTGAGTTAAATATTTTTTAATTGTTTATCTGTTTGCAATAAGGTTATAAAAATGTGGCAGTTTCTTTTATTTATTCTTTATTCAATACGAGTTTTTAGTCAACACACCTTGCTTTTTTATTATAACACCTGATAATTATTAAATATCCTTTATATAAAGCAACAAGTTTTATTCACGTCCAACACTTTCAACGTTAACAGAGTAACTGAAGAGTCGTTAAAAAACTGGCAGGTTGGTAAACGAGAGATCACATGTTTCGCGCCATCTAAGATTCAAAAACTGTTTTAGGATTACAATGATAGATCATGCCGATGTTAAGTGCTCGGACATTTTTGTCCGTGACAAAACATTAAAACATTCTTCACTTCAAAGAAAATTGATTTAATTTAATTAGACAAGAAATAAAAGATTTAAAAACTTTATTGTCTGCTTCCTAATAAATCTGATTTATCTATTTTTTTTATTCAAATCGAATAAAAATATTTATTAATTAATTTCAATTATAATGTTTTGCTTTATTTCTTCCTTAATTTCAATAGAAATGTTTTCACATTTCAATATTGTAAATGAACAACTTTGATATCTTTTTCCTAGATCTATTTGTGTTTTTCAACAACATGAATGTAGAAAGCAGGATTTGGGTTGCTTTCGCCCAAATGTTTAAAATCTCCATAGATTTCATGATCACTTTCTAGACTGAAAATATCCTTCAACGTGTTTTTAAATACTTCCAGACAATGTGGATAGTATGAAAGACGAAACTCGCTAAATAAATTAAAATAATTTAACATTATTGTCATGAGGAGGCACATTGCGAGAATAATTTACCTATTTTCGCTTCCATTACTAATTAAATAGTCAAGGGTTACCATGTTGGGTTTTCCTGAAACATAAAGCACCGAAGTTTTGATATCAGTCATGTGTTGACTCTGAAATTTAAGAAAGTTTTTTACATGATAATCAGCAAATAAAAACACGACAATTTAATCGACACTTACATTATAGTAAATGCATTTGCTTGGAGTTGCTCCAGTTTCCATGATGTTATCGTAGTTTCTGTGATCGATAAGCAAGAGACCACCAGGCTTCACACATTTCTCAAAATTTCTTATCGCTTGTATTTGTTGTCGTTGATCTCCATAAGAGTCAGTCATATGAGCAAATGAATTTCCCAAGCATATTACAGCGTCAAAACCACCCTGAATAAAATCCTTGATGTCATCATAAAGCGTAAGCCAATTTGCCTCTTCAATTACTATTAATAAATTATAAATTAAATTTTGTTACTTGAATATCTGCTTTCAAATAATCTTTAATGTCTACTCACTCCATTTGTCAAAGTTACTTTCTTTACGACGATTCCAACGTTCTTTTAACGCATACTTTAACATTTTATCAGAGGCATCAACTGATACTATTTTTAAGAATATATGAGATTTATAAAAGAAATTTCTTAGAAGGAATAATCACTTACCAACTTCAAAACCCTCTTCGACTAACATTGTTGAGTCTACTCTGTAATTATAAGACAAACAAAATTAAAATGTATATAAAAATTATTAATTTCTTGATAATGTTACCCTGTGCCACATGCGACATCTAAAATTCGTTTACAGCCTCTGCTACGCAACAAATCAAGTAAAAAGTTTTTATAATTTTGTGTTCTCGACTTCTTGTCTCCAATGAAAATTTCCCAAACTTTAGCAGCTTTTCCATCAGCATATTGATCTCTTATTCCTTCAGCTGATATTCCGTCTGACCGGATAAACATTGTGTTCTCTGATTCTGGCATTTTATTCGCTGACTATCGATAATTCAATTAAAATTATAATTTTTTATTACGAAATTTCACCGTTCACCGAGAATTTCAAAACTTGACTGTGAGATTAACGTGAATCCACATGAATATTTATTCCAATGATGTGACGAAAATATTTTATTTTTCAGCGCATCATCGTTCATGATTATTCATTATAAATAAATTAATCACAAGTATAAAAATATTCCACTGATAACAGAAAACACGGAGTAATTATGTCTATAAATAAGCAACACTTATGTTGAGTCTGTGCATAAACTGAAATAATTTTAAATTTTTTTTAGCTATATTATTGTTTTAATTACATATTGTCTATGTTATTATTTATTTTCCTTATCTTATAACTAATTGAAGGCGCTTCGTGACGTTGAAAACTTGCAAACATACACTTATGTTTATATGCCTATCAATTCTCTATAACACTTTGATATTTTTTTATAATCATTTATTTTGATAAGAACAGTAGCAAAACGTGTTTACGTCTTTATTTAAAAGAAGGCGTGTATTGATAAAAGCCTCGATCACAAAACTGTTCACAATTTGTTATTAGGTACTTATAATGCTTTGTATTATAATTAAATATTTTTTCACCTCTTATTTAAAACATAAAAATAGATTGAAAATTTTATAACATGAAGTATTAATTGAAAACTCGATCACAATAAATAAGTGTTGGTAGAGTAAGAAAAATATAATTTCACTGTTGAAACTAATAAGCTTTTGAACTATATGAAATTGAACTTTTATAGCAAATCGAGCTTTCATATACAAAGCTGAAGCTTTGCCATAAGTGACTTTATCAATCAAAAAGAGATATAAATTTTAATCTTTAAGCTTCAAATCGAATTTGTCGATCGAGACAATGATTAATAATAAAATATAATTTACAATATAGTAACGAATGATCAATTGAATATTATTATTTAATTTTTTATGTCAGCTTTCATGCTTTAATTTTTATAATTTATTTGATATCATCAATAATTATTCTAATATTTTCAAGATTTTTAAATATTAATCTCCAGTCATTTTAAAACAATATTTGATGTGCTTAAATGTTTGTGTGTATCTGTAATATTGCTTATAAGAAACAGTGAATGATAGCAACTAAGGTTGTTATTGAAATGCTGTTTTGTTTCATTTTCCATGTTTCTGTAATTCAAGAAAGAAATGAGGAAAAAATGAAGTTGAAAATTGCGCGAAGAGAATTTATTCCGTAAACTCTTCAGTTTTCATCTAGCCGCGTAAATGTTCAGACGCTAAATATTAACACACTTCATTTATCTAATAATTTGATTAAGTCAATACAAGAACTTAAGTGTTTAGTGAAATGAAAATAATAACTGAATTTTTACTAACTTAACATTGAAGTTTAAAAAATATTTAAAATGAGAAAAGTTTATTACAAAAATTTTAGTGAAATCATTTAATTAAACTTTGAAGTTTGGATTTAACTCTTTTTCAAAGTGAAATTTATGAAAACTATTCTTTTTACAAAGTATTCAGTGTAATAATTTCTTTTCACGTTAATTAAATTTACTAAACATCAAACTTTGATTTCTTACTGAACTATTTTTCTGATCATATGAATTAAAGTTTACAAATATTCATTCTTGATTTAAATCATCAAACTATTTGAATTAACATAATTTTTTCTGCAATTATTGGAAACATCAAACGATTTAAATATTATTGTGAGTAAAAAATTACAATCAATTAAAAAAAACTTGTTAAAAGAATTAAAATAATGTTTGCGAGAATCTTTTATGATAAATGCAGCCAATGCCAAGCCCACAGATGTGATCCATTTCGGCGAGCTTGTAAAATATTATAAAGCATCGTAAAATTGCTTTTACTTAAGTAGCGTACTCAATAAATCAAGTTGCAATCATGATTCTTCAGTCATCATATTCCAGCTGCCTTCTCTACCTAGTTTTTAAATGAAGTCCGCTGCATTTTTTTTTTTCACACAAAACTATTTATTGACGAACAGAAGTTGTCAATTATTTCCTTATTTATTGGTCGTTTCCTTAAGTGTTTTCTTTTTCTCTAATTAAGACTAGCGGAGAAAATCAATAGTTTTGTTTTCACCTCATACCATAAGTGAAGCTCAAACTCACTACAGTTTGTAATAGAAAAATCTTTTGAAACATTGATCTTGTTTCTGGAAAACCATAACATTTTTCTTTCCAAATATTAAACAACGAAATATTTTATGAACGCATAACAAATGACAGCAACAAATTTTTCTCTAAAATTTCTTAAAACTTTGGTTTTTGTGTACACCGAAGAAAAAGAAATTTATAAAAAAAAACAATTCAAACGTTTTCGCTTTAAACTTCAACAGTTTTCAATGTCACGAAAGATTTTAACTTTAAATATCAAACGCTTGAGACAAAAAGCGAGTCCAATAGGAAACAAAAACGTTTTAAAAGTGAAAGAAATTGGTTTCAGTTTTAATTGCTGAAATTTCAACCATCAACTGGTTTTTGTTCTCTAGATGTAATTACATGCGCTTATGTTTAATGTTTTTCTCTTCATAATTTTCACAATCATGAGGGGAAGACATCAAGCAGATATCTAAATAGTTAATGGAAAATTTCTGTTGAATTTATTATTTATTTGACACACATTTGATCATCTTTCAACTTGTTATAGTGTAAATTAGATGTTAAATAAGTTTTTATGGTTTATCTTCAAAATTCATATAAAACTTTTAATGTTAGATACGTGTAAGTATTTCAGAAATTAAGGCTATCGATAAGTTTTACGATCGAGGATTAAAATTAGAAAATTCTGTAATGTACAGATGTTGTCCAAATTCCTTCAAAGAAATTACAAATTTATTTATGTTTTAAATTAATATTTGATTACTTAAACTTAACAAGACACACAAATGATGGTATGAAATTGCTATTACGTTAAATATTTGCTACGATCGTAAACTGAATCTATTAAATTATCAGCCTTAATTTAGTTTAAAGTGTCTTCAAAAATACGAACGCAAATTGGAAAGTGACGAAAACTCATTACAAAGACTAACCAACAGTAACTGTGATGCAATGAAATAGAGGCAAGAAAACAGTAGCTTTACTCTAACAACTATCTCTTAGTCTGAGATAGCATAAAAGTTTAAACGATAATCGCAAATCAAGATCATTCAAAACACAATGTGATTTAGGTGCTTGATGGAATAATGAGAAGAATCGTTCAACAAAGTGCTAAGCCTCATTGAATGGTTGGTTCTCAATTCTGCTTTTTTTCATACTTCACTGCTACTTTTTCATGGGCGTTGAAAGAAACTTACCGTTGATGACTTAAATGATGCCTCTTGAGTTTGATCTCTAATGGGAGAATGAATTTAATGTTTTTATTCAAAGCTTCAGTTGGATTTTTAAAACTTAGAAAACAATTTTAGTTGAAAACGAAGAACGAAGCATCTTTGAAGATTTGAACTGCAATGGAAATAAAAATTCACTTCATGTTGGGCAATTAAATGTTAAGTATTTTTTCTGCGTAAAACCATCAAACGTAACAGAAAGAAAATGAAATCACTTTTAACTACTCAGATGATAATTAGAACGAAACCGTAACTTGCAACTTTGCTTTCTTTAATTTAAATTTCGACCGCAATTTCAAGGAAGATCTTTGAAGCCATTTTTTAATCTTCTTCAGTCAATATGTTCGAAGACTTTTGGGGGTTCACTGATGAAATCGTCAATTAAATATTGAACCAGATTAACAAGAACTTTCAAAACGATTGAAAAGTTTATTGCAAGAATCGTTTTTACAATCAAAAATTTATATTTTATGACTACGGCAAATTAAGATAAAAGATTGCAAAAATTCACCGATCATAAATACGACACAAATTGAAAAATATTCACTATCAAATTTAAAAATAACTTCAGAGTAACAAGCATGACAGTCTTGCTGCTGATTTAACTAATGTTCAAATCGATGAAACTGACTGAAGTTCTTGAAGCTGAAAACAATTGTTGGATCACGCTAACAACTTCATTTTATTAAAAATTTCATGAACAGTTACTCAAAGTGATATAATTTAAACATCATGATTTTATAATTTAAAGTACCCGACTTAAAATTGATTTTACGTTAATAACTATATTAATGGCTATTATTTTGATGGTTAAGTGCAAGATCCTCAATAGCGAAAGAAAAATAAAGTAAATGTGAAGATGTAGCTGGAGAAGGGAAAGACCTCAACATTGTATTTAAACAGCAAGGACTGATTAAGAAATTTATGCTTTTGTTGTTAAAATGGGTGATCAATTGAAGTGAACATTAAATTGATTATGGTTTCATTAAAATGGGTTGAACATCTGCATAATCGTCTTGGTAAATTGTTTAAAATCATAGCATGTAAAGTGACTAAATAATAGTGATTGTAAATACACATTTCTTGAACCGTGAAATGTAATTAAAGAAGAAAAAAAAGTTTTGTTTGTTACCAAGCTCGTTAACGATTTTCTTCCGAAAACATTTTAATTAGCTCTCATTCTTCTAAGTAATGATATAAAACTTAAACATGATTTATTTGATTTTTATTGTAAAGTTTAATTCTGATGAAAAGAAAACAAAAATTATAAAGTAAAACAAGTGAGACTTCGTTACATAAATAATTTCATGTTAATCTTGAATTAATTGCTTTTATGTTAATATGTTGATATAAGCTTGCATTAAATTTGCATATATTTACAAACATTTCAATTCAGAAGTTATAAAGTCGCTTGATAACTTTTGAATGAAAATTCTTAACTCTCATTAAATTCGATTCACAAAAATGTTTTTTAAGCATCTCAATGAAATTTTAATGACTATTTTTTTTAAATTAACTAAATTTTCTGCTCACGACTCATTAATCTCTTTCTTCTTTCTCGTTAAATGTCACTCGCCTAATGCTTATAACATCGCATTTGAAATTTCACTTTTTCTTCTGATATTTCAATGGGCAATGTCATAGCTTTAATCTTGAGACAAATCTCAGCGATGATCAATGTCATAGTCACTGAACACTTTTAAACATCAAGAAGAGCACTTCCTGCTATAATTTGTAGCATTTATGGTTTCTTGTTAACGACATTTTAGTCTCACGCTTGGAAACTTTTAACAAAAAATTATCCATAAACAATGAGTTTGTCGTTCCCAGCATCTTGTCACAAAGATGCAACTGAAGACAGAAAGTTACGCAACAATGAGTAATTATTTATGATTAGCACGAGTGTGAATAACTTTCTCATTAGCTGCGTAAATAATAATAATAATAATTTCATTTTATTTTTGCATAACAAAGTCTTAGAAATTCACCAAACGAGTCTGAAACATGAACAGCTTGAAGCATCGCATTATGTGCGAACAATTCAAATAGATTACTGTCATGATATATGTACAGCAATAAACCAATGTAAAGCATTTTCAATTATAATTTGTCTTCTTATTTTTACTCTCGTGCTTCCTACTCATTTGAACTGTTCATAAAAATTGTTTCAATAACATCATCAAGTTTCTCCAATTATAATAGTAAACATTACGAATCTTATTAACAAACTATTGCCGATGGCTATTTGTTCTGTTATAGGCGACTACGTGACAAAAACTTGCATTTTACTCATATTTATAAATACTAATCCAACAAATGAAGCTATAAAAGTTCTTATTAACTGATTTTATATCTCAACTTTATGGCTTTGCTACTTTGTTTTCTTCTTTTCCATCTTTCATTCTTATGAGATTTATCCGTAATGAAATTAGCATTCATAATCAAATTCAATTGAAAAGAAATTAGCATGTGAAAAGAATCTTTTCACTCTTTACGATGACGTGATAGAATAAGATTAAAAAGAATCAAAAGCTTAAAGCAAGCGTAGGAATGTACTTAGGAATAGCTTCACAAAACCACAAAGTATATTGAATAATCATTTTTTTTAATGTTCATCGAATGAAAATTGCAGAATTTGCAATTATGTTGATTTTTTTCAAATTGGATTTCTTCCCAAGCATGGAAGATGAAATTTAACGCAAACTCATCATTGAAAGATTTAACTTATAAATTGATTTCCTCTGACTAAAAAGTGTTACTCTAAGAAAACTTTGGTTAGAAGTGTTACACAGCATCTGGCACGTTCTCAAGTCTGAATGAAGCTACACACTAATCGCTAATTCTTTCGCAATATTTAAACCGGGAAAACTGGAAATCCAAGCGGGATTTTCAACATCATGATGATGCTCCTTTTGCATGCTTCAATCACTTGTATGTGAACGCATCAAAAGTGTAGCCGTGAGGAGTGACTATTAGTCCAATCCAACCAGTTCTCGGAAATGAAATAAAATAAGAAGAGACATGCAATTTTCAATAAAACAATTACAATAGCTCACGCATTTCATCTAACTAAAATAAAGTTACTGGAAATATTTATCAAACATAATACTTTAAATGGGATTCATGCCAAAATGGCATTAATTTTATTCCATCGAATATTCATCAATAAGTTTAAATTATTCCTTACATGACAATGGTATTCGAAAGCAGCTTTCATGCATTTGATATTCTTTAGAAATTTTCTAAAAAATGTTTCAGAACATTGATGGCAAATAAAAACAATGCAACATTAAAATGACTACAAATCGGATTAAACTTTTCCTTCTTTCTTCTTCAGAGAGAGAACATATTATCCCTTGTAAATATCTAATGAGTTTGAAATCCATAAGAAAATTACGTTATCTTAAATTTTCCTTATTAAAGAATGTTTAACGGATACATAATGAAATAACTGTTAAGATATGAGATTAAATATTTCACTTTTGTTTGTTAACCAAGGAAGCATGTTTTGTGTAACAAACAAAGTAAGAAGAAAAGATTCTCATATCAATGCAAATGTAGTGAATCGTTTTCTTCTGACTACTCATTATTACGTTAGAGAACATTATCTGATTTACTAAACGCTATTTAGAAAGAAGAACATGGAAGTGATACATATTAAGTCACTGAATTTTGCAGCATCAATTAATGCCCTTAACATCTTGATTACAGTATAAATAAAAAAAAGAAAGCTGGAATAGTCATGTACAGTTATTATCGTATTACATATACCATTGAAAGACATCAGCTTGTTGAAAGAGTCTGCTCGTGCTATAATAAAATTGTTAATAGTCACGACACATAATTTTCCTATTTGCATTTCCTATCAGCTTTTTTTCTTTTCACTCAAGATAGATGCAAACTCACACTTGGCCACTTTATCTGAGTTAATTATTTCTCTGCAATCTTAACTTAAATGTTTCGTGCAGTTTTGCTTCATAAGTGGAAAAATTAAAAAGGAAAAAAAGAAATGAGAGAATTATAAAAGAATTTTTCAAGTTCATGATGTCAAGGCCAATTCTTCACCACAACCTGACGTCGATAGATTGAATATTTTTCTTTATTCTACTTATCCAAGCAAATATTTGCATTGTGCAATGTTCTATGAAACAATAAATTCCGTTGCATCTTCAGACAAATAGGCATGACACATGATTATCTCTCCGGCAATTTTCTTTATTTTCAATATTTTTCTTCAGCTATCAAATGGTTATTATGTACATCTGAAAAGGTGGGACAACATATTATTCAAGACTAACTCCTATGTTCATCCTCAAGTATCCACGCAAATGATATTACTACCTACAAATTATTTATGAAGCCGGTTTGCACAGTTACACGTTTTGAAATTATCATGAAATATTTTTCTACTTATAAGTCGTAACAATGAAAATTGTATGAAAAAGAGCTGAAAACAAATCAAACATTTATGTGAAAAGAAAGCAAGAGCAAAATGTCAATTGTTTATAAGGAAGAGAAATAAAAAATAAAATAAAATAATATTTTTATTCTGCTGTGTCGATAATCGACATATGAAACGAGAACAAGTTTCACTCGACAACAATCATTCTACATACAAACTAGAAAACTTCTCGGAAATTCAATCAAACGAATGATGGTGAAACGAAAGTTTTCAATTTCAGAATCAAATACCTACTTGGTGATATTTTGCGAACATTTTATCGACGATGACTTTTTTGTAGCATTTTTTTCTCGATACTTTTACTGAGAAGACTAAACGAGTTTCTTATTAAATATCAATGCATATCTGTGGCGTTTTATACTACCTAAGACAGCATTCCTAAGTGATTCTTTTTTATAATACAAGACGAGTGTTTGTTCCATCGAAGACAGGAAAATAAAAATCTATTTCATTTTTATTTATAAATTTATTGCATATTTCTTTGATATTTAGCTGATTTGCAGAGTAAAGTGAACCTTTCTATTCATTCTTATAAATAATTGTCTGTCTACATTGAAAGTAACCGGCATGAGACGAACCTCATTCTAAGTAGAAAAAACAATGATGGACATTGATTTCAATAGATTCATCGAGCAATAAATTATGTTAAAAACGACATAAAACATAAACGAGAAGAAATTTTTGCCTGTACAATGTTGATCCAGTATTACACATTTCACTGGATTTATTTCAATAAATAATGAAGGAAATAATCAGTTATCCGAGCTAAATCGATTTACAATTTTATTTCTTGTGCGATCGTTTCTTGCTTTTCTTGATATCGTTGTTACTTGAAGCTAGATAAAAGTTCTCAGTACAATAGACGCAATTTTCATAACTTTGTGAAGCATCTTCGATCCAATTAAGAAATTTATTTAAGCATTTAACGATGATCTAAGAATAGCTACAAAAATATAATTCAGAAAGACAATGCTATTCTTATTTAACTTCCTTGTATTTTATTGAAGGCGATAAAACGAAGAGATTTTCCATGCAAATGTAAGAACTTGTTCACCTCGTGATGAACCAAGCCATGGATTGATTTTCAATTATTCAGCACACTATTTATGGTTCAAGCTAAACATCTTTCTCGTTCCATTTCTTTTTTCTTGTGAAGAAGTAGAATGCTCTCGATTATTCATAATGCTTAGCACATGTATGAAGTTCATCCAATCGATTAAGTTTGTTCTGAAAATGACCCATTTCAATATTGAGAATTGTGTTTTGATTCACTTAAAGCTGGTTTTTCTATTTTCCTCTAACACAATTTTCCTTTGCTTTCATCTGACACACAACAAGTTGAGTCACTTGTTGATTTCACTTCAAGTATTGCAGTGAAATTGTTTTTATTTTTACTTGATCTTTAATTAGATTAGCATTCGGAAAATCTTTCCTCCCCGTTCATAAATTAAAGAATTGTGCCGATGAAATAAATAAGATCGTCGCACATGTTAAACTTCATCTAAATTAAGTAAACGGTATCTCTAGTTTATTTATTACTCTAGTCATGTTGGTTTCTATCTGAAAAATGTTTATGCTCAAGCACAAGATTTTTACAAGCTATAAAGTTTATTAATGGTTACTTTTTTTTATTGCTGATTGCTGAGTTTCTTATGGTTCGAAAAAAATTTATTGGAACATGAAATCAACAACAATGTTAAAAATGACGATGGTGGATCAACCAGCTGCAACCATAAATTCAATTTAATAAAATAATGAAAAAAAATCTACTCGACATTCTGTAAATGCGTAAATAATTCAACCAGCTGAAGTTTATTTATTCATTTACCAACGAATATTTAAAGAAAACTTTCTTTAATTGTTTTTAATTTGTAAATGCGATTGATGCCATTTTTTCAATGAACCACAGGTCGTATTTCTCCTTTTGAGGTAAATTTACTTGCGCCAGCCATAAAAGTGAAATTTAAGAAATTAAATTAACACTTTGATCTTATGCTGATTTTATGTAGATTTAATTTTAAGTCGGCAGACATTAAAATTTCAATATCTGCGCTAATTTTAATCTTTTTCTTTTAAGTCTGCACCGTCAAGTGTCAAGTTCATCAAGTTTTCTGTATACGATTGAATATCGGAGATTAACAGATGCACTTTCAACCTTAAAATTAAATTTGTACATCATATAAAAATTCCAAAATGAATTGTTGATGACGCAACTTCGGTAAAATCTCCTTGAAGATCTGAAAGAATGTTTGGATTTCAATTAGCAGTTCTTAAAATTTAATTAATGAGTGCGAAATTGGATCACACTGAGATACATAAAATTACTGTAATATCATCTGATGGAGTGTATTGTGTGATAAAAGTTATTATCTGTTAATAAACGTTAAACTTCTTCAGTTTGATTTGGAGAATTGAGTTCCGCTTATGCATGACTATTAGGTCAAAGAAACCATTAGCTTTGTTCTTGTACTTTTTTTCCATAGAAGATATTCACAACTGATTCATAATTCAATTCAAATCTTATTCAAAAATGTACATCTTCTAATTACTTTATTAATATTTTAAGTGGTGGACGTTTTTTAGGTCACACAAATCGGATAATTTTCCAAATGTGCTTTATTTAATATTCTCTGACATTCATTTCGGATTAGTTTGCTTCTTAGAAGCAATTATTCATGATTTTATTATTCGGTAATGTCTTAACATGATTGATGCTTCTATGAAGTGGTTATGAAAGAGAGAAATATCTTCACAGCTGTAAATTTATATTGCAATTCGATATGCTTCTTAAACACTGCTGCTAATTTTTGTGGCAAATTATCATGTTGAAGTCGTTTGTTAAAAAGCCTGTTAGCACATTATTAATTTACCTTCATTATTGATGTGATAAGTTGTACTTCTAATTAAACATTAATTTCATAATGGTTACAAGCCATGATTGAGGTTTATTAGATTAAGTTACACTTCTGCAAAGTTTTATCAAAAACGAAACATCTTCTAATGAACTAATTTGAATTCTTCCTTCCATTTCAGATTCTTAAATTAATTGAACAACACTTAAAAATAATGAAATATCGACAATGATGGAAGACTCAACATTTTGACTACTATCTTGCTTACATCACAATGCTTTTCCGTTACTGATATTCTTCTTCCTCATAATCATAAACATAAATCAGTACAACTCGGATGCACTGGATTCAGCTGAGAATGTTGTATTTAAAATGTTAATTCGATGATGATTAAATGACATTAGTTCGGTGTAAAGATGAAGCATGCGTGCTAATTGTCTCATTCAACTTAGAAGAAAAGAAATAGAATCAGTACATGCCACACAAAACTAACCTGAATACCATCACATCATCGCAATTTTCCAATATTCATTCATTGATATAAAGTCTATTTCTTTAACAAACTAAATTACAATAATTATGGTGACGGCAGTTTCTAAGAAAATGAATAGAAATTCATCCATCAAAACAACAACGACGACAATCATTGCAAAGAAAACTCTTGAATCAATTAATGGAAGTATTTCATCGGCATCGGGATTCAGACTTTTGATTGAAGCGAATGGAGGCTTAGGCAATATAACGTATTCAGGTGGAGGCGGAAGTGTGGGCATCGAAGAAATTTGCGAGACAATGTCGACTGTTAGCAAAAACTCAATTTATAAACAAAGGATCGATGCCATGTTTGATGATTCGAGGTAATTTCACGTGCCATTTTCTATTTTTTTTAAAGATTTTCTCTAATTTCCTAAAAGAATAAAAGCCCTGCTGTGAAGGTTAAAAGCCGTAGCTGTCAGTGCGTTGAACCTGTTGCTTAAAGCAATGAAACCATATGCTACCTGCTGTGAAAATCGCCAAAAAATAAAACAGAAATAGAAGAGAAATAATAATCATTGAATGAAATGTAACGAATTCGACATTGAAAAGCCATATGAATGAAGATGAAGTAGAAGATCTCCCAACAATGACTTCTACAATTTCTATTCTTCCGATTTTCGTTCATTTCCGATCGTACGGCGCCGCGTGTGAAATTAGGAAATATTTTAACATGAATTGGTTTTTTTTGAAACAATATCGAATTTTTTTATTTCTATTGTTATTAATCTTTCGGCAGTTGATGGTGAAGCAAGTGTTTCTACCCAGACAGTTTAATTATAGGTTTCAAACATAAAAGTTCTTGTGTAATTCATAACGAAACAAAAAATCATTAGAAAAAAAATCCAAAGAGATTTGCAAATTTTTGTGTGTTTTATGTCGGAAATTTTTGAATCACCGAAATCATTAAATGAAATCCACAAAAGTTTTGACAGTGAAAATAAATGTTTAATATTTCTCAGCATTTGTTGTGTGAAGTAAGGAAATTATTTTAGTTGCATTAATGAAATTTAAATCCAAATCAAGTTATGCAACTTGAAATTGTAGAAAACGCAGAGAAAATTATTGCAGAAAATATCTTGCGGATTGATGCACATGATCATTAATGCTTGTAAATTACTCGCATTCACGATACTTTCCGCAATGAGCTATAAGTATAAAAAGAATAAATATTATAGAAAGCAACAATTAAAAAAAACTTAAGCTTGTTGCATATCATCATGATTGATTAGCTCTTAAATAGAAATATTCAATAAATATGTTTGTTTGCTTTTTGTTTGTCTCTCGCGCGTTCAACTTACTTCATTTTAATTGGATTTAAATGATAATCTCTTTGAGACAATGCATAAATGTTAAGACATTTCTATACAAACAATTTCTTTTCAAAAGAAAGCTCTCCATAAACAAACAAAGCATAATAAATGTCATGTCATAAATCAAACACTTGTGCAATATAAAAGCAGTTTAAGCTTTAAAGCAACAATTTCCACGTTTAATTGTACACTGAATGTCTAAGTTAGTTGAAGAAGATTTCTTAATTGCTTGATTCCCTTCTCAAAGCTTCTTTTCTCTGATAATTTCGATTTATATTTTCAAGCAGGTCGATAATTAGTCAACGTTCTTTCCGTGACCGAAAGCGTGCATCATCTGTGAGTGGTTCGATAAGTGGAAGCAACAGACATTCAAGCGATCGCTTACAAGCAATCACCGAAAATGATTTTAACAACACGTCGCCTTCACAGTCAATCAAAAACAGTGTGCAAGCTCAGATCGAGAAAATGTTTACAGATATAGCGAAAGACGATCCATCAATCAGCAGTTGCTTTACAATTAAATATTTAGGAGCATTGCCTTTGACGGGGAAAGTGACAAGCTTGCTGGGACTTCAAGATCCTTTACGCCAACTTTACTTAAGCGGAGCTGGACATGGTGTAAGTGGAACACTTTTCTTATCCATTAAGCAAATCTTAAGCAAACCGATTGAAGAAGTAAAATGAAGAAAACCATCTACCGTTAATTGAATGCCATATTGTTTCACTCGTTAATTACACACAGGTGTATGATGTGCTCGAGATACAAAATATCAATAAAAGAAGTAAAGAAAAAAATCAGACCAAGCAAGAAAGAAAACACTCATTTACAAGTTTAATTAAACTTACCAATTCCAAACATGCGCAAACAGCATAAGTTTCAAATAGTTTTTCTCTGCTCAATGCAGTTACTTTTACTTTGCATAGTCTGATGATTGATGAAATTAAATTTTATGTCGACAACTCCGAAAAAGGATTTTCCAAAACATTCTCTTTGAAGCTATAATTTATTTTTACGTTTCCACGTTCTGGTCAGCCACATATCTATGTTATGCCCCAAAATGCTTATTACACACATTAATTTGCACAAGCCTCAGTCTTACTTATCTATCATCAATCTAGAGAAAAATCTGTAAAGCTCACAAATTAAATTAAATTAAATTTTATTTGCTTGCGAACAAGAGAGATAAGCTATTACAATCCAAAAAAAAACAAAAATTGACTAAGAGAACGGTAAAGAACTAACATCATTAAGATAAAAATTCTACTGGCTATGTTTTTCGGGCAATTTAATGCTAGTAATTAGATATCACGGGGTGATGATTCGCTTCTATTTTAATGAAAAAAAGTGAAGATTTAATAAATTTTCTATCACTCTGGCAATGTGTCATTAACCATGCGGTTTACTGAGAATGTTTAAAAAGATTATCGATAACGAAAGGAAATCTGTGAAGTGTGCAGTAACACGCGGCTTCATGAAATTGGTTTTGACCACTAACAACTACAGTTATGCTAATGTTCATTTTAAATGTACATAAGTAACACATGATTTTTATTTCATCTCTTAAAGAATCAAAATGCGGGCACATTAGATATAAGCCCAAAAGGTTTGCGGGTTCGCTTAGCTAATGGACGAGAGCCACAAGTAACACCATTTCAAAATATAGCAGTATGGTCAGCTGTGAAGTTTGTAGTCTCACATTCAGAAGGTGGTGCTGCATTTTTGCCACTGATAACCGATCCAGAAAATATTGACAAAGCAATTCTCTTCAAGCCGCTCAAGTAAGAATTATTAACGATGTTGTTCCATAAACTTATTAATCGACCATAAACATTCATAGTGCTGCAGATAAAAGACGATTATCATCTGGATTACATTCTCCACTCTTTGCTGTTGTTATGAAGTCGCCTAATATTGCAAAGCAATTGGAATGTCATGGTTTCGTATGTCAATCACCTGAAGACGCCATCGTTATTGCTGCTACTTTATATCAAAATTTAATGGCTCACATGGGAAGCAGTCAAGTAAATTTACATTCTCAATCGCTTTTTCCTTACATAATTTACATTTAACTCTTCTAATACTTAGAATCAACGTACAAGAAAGCCGAAAAATCGCAATGGCATTGGATGTATGAGTATTGCAAGTAGTTCTGCAATCACAAATGCAGTACATTCATCAAAATCTTCATTACGTGGAAGTCGAAATGGAAGCACAAGAAGCAAGCAAAGTTTGCCACCAGTCCCACCACCATCAAGACCACCAAGGAAGAAGAGAAGTGCATCAAATTCCTTGAGTAGTGAAAGTGATGTTATCAGAAGTATTGGCACTAATAACAATATTCACCCTGATTTTGATACATCATCTGATGAGAATAATAAGAATAAGAATTTAAAAGCGAAGAAACCGCTGCCACCATTGCCTTTGAATCCTCCAAATATAAGTAAGTGTTGACAGATCATTCAAATAACTTTCATAGCTGACAAATCTTCGAACATTTCTTTCAATTTTTTAATAATTTAGATCGAAGAGTGAGACGCGATGGAACATCATCTGGTAAATCAAAGTCATCGACGGAACAAAAATCAAACAAAGGTAAAAATGATGATCCATATGGACTTAAAGAAGGCGGTGGAGATATTTTAACGAAAGTTGCCATCCCTCGGTCAGGAAGTTTCTTGAACACAACGGGACATGGCAGATACAAATCTCGAGGAACGAGACGTAATTTGACTGGAAAGTCAGTCAACGGTGGAGCTTTCACAGGCGGTGGGGGTTCGCCATTAGGTTTCAGCGAACTTTTTAATGAGTTTCGACTTCAAGAAAATCTTCATTCACTTGATGATATTTTAAATGCCATAATAAATTCAGATGGAATGTCATTTAACGATCTAAAGCCAATTTACAAGGAATTCTTATTGAAACTGGCGGTTACATTAACAAAAGATGAACTCTATCAACGATCGAAAAGTATTATGCGTCGGCAGAAGAAGAAGAAGTTAAAGCGTAAGAACAGCAGTGCAACAACTCATCCGGCTAAGATGATCATCGGAGCGTTTGGTTTAAAGAATATGTTTCGATTGGGGAAGTTCAAAAGTAAGAAATCTCTCACATCATCTCAAGTGAAGCTTAACGATCCAAAGCGAAATTCTGAATATGAATTGAAGTCGAAAAAGAAGCGAAGAGATCGATCAAGAATTGGAACGAGTGGGTCGGAAGTATCAGTTCATCGTACTGAAACAGCTATGAATGGACATAATCGTAATAGTTCAAGCGGGTGAGTAAAATTATCGAATGACTGTGAGAGATCATAAATTAGATTCCTTCTTTGCTACAGATATGTTTCATGTTCAGAATGTAGTTACGATTCCGATAATTGTACATGCAACTCAGCCGATCGTTGTTACTGTAGTTTGGGCGGAGATGACATCAATGCTAAGCTTAACAGAGAAGCTGAAGAGCAACGAGCATCCCCAGTGCCGTCATGTCATTCCGACGACAAGTGTTATTGTTCAATGGGTGAAACACTTGATGGTTCTACAACTTGGTGCGACTCCGATAGTTGTGCAACTGCAAGTAAATGTTACTGCAATCCAGATGAGAAGAAATCTCAAAAGAAAAGTAAGAATAAAGATGGAACAATGAAGAAAGGTAAATCGAATAGACCACGTAACAAAGATAATTTCGCGTTGGACTATGAGTTGTTCACAGTCGGTAGTAGCAGCAAGCATGTTAAACCGACAGAAGCATTGAGTGTTAAAAAAAGTGTTGAAATGGCTGCAGTGTTCGCTGACGTCAAGTTGAGTCAAACAACCGACATCAAAAATTTGAAGCCGGCTAAAGATAAAAATCAGAAGTCGCACAAGCCAAAGCACAATCATAAGAAACAACAAGATGATGTGGTGTCAATCAAGAACAATAAAAATGTGCTCAGGATGAAGTCTGAAGACAATTACAAGACGAGTGAAGTGATTCTTAGAAAAGATATTGAAGTGACTTCAAAGCGTGTCACGAGAACTGAAGGTTATTACCAAGCAGTGGCACCACGCCCCGTTAGCGCATCTTTAGAAGACTCACTTGGATATCTCCCTTAATTGCAATTAACATATTTTCATAATAACTTTCATTCCCTATTTCGGAATCCTCGTTGTACAATTTATCAAGTCGTTTTATGTTTAAACGCTTATTAAATAACTTAATATAAGTCATGCGGTGTAGGTCTTTTGTATCTGAAAACATTTTATAAATTAACTTTTGGAAGCATTTTAAAATTAATTTCATTTATCAACAGGAAGTATTTAGCACATTAACGACTTAACTGCTTAAACTTTGATTAATTGCCAGTCAATTTTTAAATGATTTTTGAAATGAATTTTACATGAGACAAGCTAATAATAATTTTTTGTTTTTCTCTCAAGAGAAAATAAATATCTATATAAATAAAGTAAGTGTTAAAGGGTTTTATAAAGTGAAGCAGCAGCAATTTTCCCAATGAAAATTAAATAAACATCATGCTTATCCAGTTGAACGGAAACCGCTTTTAAAATGAAACTGTAATGGAGAGAAAGTTGATGCAACATGAATACTTTTTTATGCTTTCGCATGACTAACAAAATATTTATTAGTTAGTTGAGTTGAATAGATAGACTATCAATCGAGCAATTTTCACCGATAACAGTAAAATAATGAAAGCATATTTAGAGACATAAGGAAATTAAAATTAAAAAAAATGATGCAATAAATATTCTAACTGATCAATGTAAACAAAGATAATCGTTGCAATATTAAAAAAGTCGACAAATGTATGATAAATATTTACTTAGATGATAAGAATTAACATTTGCTGCCGGGCAATGTGCAATCAATAAAAGTGCAATAAAATAATAATGTTGTGCAATCATTGTAAACAAGTACTAAGTTTTTAAGTCTATTATATTTTAATTATCAAATAATTTTTGCCGTTAGGAAATTCTTATGCTCGAATTTCATTCACTTCCATTCGCACAAGACTTAATTTGAGGTCTTAAATATCTGAAACATGTTAAGAGCATTCATTAGTCGTCTTAGAACAGTTTTTAATTACTTAAGATGATATCATTATACTTCATTGTGATTCCTTTTCTTTAAACTTTTATGATTTAATCTGTTGTAATATGTTCTAATTTTTTGTTTGTATGCAGAAAATTATTTTTATTTAAATAAAATAAAGTATTTCAAAACTGAAATAAATTTCTGTTTATGTTTTTATTTTTACGAGAAATTCGCACAAAATGNGCAAATAAAAATAAAAACATAAATGATTGTTCGTAGAATGTTGAAAAAATCAGCTTAACGTACAAAAATGTAACAATTTTAAAAGTTTAGAATATTCAATAAGCATCGAAGGCAACATCTTAACATGAAGAAAATCATTTGAAAATTCTACTGTGTAGATATTTTCGAAAATTTATTCTCTTGTTTCTTTCTCTGATTTTTCATATTCAAGCTAAATGACGTATTACAAAACATCAGACATTAGACATTGCGGTGATCTTAAAATTTCAAACAATATGACAGAAGTAGGAAACGCAAATATATAAATTGTGTCGTCATTTCTTGTCATTTTATCCGAGCATGAAGAGTCTCGTTTCATTTAAAAAAAAATATCATAACATTATTGTTCCATCATTAATGAGTTGAATGAACTTTGTGAAGGTTCTTGCAAGAAGTTATGTTAAACTTGAGTGGTATGATAAAATTTTAATTCACATACATTTGATATAATCTTAATTTTAATATATGATATAATTCTTGAACACAACTTCCTGAAGAAATAGCGTTGAAATCTTTAATATGTAGTTAAATCCTATCTCAAAGTTTGCTATAAAATGTTCAAAAGCTTTATAGGAAAGCTTCAAAAACTTTGAATTTAAATAATCCGTTAAATTTCTCTTTTATTTTCATCGAATGTTTGCCAGATTGTTTTCATTAATTTTCTTTGAATTAGTCTTCGCTCATGTCAGATGTTTATAACTGGAACCCCATAAGAATTAAAATGTTTATCTCTACACTATTTAATTGCCTTGAGTTTTCCTTCTCAGCTATTTACTAAAAAGCTAAAGAAAATAAATAGAAACTTTATGAAATATCTTTTTTTTATGTACTTAGATACTTAACAAGACTTGTATTTTCATGTACGTATATGACTCATGAAAACTGTAACCTTTCACAAACATATCAAAGTTCTTATTTATGTTGCAATCTTCTTAATAAGTTATATATTTAGAATGTCTTCAAGATATATTTATTCAATGAAACCTCATCTTAAAGCTCGTGTATTATTCCGAATTAAGNAATCTGTTGTAATATGTTCTAATTTTTTGTTTCTCATCATGTATGCAGAAAATTATTTTTATTTAAATAAAATAAAGTATTTCAAAACTGAAATAAATTTCTGTTTATGTTTTTATTTTTACGAGAAATTTGCACAAAATGTTGTCAAACATTTGTGGATAAATTGGAGCCGAGAACTTTGCCAAGAACGATAAAGACAATTTAATGATCATGGATCTCAAGAGAAAAAATACGTAACTTTTAATAGTTATGAAATAATCCATAAAAAGAGCTTCGAAATCGAACGAATGTTTTTACACCTCCCCGTTCATCAACAATCTTTATCACAAATGAAACAGTTTTATTTTTGGTTTGAGAATTGCGGTTTTCTCACCTAAGAAAACGAATGGTAAAGCTAAGAAAAGAAACTGTTAATTAATGCTCGACATACGCTATTTAGGAGATTATAACAATTAAATATAAATTGTAGCTTTCAGCTTGCGCATCTTTTCTTGAAGATCTCCACATCTTAGAAATTCGGTAAATTTAAGTTCAATAGCCTAATGTTGTACGTTTGCTTTGTTTCAACAACTTAAATATTATTGCTTAACTGGAAATTAGCAATATGTTCAAGTTATTACATCTAAAGTTTTCAAATCATTAATATTTTTGAAGAATCATAAAAATGGCAAACATGCACACTCAAGAAATCGATATAAATTCTTACGTTTTTTATTATTTAAAAAACATCGTAAATTGGCACCTTATAAATGAAAACAAGTTGAAATTCACAAGTTTTTAAAATTCATGATATTTTAGGTATTTGTCGGGATTAAAATTTTGTTTACACTGCAACAATTTGCATATCTACATAAAAAAAATCTGTTCTTTGATTATTGTCTTTGAAGTAGCACAGAATATGTGTGAGAACGTCTGATGGTTATTAGAAATGGAAATTGAAGATTGCAATTTGATACTTAACAAGTTTTTTTGGTTGAGAGTGAAACAGGAAAATGGAAAAACTAGTTCGTCATGACCCAAATTATATTTTTCATCATCAAATGGGTCACGTTAAGAAGTCATCAGGCTAAGTAGAAAGAGATCATTCATATGATCATTAGAAAAAGTTGACGAAAGAAGTAATTGAGAGCAATCAAATGACTCAGAAATGGGACAAGGAAGACTTGTTCTTGGTTTAAACGATCTTACTGGGGCATTCCTAGATCATTATTAAAAGAAAATGAGGCTTATTAAAGTGAAAATTACAACATCTTGATTAGATCGAAGAGGTTTCACAGAGTTATGAAAATTGCGTCTTTTGTATTGAGAATTTTTATCCAGTATTGAAAAACAACGATATCAAGAGAAGCAAGAAATGATCACACATAAAATAAAATTGTGAATTGATTTAGCTCGAATAACTGATTTCTTGCATTATTTATTGAAATAAATAAATCCACTGAGATGTGTAATTCTGGATCAGCATCGACTGACGAAATGTTAGAAAATGTTTTTCTTATTTATGTCTTTTTGAACTCATTGAAACCTTTTTTCATTTAGATTCAGAACGCAATTTTTCTGATGTCGCTTAGTTAATTTCTTCTATCGTTGCTTACATTATTGCATTTATATTCAAAGTTGAAACATTTTGCTGTTGAAATCTTAAGGTTCGATTTATTCTTGGCGGCTTTTCTTGAGAATTTTTTTTTTCATATAGGAAAAGATGAACTCGATAAAATACTAAAACATGTTTTTGCAGCATTCATCATGGCACAGTTTTTCACATTTTTGTTCTTTAAAAGATAAGATTAGAAAGTTATTGCAAATAAAAATAAAAACATAAAAGATTGTTCGTAGAATGTTGAAAAAATCAGCTTAACGTACAAAAATGTAACAATTTTAAAAGTTTAGAATATTCAATAAGCATCGAAGGCAACATCTTAACATGAAGAAAATCATTTGAAAATTCTACTGTGTAGATATTTTCGAAAATTTATTCTCTTGTTTCTTTCTCTGATTTTTCATATTCAAGCTAAATGACGTATTACAAAACATCAGACATTAGACATTGCGGTGATCTTAAAATTTCAAACAATATGACAGAAGTAGGAAACGCAAATATATAAATCGTGTCGTCATTTCTTGTCATTTTATCCAAGCATGAAGAGTGTCATTTCATTTAAAAAAATATCATAACATTAATGTTCTGTAATTAATGAGTTGAATAAACTTTGTGAAGGTTCTTGGAAGAAGTTATGTTAAAATTGAGTGGAATGATAAAATTTTAATTCACATACATCTGATATAATCTTAATTTTAATATATGATATAATTCTTGAAGACAACTTCCTGAAGAAATAGCGTTGAAATCTTTAATATGTAGTTAAATCCTATCTCAAAGTTTGCTATAAAATATTCAAAAGCTTTATAGGAAAGCTTCCAAAACTTTGAATTTAAATAATCCGTTAAATTTCTCTTTTATTTACATCAAATCTTTGCCAGATTGTTTTCATTAATTTTCTTTGAATTAGTCTTCGCTCATGTCAGATGTTTATAACTGGAACCCCATAAGAATTAAAATTTTAATCTCTACACTATTTAATTGCTTTGAGTTTTCCTTCTATTAACAAATGACCACCTTGAATTTTCGCAGGTTAACTGAAGTTTCCATCATCATGGGAACATCAGTCGGGTGTGGTACGAGTTTACTTCTCGCACTATTTCCATTTTGGAGATAAGTGTCGAGAAGAAAATAAAAACTCATCACGGGCAAGTTTGAAACTTGCTGAGAACAGTTCGTTCTACCCATTACTGATGATGATGATGATGAGTTTTCCTTCTCAGCTATTTACTAAAAAGCTAAGAAAATAAATAGAAACTTTATGAAATATCTTTTTTTTTATGTAGATACTTAACAAGATTTGTATTTTCATGTACGTATATGATTCATGAAAACTGTAACCTTTGACAAACATATCAAAGTTCTTATTTATGTTGCAATCTTCTTAATAAGTTATATATTTAGAATGTCTTCAAGATATATTTATTCAATAAAACTTCAACTTAAAGCTCGTGTATTATTCCAAATTAAGTAAAAAAAACTTTTGAGTTTCAATTTAAATTTCAAACTTCTTCTATGAAGACATCAACAGAAAATAAAAATCTTTAAATTGCTCGCGGATCTTTCACTCTCTTATGTATAGAAGAAAGTTGTTAATTTTCCAACAACCTACATTCTCGACATTACTGTTGCTTCATATCAGAGTATTATATATCAAGTTTTTATACGACCTTGGGATTCCAATATCCACATCAATTAATAAGGAAGTAAGAGCTTTTATTTCATCGTTACAATCAAGGAAAAAGTTTGGAAGATTTTTTTTTAAATACTGCAAGTATTGAGAGCTTTTTATTTAACATTGAATTGCTATTGACACGTGTGTGTGTGAAAAAAGTACTTTTAAGTAATTTCCTTTTAAAAAATATTTTTCTTTCTTAAGTATACAATGAGGTGCTTGAATAATAAATTTGTTTAAGTTGGTAATGTTGTAATTTTTAGTAGTACTTAGTGTTCACTACTAAAGTCGTGATTAAAATTTATATTTTAATTAAGAAGACAATGAATTTCAAGTTTTTTATTATATCTTACGCCAATGGCTTAAACAAGTAGTATTTGAGTCAATTCCTTCAACTCTCCTATGCTAAAATGTTTCAACACCATACATATATTCTCTTAAAAACAAATGTAAGGTTTTCAATGTAGAACAACATTAAGAATTCCTTAGAAAATTTTTGTGGTTGTCATGGCATCAAAAATTCCTATTTTATTAATAAAACATTTCAATTGATAATACTATATAAACTATCGTAAATGGCAGCACCAAAAGCAACCACGATAAAAGAAGCAGTAAAAAGATTCGAAGATAGATTTAAATGTAGTGCAACTGAATCTAAAGAAGTTCAACTCCAATTTCAATGGCCTCCTATTGAAAAAATGGACCCACAATTGGGTACTCTCGTTAAATGCGAGTAAGTTTGATATTGAAATCAAACAATTGAATTTCATTTTATTTTAAGGACACAGATTAATGTTTATAATTTGTAGGAAATTGAGCTTATCAACGAATATGATTGATAAAATCAGTGGACTCAATGGAATGAAAAATTTAAAAGTCTTATCGATTGGCAGGGACTACATTAAAACTATTTCCGGTCTTGTAATTATTATCTCAAACGAATTGTTATTTAACTCTAATTTTCTTCATTTTCCAAGGAATGTGTTGCTGATACATTGGAAGAACTTTGGATGAGTTATAACTTTATCGAAAAGTTGAAAGGGATTAATGTACTAAAAAAACTTCGTGTTTTTTACTTGAGCAACAATTTAGTGAAAGATTGGGTGGAATTTAATAGACTTCAAGAATTGACAACTCTCGAAGAGCTGCTATTTGTTGGAAATCCACTGTGTGAGGCAATGGAAGAAAATGTTTGGAAGGTTGAGGCAGCAAAACGTTTACCATACTTGAAGAAACTTGATGGAGAACCTGTTGTTCGGGAAGAACCAGCACCAGCTGAGCAGGAAAATAAATAATAAAAATATTGTAAACAAACTTTTTTCAAGAAATTTGCATTTGCTAAAATTTTTTTTCCATTTTCTAAGAATAGCAAACATTTAATAAAATAATTATCCCGTCAAATGGAGAAGACTTTGACTTAATGTGAATTTAAATTAAAAATGTAATTATTTATCTTGAAAATTGTGTTATTTTAATTTGAGAATATTTTTTTAATTATTTTTGTAGTTCCTTAGTAGACGTATACATTCTTGACATTTAAATTTTCAGTCAGCTAATGAAATCAGCTTCGAGTTGAATTCAATTATTATTATTATTATTATTCTTTATTTCGGGTGATTCATTTAAGAGCTACGCTCTTTTTAAGATTTTCAGAGAAAATCTTCTCATGAATACATTGCTTTAAAACATTTGACTGTCGAGAAAACAAAAACTAAAACATAATTGATAAAAATCACACAATCTCGATGAAGCGTAATATTATCACTTCTTGCCCCAGCACAATAACACCTGTTCATCCGAAGCAAGTAATGATCTGGGGAGTTTGGGGAAGGAGATTGGAAGGGTAAATCTTTCTTTCTGTTACACTTAATTGCTAAAATACGCCAGACACTTCATCTTGAATTCACCAAACGAGTTCGCCATTCTAATATCAGCTTTTATGCTGTTCCATATTTGAATGCCATAAACAAAAAATGAATAAGAATATTGCGCTCTAAGATGCGTTGGTGTTTGAAGGGTTCTGTTTCTTGCATATCTTGTGAAAATGATTTTTTCGTATAGATACGACGGTTGTTTCAAGTTCATAAGACTTTATCATAATTTATTAAATTACTTTCTTTTCCTCACTTTATCGGTTAAAAAAAACAAAATCGTATTGGAAACACGTGGCCTTTCGTACATCCGAAGGATGATTTCCGATCAATTTCCCATACGCATGTGCTGAAGGAAGCTGGGAAACACGAACCATTTTCCGCTCTTCAATTTTTATCGTTATTCTAATCATGCTTGTGCCTTGAACATTAATGAAATTTCGTTTTGATCTCCCACAATATTTTCTAAGTTTTATATTGTGAATACAATATTTATAAGAAATTATCATTCATTTTTCATTCAAACCTTAAAGCAAGCTTTAAACCTTCAAAACGTGGTCTTATTACTTACAATTGTGACTCCATTTTCACACAGCATGGTTAATAGAGCTTTCTAAGTATTAATATAATCGTTTACACAAAACACAGAGCAAAAGTTTTTCTTCAACATGAAACTTCGTCAAATGTAATCTCATTAAATAGTATTACATATATGAAGTGTGTAAGATCTAGAAGATGTCTGAATTTTCACAGTATATTTCTTTTTTCTTCTTGTTTTCCAATTATTTAGTAAGCTTCTTATTGATGACTATCTAAATGTACCTAATAAGAATCTTACACTTCTTGTTTCCTGAATAAATCAAACCTGTTGAATACTTTTGTGTCCTTTCGGTATATCAGAAAAACAAACTGAACATAAATGACTGTCATAAATTTGACAAATGAAATTCAAATCATGTTTAATGGTTTAATTCAAGTTCATTGTGAGATTTGTAATAATATCAAATGAAGTAATTGTATGATGTTACCACATAAAGTGCGTGAAAACAACTCCATTTGCATAAAATTAATATTCACAAAGCTTACAAGACTGACGTTAATGTGTCTCATTTGCTGTCATTGACAGGTTGTTGCAGCATATTGTATTGCATTCTAATAATTTAGCATTTACGTACGAATTATATCTTCACAACATTATCTCTCAAAAACAATAAATGATCACCGGGGGGTATTCAAGGACGGTTGCTTGAGTCGATCGTGAAAATGCTGAAAATTTTTAACTGTTGCTAGCAATTTCTGAAAACTTTAAAATTGCTAACAATTTTAAGGTTGTTAACTGTCCCTTGTGTAATCATTTATTTTAATTAAAAAAAGTTGTTTTTAACATGCCACGTGCTTAGTAGAGTATTTTATTTAATTCTTTGAATATTTCATCCTATTATAACAGTGAGCAACAAGTCACGTTGTATGTTCGTACATCTCTATTTATCATTTTCCAACAATTCCTCATAAAAACATGTGTCATCGATACCATGAATTTTTTCATACTTAAGTGCTATCAATATCTTATCAATTACTCAAATCATATTGAAAACCTAAATATCAAATTTCAATGCAAGAAAATCACGTTCATTGAGATTCTAGACAATATTTGGGTGGATTTCGAAATAAATTTAAACAGTAAAATAAAATTATAAATACTCTAAGTTCAACTGTGTAAGTTACTCGTGAACATAAAATAAAATATGAAATTTAAGAACATCAAGAATGATATCATTTCAAACACAAAATTGAGTAAATGAAATTATCAAAAATCCACTCGCCTGTAAAAAATAACATTTCAAATAGGTAGAAAATCAGATTTCTCTCTTTACTTTCCGTAACATAACGCTTGAAGATTAATCACACAATTTTTTTCATCCCTTAGCAATGCATGAAAACGTTCAATTTTCATGTAGGTTTTAAACAATTTTAAAATAAACGAATTTTTTTTGATTGAAAGGGTTTTGGGAGATAAATGTATCGACGAACATAAAAATATGTAAATCAACCTACAGTTGAACAAGAAAACGTGGCTTGCTTTATTGGAATATTAGATAAAAGTTCATATGATCTTATAAAGAAGCTTTTAAAGTTAAATGAGTTATCTAAGAATAAGATGAAAAGAAAAGATCAAATTTTGTCAAATGTACGCGATTTATTTCAAATTTTTTGCTTTGTTTGGATCTGAATATGAATTCTCAATAAAGTTTCGTGTCTTTTTAGAAGATAACCTTGGATATTGTAATAATCAGAACATCGTGAACGATGCCGATGAACTTAATTTTAATGTAAAGATTTGAAAATCTTTAAAATAAATCTTATTAGCATAACGATGATCCTACGATAAAGTCCTTGGTAACCTGATAGAGGTTGTAAAAATATTAGAAGGACCCACGAAGGAAGCACGTAAGTTGTTTCAATAGAATCAAGGATTTCGTTCTATTGAAATTTGATATTTATTTGGTTACAATTCTCAGCCATTGCATTTCTATCGACTTTGGGATCTGATAAAAGTATTTAATTCAATTTCATGAATAAATTGGATAGATATCAAAGTATCCAAGTTATTTTTATTTAGGATGAAACAGTATCTACAATTCTTCTTACTTGTGTTGTCAGTGTGTAAAGTAAAGTGATTTGAGTTACTGGATTTAATTTCATACCTTTTCTTTCTTCTACGTATCTACATGATTAACATGTGACTTTTGATCTTGTCTCTTCGATTACGACATGTTTAGATGTATTTGATGTAATTTAATTAAAAAAATAATTATCAATTGATTTTAATAAAGAAACATTGAAATTCAATCTTCAGTTGTGATTCCATTTCGAAAGTTTGTTTAAAAGCAACAAAAATCGATGATACCCTTCGAGCAGCTAACGTGACATTCCGTTGTCATATATGCTAAAATACTGTTTTAATGCAGCTAATAAAAAGGATCTTATCACATGTTATGCTGGAAAAAAAAGTAATGAAAAGCTTGATGTAATTGAACGTAGCGAGAGTATTCATTTTATTTATGTACGTTCCTTTTATCTATTCATTCAGATGCTGCGGGATGAGACATGTGTGCTTGAAATTAAAACTTGGTAAAATGAATACATACAATGGAACCAAAAGATTAAATAATGAAAGTGTCACGAAATGTGCCGAAATAAAATTCTCGTATCTGAATACAAGCTTTTACAATTCTTTCTTTTCACGAAGGTCAAATTTGCGCTAGAAATTTTTTTATTCTTTGAAATTGTTGGTATCACTCGTTACAAGTATGTATGAACAATATTAAAGTAGGGATAATCTTTTGTATTATTTTGAGGACAATGTAAAGTCATAGCAGAAATTCTTTTGAGACTACCAATTTCAAATTTTTTGGGTAATTGATTCTCTTTCATTTTTATTTCTTTGCGCTATTAAATAGTCTTTATCTTCCATCGCATGATTTTTCAAGTACTCATTGTGAGAGAAGAAAGTAACGAGAAAAATGCTAGCCTTGCAGAGACAACGAAAGTCACTTGAAGGAATATCTTGAAACATTGATGACTCATCATAAATGAGTCTACAATTCAAGAGACCTATCAATCCGTAAAATGAGTGCTAATTGCAATGAATGATTATATAACAATACAGTTTCAATTTTACGTTGATTCATTAAAACCAGCAAACTCCTTGCATTGTTACTTTTCAAACAAGAATTGAAGTCAAAGAAAAACTTGTCCAATTACTGTTTGAAGTTGATTTTGTTGATCTTAAAAAAAAGTAAATGTTAAAATGCTTATTCTGAAAGAAAAAAATATGTAGGTAGAAATATCAAATAACATTTATTTGCTTGGAACTTTATATTAATTAGAATGAGAAGACGGTCAATGCACATCGTTTATCTTACTCTTCATACGTCAATCCATAATTTTAAAAAATCTTATTCTTTTTTAAACTTTGATATTTTATTTGACACTCAATTTTTTTTTCTAACATTTTTTTCTTAAAAGATGCTATAAATAAATATCAAGTTTTAGTGAACGACGAAGAAAATATCGTTACGCAAATGATTTGACCGTAATTTTCGCGTCAAATTTTGACATGTTTTCGAAGCACGTTTGGCAAATGCTTTGGTTTAAAACCCTTTAAAAAATGATTAGAATATTTGAGAATCAAAACAATACATCTTTGAATTGGTTTTTAGAGTTAAATTTGACATAAAAAAATATTTATTTAAATCAAATCAGAAATTATGAATTCATAAATATCTACTTAAAGTTTCTTTCTTCGATTTACGTTTGACTTTTATATTATAAATTCAGGCAATCATTGGCATTTCATTTAACATGGAAAAATTGACAATATTTTGATTCCTTTTGGTGGGTTGTTGCAAGCTCTGAATCATAATAAGATTTCAAGTTTCAAATTCATTTTTAAACATCATTCTATCCATAATTATGATAAACGGTTTCAACATAAATAAGTCACACATTAGTTCTGAAAAGTGAAAGAAAGTATTCATTTGTAGGCGTGTATTAAAGTTATATTATGTGAAATTGAAATAGGCATAATATGAAGAGGGAGGGTTCTTCATCTTATGATCTTTTATACATTGAAAGCATACTTAGTGAGACGAAGACAAAATAAAACAAAAACTTCTATAGGATTTCAAAAAGAAGACGCTTATTCACATACTCAAAGCTCATGAAAGATCCCTTTGGGATTCTGACATGAAAATGTATAAGGAAGATTGAGACATTCTATCTGATGCTCTATACTTAAATTCCATTCAAGCTCGTAGTGTTTACATATGCATGTATTTAACTAATTGCCTACTTAATGAAAAATCCCTAAATCATAATATTAATTATTATTCTATGCAAATCAAAAACCTGGAGAAACCAGAAAACATATAAAAAGTAAATTATGTTTTTAATGTATTCCCAGCATATTTCAATAACTCAGGAAAAAAATTAAGATCCAAAATTAGAAGAAACCCAATAATTTATTGAAAAGGAATTTCATTAAAAGTTTAAACTACAGAAATAGGTATTATAATTTCTGCGTATATTTTCTTACAATTGAGAGATGAATTTTTGGCAATGAAACACGAAATTTAAATTATATTCAACATAAAAGTAAATATCTAAATACATAAATATTTTTGTTATTAATGTACAAGGCATATTTTGTCAATAAATAAAAAGTTCGAGACTAAATATTTTTCTTTTTGTTTCTCTGACATTTAAAAATTGATTTAATTGTACAATGAGAATTACAGATTGATGTCTGCGAAAGTATTTCAATGATGAACCAAAATGTCACTTGAATATAAGTCGTGGTACTTTTTACTTTATTTTAATTTTGGTTTCAACTTTCAGGATTTTTCTCTATCATTCCAATCTCTAATATTTCCCCGGTCATGTTATCTACATTTATTGGTTTTCCAGAAATGAAGCTTAGGACACTAGAAGAGTATTTAAAAGAAAAGAGAGAAAGACAAAACAGGTTAGATAGAAGCAACTACTGTACTAAATGTGCAGGTAGGATGAAAATATAATAATTTTAATGAAACTTGAATGATATTAACCGAGCGGCACAAATGCTAAGCTTTTATGTCTACAGTGTCATTAGCGGATTCCGGCGCTTGTGCCGCTCAGGTTAGTAGACACTTATTTTAGTTATAATGAAAAATAACAAATAAAAGAGAAGAATATTGAGTAAATTATTTTAATGCCAATGTTGATGTAAAGCTAGATAGATTTAAGACTGGTAGAGATATTTCAACAGAAATTTCATTCTTAGAAATGTATTCTAGACTTGGTAGCAATTAAAAAACTCAATGCGGTGGCCCGTAACCTGAGGGCGGCTCCTCCTTAGAAATATAAAAATATTTAAACTAATACGAATGAAAAGAAAGATCAAAATTAGTATCTCAATGAAAAATGCTCTAAATTTATCACAGCTCAAAGTTAAAAAGCTGCAAATTGATTTTATATTGAGAATAAGCCTGAATCATTGACGTAATGCAGTATTTGTTTGAGGTTTTTATAGAATACATATTATTATTTATCTAATATAAAACAATATGACTGAGCAGGTATCATTAAACCATATTATTAAGAAAGTTTCATTAATATCAAAATATTTGGAAGTCAATATCATGTCCACGTTCTTTTTTAAATAAACAACATCAACGGGAAGGAAACTTCTTCAGTAGTTAATAAACGTACTTAGGCTGGAATTAGTTTATCGATTTACAATATTCTAGAGACATGCAATACTGCAACTTATTAAGATTGGCTCTCATCTCCAAGTTATTATCACTGGGCCATCTCATTTTCAATATGGGGTAAATGGAAAGTTTACTAAATATTCAAAACTTTTGCATGGGAAAACAGATCCAAAGTAAAAAGAAAAAAGCTATTTGGCAGCAATATATTTTGACACAAGCTCTAATAACTAATCACATAAAACATAATTGGCTTTTTTGGAATTGACATTTAAGTATTCAGTCTGATATATCAAATATAACTGACTCTGGAGGTTGCTCCCTCTGCTTTTGATTTTTCGGTTTGGTAAGAAACAGCAAATTAATCCACGTTGAGCGTTGTCGTGACGGTTGTAGTTGTGACGTTCGTTGCCTTACGATGAATAAATAAAATAAAAAACATTCAATATAAATATAAATTTAATCTTGATTTCAAAGGAAAAATTCAGATAAAAGTGAAACAAAATTTCGCAAGTGTTTTAATTTCCGTAGTACTCAGTAGATATTTAAAATCGTTTTGGAATTTTTCTTTTGAAAATAAAAAAAATATTCTGTTTTTAGCTTAATATCAAGGCATTAAATTAAGTTTTTTTTTACGTTCAGGTTTTTTAATTCAATAGTTAGTTTATTTAGGTAACACATCACAATGAATTGTTTTTGAGAAAATTCTTTCAAATCATTTTTATGTACAATAAAAGAGATTTAACAATCGATATCGTTTTGTTTGTATTCTGATTGAGACTGATAATAAAACGAGAGAAAGAAAGCGAGAGAAAGAAAGAAAAAGAAAGCGGAAATATATTTGCTTTTACCTTTTCAAGTCAACTCCATTCTGAGGTGGCTGTTGTTGTGGTTGTTCGGTTTCGGCATTTGTGGGAAAGTTGACTGAAAAAAATGAGCGTCTTCTATGTGCCCAGTCATGATGACCCCTTAGTGACATCCATACACTTATTGACTTAAGAATTGCTGTTCGTACCTGTGATAATATTTAGCAAGTTTTTTTTGATTGTACGAACTGATAAAATTGTTTACCTCTCCGTTTAGAAAGCAATAAATCATGGCGATAAAAAATCCTTGAAATGTTGTGAGAAAATGTGTTACATATGACCAAACCGCAAATTCAAATGGTGAACGGTCGAGTGGTGCTTTTGACATGTTTAATAAATTTGTTATTCCTAGTAAAGGCAAGAGAACAATCGCAGCTCTAACTGCTTTTCGCACTTGTTCTACGTCACTTGTATGACTTTGACGAAGTTTGACAACAAGAACTCTGATGATGTTAAACAAGAATACAAAATTAAGCTAAGGAAATATAAAGAAAGTGTCTTGATTTTAAATTTGTTAGGCAAGATTTTCACAATTTCTTACTAAGATAACTACGAGCCGTGGTCCTTCAAGAATTCTATAATAATCTGTTAAGTTATAATTATACCAGCATTTCTGATTTGATTTCACTGCTGTGAATCCAGCCCATATTACCTTTAAAGTTATTTTACATTTTTAAATAAAAAGACGAAAGTATGTTAATTAAGCTTACAGTCATCAAAACTGGAACTCCCCAACCTACAATGGCGTAAATGGCATGTGGAAATCTCCCTTGAAAAACTGTCACTGTTACGATGTTATGCAAATATAAACCCTCAATAAACATCCAAAGAAACATCGCTGTACGGGCATATTCTAATAAAATATAAGAAGCTTCACACAGATATGGCTGGAAATAAAAAGAAAGCAAAATTTGTGTCAAAAAGATTTCATATGGATGGAAATATCAAATCTAAGCTAATCACTGAATGTTTTAATACGATTTTAATTTATTCGTTGTGGATATGTTCATAAATAAAATTACGAAGAATCAGCTGCTGTCAACAACCAAGTCTCATCGAATCGGAAGAAGAATCTATTAACTACAAAATTTTAGGAATTTCCAAACTTCATAAATATTTTTTCCTCTTAGGAAAACATTAATAAGATTTAAAAGGGCTCGATAACTCATACTTAAGTTTTTATAACGAGATAAAAAACGAGAATTTGTACAAGCTGGTGATGATACTAAGTCACTGTAGCAATGAATAAATTTCAATAAATAAGCACCTAATATTAACATTACATCCAACTTGGTAACAAAAACTTTATTCAGACTGAATGATTATTCATAAGAGTTCATCATTTAACTTTCACTTTTAATGTTGTTTGGAAAAGTTTTTATCTATGTGTATAGAAATACATGCTAAATATCACAAGAAGAATCAAAAGTTCATTACTTAAATCATTAATAATAAGCAAATTTATGTTGTATCTACCAAGAATCTCATCAAAATTCTATCATAAAAACCGATTGACTAATAAAGTAATGAACTTACCGTGTTTTCTATGCTGTAGAGTGGTTTCGCATTTTCATCAGCATTACGAATAATTGCCTATCGATATAAGATGGAAATAATAACGTATCACCTATCGAATGTTAATTCAGATGAAAAAGTTTTGAAGTATTCTCACTTGATCTATGTACAAAGTCAACCTGATAAGAACTTGAATGACCATGGCTATGAAAAGATTTTTGTGAATTCTCGTGCGATTATTACGAAGGCTTCTGAAAAGTAAAAGTAATTGAACTTACTACTCTGCTTCCGTACATTTAATTTAAACTCCATTCAACATCCATTTAAATTAATGAATCTTTTGAAATTTCGTATTTTCCTTAATAAAAGTAAAAAATTCAAAAGAACTTACCGAAAACGGTAAAATATTATAAGAGAAATCACAAGAGCTATTAGTGATGTTACTAATCCAATCATTTCCAATGTTCTGGTCCTTTTGGCTATGTTTAATTTTATCTGAAGATGAAAAAGTAACCAGATATATAATGAAACTTTTTAAATATGTACTTTCAAAGCTTTCTTGAATAAAGTTTCGAAATGTTTTTCTTTATTTTGAAAGTTCAATTTCAATTTGCTAGTTAAACATCAAATTATACATTCATCCTTCAAAACTTCTTAATAAATGAAATAAATAAAACAATAAATATTCAAAAGCACATTGGCGAATTATTTAAAATAAGTAAGAAATAAACCACAAGAAACAGTTTTAAAGTGGGTGAGTCTTCACAACAAGTTTCTTCGCTTGATTTGCTGTGTACTTAGACATTTACAATTTAGATTCAGACTTGCAGTCTGATGCACATTATAGAATTACTTAACAGTGTTTGTGAAATGTTACTCAATTATATAAAAGACTTACAGAATCGTTATTGAAAACGTTTTTAATTCTTTTCTTCTGTTTCTTTGTGGTAAAGTTATACATAACAAATATCAATTAAGAAATTTTATCCCTTCTTACCTCAGCATCGTTTCCTAATTTTCTTAGAAGCTCTAACACTTCTGGAAGGTAACAGTTTGTGTAATTGGTCCATCCTTGATTATTTGTTGAAGGAACTCCTAGTTTTCCTTCCCATTTTCCTTCTTCAGTACATCTTCTCTCAGCAAATTCTAAATTTGGATTGAAATGATAAATTCTTGTATTGAAAACTTGAAGAAAAGAAGTTAAAATTTCGATGAAACTAAATGGAATTCCCTGAACGTTTAATGTAATGAAGTAAGAAATGATTGAATAAATAATTAAAAGCAAATATGAATAAAGAATTAAGTAAGAATGATTGAATTAATAATTCATGTTTGAAGTTTACAAAATCTACTTAGGAGGAAAGTTATTCTCAAAACACCAATTATCAGTTATGAAGGATAGGACTGACTCAAATGCTGATAATACTTCTGGAAAAGTGTACTAATAAATAGTTCAAAGTTGGAAGTTCCAATACAATAACTGTTCATTATTATTAGCTTAGTTATGCAGTGAAAATATGATAATTATCTTCCATTTATATGCAAACGAATGAAAACAAATGTTAACTAATCAGTTTGTTGACAACGTATAAACCGATTCTTTAGTTTATGAATAATTCATCCCTAACTATTTGTAGAATGATATTCCTGTCATATTAAATATTAAATAATTTTAAAAAATTTAAGAATTTTAGTAATCAAATTGATGAATTTAAAAGTCATATGACAAACTTGCTAAAGTCAATGGTTTTGTAAATGTCACCATTAATTGAATCATTGAATAATTAAAATTGCTTCCCAGATGGATCACAAATTAAATTTTAAATCATTAATGCCAAAAGCTGACCCTTTTTTGGTTACTTTGTCTTGAGTAAACTCATTTTCTGATCTGTTATTTTCTTAGAAACGTCAAGTCAAGATTCAACTCCGTTTTCCCTATCGCCGTTAGATATTTTTATAATTTAACGAATCAAAGAAAATTTAAGAGCGATTTGGATTTGAAAAGAAAAAGGGCGATGACTGAAACGTGAAGATAAAGAAAATATCGCGTTACGTACTACACTGAGCGAAAAAAATGTCGTGACGATAAAAGAAAAAACAACAAAAACTTTTTCCTCATTTGAAGGTTCGTAGCTCCATTGAAATTAAAAGTTTCATATTCATAATGACAAGATTTTAATACTGCTTAGCTTGCTTTTGTTCTCATTTCTTATTGTCTAAAACATCTTCAAATAAAAAGTTGTAACTCACTCGTAGGATCAAGTCCTTTGGTAGGAGGGCACTTTTGTAAAGCTGTTTCGCCGGCTCTCGTTGGAGGCCAACATAAATATGAATCAAATATCCAACTGCAATAAGCTGTAAATTTTATCAAAAAATTATTGGAATGTCTTCATGTAATATAGAAAATTCTTTTCATCATGTTATTGCCTGTTAAAGAATAACTCGTAATGAAAAAATTTCAACATAAAGATGAAATAATGAAACATTAATCCAAGGGTTAAGATAAATGTAATTTCAACCATGAATCTTAAATTATTCTCCTCTTATATTACACAAATGAAAAAACCTTCTGAGTTTTCAAAGGCTTCAAAAAAATCTCAAGTTTCTTTCTTTCTTGGACTCAAAACCCAATTAAAATTAAACTCATGGTTGAAAATAATTAAACACTTACTTGTGTGTATAGGAAACGCATAATCCTCATATTTCCCAGCACATGTTTCTAATGTAATGTTGTAAAAGCTTTGTCCATTAGATGATGAAAAGTTGGTAGCATTCATGTTTTCAGTTTGTAATTTTTTTGTTTATCATATGAATAATGTGAACTATTCTATTATTCTCTTTTAAAAAGGCAAACTGTCATAATACGTTTGTCATCACTTTTTATCACCATTTTTAAAGATCACTGTGTAAATAATTTGACTTTTAGATTTGCCTTTTAAAAGAATTATCAGGAGCAACAATTCCACTTTTAACTTCTTTTATCTTGTCTTTTTTTTTTTCATATTTTCAGAATCACAAAGTTATTTTTAGTACTCTCTGTCGGCTCTTGCAAATTTACGAACAAAAATATCTGGACACTCACAAAAACATTTTTTTGTTTCACTTGAAAATCTGTTATGATCAAGCTCTAAAAAGAAAGTAAAACAAAAACACAAAGCATGTTTATTCCAAACTTTACATTACACCAACTTTATTTGTTTAAAGATAAATGTGAAAATTCTAATGTTTAGATATGTGAAGAGTTTGAAAAGTAGGAATTTCGGAGAATCGTGGTTAAAAAGCATTCAATAAAGACATTCATAAGACACAAATTGAATAACCGAATAATATTTTATTCTGAATAAGATTTCTCATAGAAATATATTTATGTAGGTATAGGAATTTATGTTATAGATACTCAAGCAATATCTCTAATGAGATTTTTCTTTTCATAAATTCAATGAGGTTTTACGATTCCATGTTAAGCGAAGCGAAATTATTTGAGTAAAAAGTTACACATGACTAATAATGATTTTATCTTTGCTTTTTTGTCACAAATTATCATTAAGGGTATCTAACTTTTTAAGATTTGCTATCTTTACAAAATAAAACAGAAGAATCACATGATAAAAATTCAAATCAACTTTGATTTTTTATGTTTAGTTGAGAATTCTTGCCTTTGGCTTCTTTTTCTTAAGACGTCAATTTCATTTCATGTTGCTTTCAAGTCTTATTAATTTTTTATTGTTTCATTACAACTTCAAGGAAACAATCGATAAATATAAGTAGGAAGTAAATCAAAATTTCGTGGTAAATATTCTGAGAAAATCACTTTCTAAATTTAACGACTTAATTAAATGTCTAAGGTATGAAGAAATTCTTTTTAATTTTGAAACTTGAGCTGAGTTTTAATGAAAAGAAGAACTCATATAAGAACATTTCTCGTTGTTTTAATAATTAAACTTTTCATAAGAATATAACTTGAATAATTATCAAAGCGAGAATCTGAGCGATGTGTTCGAAAGATCTTTTTTCGGAAGACACAATAAGTATAAAAAAGTAGAAGTAAACTGTTAAAAGCATCAACGATTGTTTGTGTTTTGTTTGTTCGTAAATAAGATCGAGATCGAAAACATGTTATTTACGTAAGTACCCGTCATCTCACCTTCAGCCTATTTTGGATATCTTTTTTTAGTTTGAACTTCGCACAATTATGAGATATTTAACATCCTTATTATTAATGTTTATTCCACTCACTTTATTCTTCACTTGTAAATATATTTCTCTTTTTTATTTAAATTTTATTATTTATTTGATGAAACATTAAAAATATAAACTCTCAAGAATATAAATTGATGAATATATTTTTATATAAAATTAATACACAATATTTGTTTCACTAGTGCTTACTAGTAGACTCGTCGACGGACTTTCAACGACTGTCTGCAATTGAGACTTGTATGCAACTTGATATAAATATTTTGTTACGGTTTAATGAATTAACAATAACTTCGAGCAGAGTGAACAATAAAAATACTAAAAGTTGTATAAAATATTTAATAAGTGGGAGATTTTGGTTTTCCGTCTGCTACCGGCTGTGACTACCGAGGAACTGATTCAGTTGAAAATCTCTGTGAGATGATGGAAAAACATTTTTTCCGTTGGAAGCATGCGCTATTTACTATTTCCAGTGATGAATTGCCGATGAGATTACACGAATAAAGTAAAAATATTTCGATCACATGTTCAATATAAATATTCGAAATATGAGAAATATTCCCACATGATTCATTTAAGTGATATTTTTTCATTTTTTATCTGACAGTTAAACATCGACGAAGTACAAAAGAAATTAAGGTTTAATTTGCAAATCTCTTTTTAAGAATAATATGAGTAAACAAAATGAAAAAATGCGAACAGATGACCGAATTCATCTCGAAAGTTCATCCTCTAAAATGAAGTTTGAGATATTTCGTTACCTAAGAGGAGATGAATGAGTGAAAGCATAATGAAACTTTAATCTTTAATTTCACTTCCACCGTTCCTTATTCCATTATATTCAAGTAATTTTTGAGATTTTTATTCAATTTTGAGGTTTTATTGTTGATGTGAAAACTTGAAATCTCAACGATGTTGCGTTTTCATGAAAAATGTAAACTCAATTACAAGTACTGATAAGGCTTTCTTATGAATTCAACAAGAATGAGTAGTTCTATTATTGAAAGGAGAAAAATGTTCCCTTAAGAATAAGTACTCACATTCTCAGGTTTAACGAAGACAACGATCTTTAGTTCAAGCAGCCTCTAGAGGTACCTTCAAGCAAAAGGGTCTCATATCGTTATAAATATTTGCTTCGTTTATCATTTCCATTAAATATTTAATACACATGTAGCAAGGAATGTGACCTCGAAAATTATCATTTCTTTTTTTTTATATGCATAGAAACATACATAAGTACACTTATATACAAGCAAAGGTATATAAACATATGAGAACGTGCAATCTGATAATTGAGGTTTATATTAGAAAGATTTCTTACCAGCATTATTATAAGCTTGGGGTTGGAAAAATTCTCTTGAACAGATTTTAACTCTTACACAAATTCACCCTTTTATTACCTTAAAATGCTGAAAGAAATTTTAGAGGTTTCTTATAGAAATTTTTACATTCATTCACACTCAATAATCTTTAATGCTTCTTGTTATGCTTTCAAGCCTTGGTTAAAACCATGCATTGAATAATTGAAATTTATTTATGTAATCAGATAAATCAATTTCTTTGTTTGATTATCTAATTTCATAATCAACTTTTTTCAAAATAAGGATTCATATTTAACGCAAATTTAAAAGTTATTGCTTCTGTCGTGAAATCTTCAAGTTGCAAGTTCAATTTCACTTGAATTAAGATTTTTATTTTATATTTAAAAAGTTTAAGTAAAACTTTTTAGCAAATTTCAACAGAAAATTAAACAAATAAAAATATGTTTTCAGATGCTTCAATTCCTTTTTCCTGTGCTGGAATTGTTTCATGAAACGTGACTTGCGATTGCATAGTATTCAGAAAAATTTATCACGTGGGTGCGTCAGTTGTCAAAACGAATTGAAATTTCATCTTTCAATTAAAAAGCTTTTATTTTTGAAGTAAGTTAACGAGCATTTTTTTATTAATGTAATGAAGTAGGTAAGTTAGAACAAAATCAAATATTTATACCATATTAAAGTTTTCTATGCAATGAACGTTTTTCCTAGGGAAACACAAAAAGAAAGGAAAATCTGGAACGATCCTTTACATACTCTTTAAGATTATTTTTCATATAAGATGAAAGTAAATACATTTTATTCATAAAATTGGACATAGAAATCTTAAAATTCAACAATAAGTATTGTACTCATAAGCTCTTAAATATTTAAATCTCTAGAGTAATCATTTACCAACTCATCGAGAATTTATTCAATATTAGCAAAGAAATCGAGCAAACAATTTCTTGAATATTAAAGGTCTTCACTTGGGAATAGTAAGTAAGTGTTTATATGTTTATCTTTTCATGAATATTTTGTAACTTTTTAAAAAAGGAAGATACGACATACCTTTTTATTTCTTTCTTCTTTGTTTCATCCGTAAATAAATTGAATTGTCTAATTTGATTTAAATTCTTTTTGAAGTAAGGTTGTTAAACGACAAAGAAGAAAACACTGGGAGATAAATAAGAAACTCAAATTTATCTTTTATTAGATATCAACACAATTTGAAAAACATTATATATTTAAAATTAGATGAAATTACGTATTTTAGAAAGGTTTCCGACCTCAGAGAATAACTAAAAGACGAACTTTCGCTAGTTAGAAAATTTCAATTTGCTAGTGTCCGGATGAGTCTGAATAAGTAAAAAAATTACTGGGTCAAAGAACTTCGTGTTCTTTAATGACATTAAACTTGACCTCAAGCTTAAATAGCAACAGCAGTCAGCAGTTCATCATATATTTGTTTTGGGATTCCCAGTTCCTATAACTCTTCAAATAAGTGATTTTTTTATAGTTGCGTGTTCATTGACAGCTCGGCAGACATAAAAAATAAGAATGAGAAAATTTCCAGAAGATTATTCATTTCACAACGGTTGTGAATTATGAGTACTGAGCCTTAGAATTACATCGGATATAAATTAAAGTTTCATTCTTAGAAGGTTTTAGTATTAATCGCAAGCAACAGCAAAGAAGTTGTTTCAAGTTTTATATTTTGAATACGAAAATATATTTGAAGACAAGTTTTAAATTATGGAAATTTCAATGAAAGTTTTTATCTTCATCGTACTTGTGAATATTGTTCAAGCTCTCCCAGCACAAATAAATGAAGAAATTAATTCAAAAGATGTTAACACAAAGGACACTGCAGTAGATCAAACTCAGTTATCATTTGGAAACACTGATGGATACAAAAATACTTTATTTGAGGTTGAAGAACCATTAGAAAGCGTTGACGACCCAAGCGAAGAATTAGTTCGTAGTAAAAGATTTAAAAAATTCGGATATGGAGGTTTGTTGCTTAAAATATTTTTGATTAAAGGAATTTCTTATGAGTTTATTTTAACAGGAGGTTACGGGAGAGGCTTCGGTGGAGGCTACGGTGGAGGTTATGGTGGTCATAGAGGATTTGGAGGAGGACACGGGGGTTACGGTGGTTTCAAAGGAAATGGTAAGTTTGAATAATTCTTTTATATATTTTGCAAACGTTTATACACCCGGCTGTCTCAAAAATTCTACTGTAGTCTACAGCAAGAGATATTTAATGACATCATCTTAGAAATATTTCTGACATTTAGTGACTTTTATTTTTCTAGGATTTGGCGGTGGCTTCGGAAAATTCAAGCATTTCGGATAAAAACTATTCTTGGCTTTACTAAGAAATGGAATTGTATAAGTTTAATTGTTCAATTCATTTTGTTTCCATTGAATAAAGTTTTTTAGTATTCTACGTAATCAAATAGAAAATTCTTTCATAACTTTGTTTATGTTTATCTTCAGAAGAAACAAAACCTTGGTAAGTTGTTGTAAACTTCTTCATTTATGAATTCAATGTTTCTTACATCAATTGCGTTAATGGTGCATACAAAACTTTTCTTGCGCGTGTTAAAATTTCTCATTGCAAGCGAAACATTTTTTGTTCCAACTTTTTGAGGTCAAACGGCATGCTTCTCGTAAGTTATTACTTTTTGTATGGATGCTTCAAAAAACATTTGCAAAGAAACCTTTAACATTTCAATTGAAACATCAAACAAATCAAAAAGTTTTGAACTTTTATAGGAAACCATTTTGTGAGTTATTAGAACAAATAGGAACGTTCCGGTAATTACCAATTACTAATCTTCATTATATAATCTTCAGTAGTGTTTTAGCTATTAAGGATGTATAAAAAATTTTATTAATGTTGCTTTTCCCCTTCTACTTAACTCAATTTGTTAATAAAAAGAATGCTTCTCAATCGTAAAATTTTATTTGTTCTCAAGAGTGGACGACAAATTATTACAAAATTCATTTAATTCAAATATCTTATAATGGAAAATTTCATAAAGCGTATATGTGTGTTGTTAGTTATATTTAAAGTTTGTGCATGTTTTCCAACAAAAGGAAGTGATCAATTTGTTAGTGATTCACTTAGAGTAGAAGATCCGATAAATGATATGGAGAAACGCAAAGATCTTTTCAGCAGTCAAAAGACTCGAAATGAACGAGGTAAATATAAACAAAACGATGATTCACAACTCATGGTACAACTCAACAATGTTTCAATACTTCTTTTGTTTAGTCAAACGAGATGATCCGAATGAATACATCCTTGACAGATATTATGGACATGTGCATCATTACTATCTTGTTGAAAATCATCATAGACATTTCCTCCCTCATCTTCATCATTTAGATCATCATATTTTCATTCCTCTACACGGCAGTGGTAATCGTTATGTTCTTAATCCATCGTATGTTCACGATCACAACTACTTGAGTCACATTGATAATTCATATTTTTAAAATGTAAAAAGTAAAACATCTTAATAAAACAATAGCTTCATTACTTAGCAAAGTTTTGTAAATGTTTATTGTAAGATGAGAATTTATTCTATTGTAAAAGGACAACAATTGAATATTCAAATAAAACATCATTGAAACTTGATAGAGGCTTTTATTTAAGTATTCCCTCAGGCCAAGATTAATATCTCTAAGCAAGTGTAAACACTTAATTATCTCAGATTATCTTAATTTATGTTTATTAAAAGGCAATTTTGAAGGCACAAAAAATCTTAATGTGCTACTCATGTTATTACAAGTGAAGCATTCAAAATCATGCGTGCGTTACTGATTTTTGAGATTATTTAATAAAAGCTTTGTAAATTTATTTTTTTCTGTATTCAATGCTTCAACTTGAATGAAATTGCTGTGCTATAATCAACTATGGTCACAAATTCAATCAAAAGGATTCTTAAAATATGCAACGCATTTAACTTCAACTTGAACAAAAAGGATTAAACTCATGGCAATGCATTGGAATATATTCAAAGTTTAATTTAAACAGATTAAGTTGCATAGCTTTGATATTAAAAGAAGCCTTAACATTTCTTTCTTAATTATTTTTTTTAAATTATTTCATGCTTGAATTCTATGGTGAAAAATTTCAGAGTGTCAAATATGTTTCATTAACGTTGTTCCTATCTCTACTGTTTCAATGAAAAATGAAGCGTAGATCAGATATCAAGACAATTTGAGTGCCACATGTAAACATTTTGTTTACCTGTTCATGCAAAAAAAAATCCTAAATGATTTAATCATTAAAAATCAGAAATAAATATAAACAAACAAAGCAACAAACAAGTCTTGGACCTAAGCGAATCTTCACAATTATGTTAAAACTTTAAGTATCAATACAATTGTAGGTAACACGTGATCAGATGAAACATTCGAAGATCTTTTGTATTTGGTGTATGAAACAGTTATAAGCATTGCTCACGTTAATTATAAAAATCTGTGTCTGTTGCTTTCAGAAACATGTTTTTCTTTTAATGATGATTAATGTTTGCAGGTTTCATATAAATAGAGATTCTTCCGTCTGGAAGTTTAGTAGCTTTAAAGAGAAGTAACCAACTTGTTTTCAAAATAAAACTTAATAAAAGCGGACATCATGCTTAAATTAGTGAAAGTTGTTTTTTTATTCATTGTTATCTTAAATTTTTGTGAATCGTTTCCTACTGAAACGATTCATCCTCAATCATCGCCAGTCTCAAAATCAGAAAGTAAAATTTCTGATGGGATGACTGAAATGACCGACGAAGATTTACGTGCTAAAAGAGGTGATTTAAGATAAATAACTTTGTCAAAAAGATTTTAATTGGAAAATCTGTTTTAATCAATTTATTTCAGATCACCATCACCATCATGATCATCACGATGATTACATACTTGAGAAACGTTATGGACATCAAAATCATTACTATCTTGTAAGGGATCACCATAGCTTTTTAATTCCAAACGTTCATCATCTCGATCATCATTATTACATCCCGCATCATGACAGTAACCATCATTATAGCATTTACCATCCGACACATCACAATGACCCTCATGATGTTCTACGTAATTTTTACTTCAGTCATGGTCATCTTAATGAGGATAAATATCATCATCATCATCACCATCATGACCACGATGATAGAAAACATCATCATCATAAGCATCATCATGATGATAAAAAACATCATCATCACCATCATCATCATGAAGCTGAAAATCACGATTACTACAATTTCAATCCTCAGGGTCTTATCCACTATAATCACCATTTTGATCCGTATGGAAATCATTATTTTAACACAGTTGGTCGTTAACATAAAAATAGATTTTCGACTTAAACTTCATCAATTTATATATATTTAGATTTATATTGAAAATTTAATATTTTCCTATTTTTATATATTAGATAGTTATTTTTGTTTTCTATTTTGATATTTATCATTTGATACAATTTCATCGTTGTCAAGCATTTATAACTAATGGCTAATTCTATTTATTTCGATCTTATAAATAAATAAATATTGAAGGACATAAAAAAAGAAATCTATTTTAATAAAGATTGACACGTAATGTGGATTAAGTTATATGAATAGACAACAAAATAATGATTCATTACCCATAATTTAATTTGTCATCATATAATCAGATAAACATCTTTTTGGCTATGTATTTTAATTTTAGGTTTCATCAAATATTTTTACACCATTCAGTATACAAAGGGGATAATAAATATCGAGCTTAGGTAAGATTACGTTTAATTGAAGCACTAAAAATCAGATTCTAATATGAAACAAAGTTTGATCATCAAATTATTTCCTTTTGAATCATTTTTCGTTTTACTATTTTTATTGGTAATCGGGAAATAAAAACTTAAACTGATAAATATCATGTTTGCTAAATTCTGATCAAGTATGAACTTAAACTAAGATTGGTAAAGAAATTGAAAATTTTTCAGATGTTGTTAATTAGATACTTTTCAGCGTTTGTTTTAAATAAATAAAAACCAAAGTTGCTTTTCCTTATAATCTATGCAACAATATAGAAACAACGCTGGGAGCGAAAATTCAACTTGTTGTACCACCACATATTGTAGGAATTTCTATACAACATTAGATGAAATTTTTGAATTTATGAATGGAAGGATTTGTTAGTAACATAATTCCTTAAAATTGTTTCGTTTACAAATACAAAATTCAACTGAAAATTGAGATGAGGTGTAAAAGCAAATTCTTGATAACAAAATTGATTTTAATTTGAATCCTAATATTAATATAGATGAGTGGTTTGCATAAGCAAATGAATGTCTGAAGTCAGATATTCCTGAAGTTCGTCAATTAGTTGGATTAATTTATATTTTTAAGTTAATCGTAAATGTTTAGGGATACTTACACTTGTAATGTTTTTCTTCATTGAAGAAATACTAAAGGAATAACTAGGTCGCAATATTTTATGTAATGGTGCTGAGAAGAATCGTAATCGTAATTTAGGTTTGTTTGAAACATCAAAGAATTTTGAGAGCATTCATGTATGAATAACTATGCAGAAATTAAGGAAAAAAATTAATAATTTAATTTAATTATTCGGCTATCATTTATTTGATCAACTGTTTAGGTTGTTACCTCATAATAAGAAGCACTTTCAAAGGAAATCCCAGAATTCGTTTCTGTTTGTTTTGATTTAATGGTTTTAATGAAATATGACTGGAAATGACAATCAACATTTCACACAACAAAACAGTTGCAATAATGAAGCAAAGCAATTAAAAACTTTGTCAGAAATTTCAGAATTCATTAATTTGAATGAAATATCTACAATTTGATTATAATCAGCACTTAATGGGATTAAAGCGTCTCCATAGAGAAGAAAAACTTTACCATTCCTATTATCTAAGTTTGTAAATGTTTTCCACAGTTTGATTTTGATATCCAAGCAACATGAAAGTAGAAACAGATAAGAATTTAAGAAGTTTAAATATTTTTGGAATTCTTTTGATGGCTTTACGTTCATCAAGTGTGAATTCTCGGCATACCAAGACTAATTGCTCAAATATATTTATAATAATTATATTTTGTTGGATGTCTTATTCCAACATAATAAACGATCTTTACACGTATTCCGATACATTTTCAATGTACGCTTTTTCAATTGATAGATCAACAGTTTTATTCGTTATAATCGCAATATTTGCACATGCAATCTTCAATCATGGAAGAATTAAAGATTTTTTCACATCACTTGATGACATTGATAGATTGTTAAGCAAAAAATTCAATATTCACTTTAATTACAAAAGGATGAGGATCTTCAATGATTTTCTTCTATCAGCATCTTGTTTTCCAATAATTAAATCAATTCAAACAATAATTACTTTACAAAGGGGCGTTTACGGTGTAACAATGTTCTGTTTATTCATTTCCGCTCAAGTGTTGTTGAATATTTTTAAATTATTTTATATTGCTGTTATCATTCAATTTCTTGTTCGTTTCGTGAATTTGGAAAAATCTTATAACAATTATTCCAACAAATTTATTACTGTCAACAAAAGAACATTCGAATGTTTTTTTCATAAATCTCACAGAGCAATTGAATTGTTTAACAAGAACATGGGATTTATAATTCTCTTGACAATGTGTAAGTAGAGAGAAATGACTAATCCGTTTAGTTTAAATGCTTACATTACTTGTAATTGGATGTTTAGTGAACTCGTTTGTTCGCATTGCAACAAGAACTTTCATACTTTCTATCATTTTAACTGATAGAAGTGATTTGGATGTAAATATGTTGTTATGTGAGATTTATAACTTACATGAAATGTGAAGCTTTTCTATTTATATAAATACATTTAAAATTTAAACAGATTCGCTAGTGTATCTAATTTATGAAGTCATTATGATAACTTGTTTGAGTTTGCTTGCTGGCTTCGCACAAATCACTATCAAGAATATTCTGAGAAGATTTTTAATCGTCTTACTTGAACAGGAATTGGAGGATAAAGAAGTCACAGATGAGGTTTCCAAATAATATTCACAGACATTTCCAACATTTCATTAATTTATTTTTTAAGGTTCATTTGCTTGCTTTGCAACTGTCAAAATTAAAGTTTAACTTTTCAGCATTTGGATGCTTTGATATTGGCTTTAATGTCATGAAAGAGGTTTGTTTCCTTATAAAATATTTAAAATAAAGTTAGTCAACCTCATACTTTTTTCAGATATTATTTGCTGTCGTCACTTATATGGTCATTTTGTTACAATTTAGATACGGCTAGGAATGTCATTACAAGCCTTTGGATAATCATTACATCATTGATATTTGTTTATATCTAATTAATTGTATGTTTTGTGTAACATGAATGTCTGAGCTGAGAAGATTTTAAACAACATAAATTATGAAAGAAATTAATGTCTAATTTATCAATAATTTATCAAATAAACTGACTTACGTAATTTTACTTTTCTGAAACAATTATTTAGCTTTCTATTTGCAATATCGTTTAAATATTTCAAGTACATTGAATAATCTGAGTTAATTTTCAAATTTTTCTGACAGTTCTTGAAGTTTCTGTATTTACTGAATTTGAATGAAGATACTCTTGAAACAAAAATTCGTCTAAATGGAAACAATTTTAGATGGGTTTGTCAGGAGTTTCAGCATTGGAATTTACCGCTGTTTCGCTGCAGGCTTTTCCGCTTGCTTGCTTTCAGATTTTGTAACAGTGGGATTTTAAGTATGTGTTTTGACAGTCTTTGGATTGCAAATGTTTCGTCCCATTATCATTTATTTTTGTCAGGATTGTTAAGATTGCATTTAAGACAGTTTCACGGTATGTTAACATATATTTGATACTCAGAATAGATTGTCTTCACAAATAACGCAACAAGTGTGAAAATGTGGAAATTAAGAAATTCGTTTCTTGAGACATCGTTGAAAATTTGAAGATTTTTCATCTACTTTTAAGTATTGTGTTATTATGTACAATCGCTAATTAACCGTTTTAATTTAACTCAAGCTCTTTCAAGTTCAAAGGTTTTAATAATTAAAGTTATTTAGGTAATAAGCAGAATCTAAAATAACACGTAGGCTTTGTAAAAATTTTACGAGAAATTGTACAAGTAAATAACAACTTTCATAACTAGGTAGAAGTTTTCTCGAAAGAATGTGGTTAAATCCTGTTTCCGCGGTCTCAAAATTCAAAGCTAATAAGGCAAATTCAATAAATTAAATTAAAAATAAATTTCTATACAGTGGTTTTGATGGAGTTTCTTGGTCTATCTAATATCAACATAAGTAAAGTTTTGCAGATTACCTACCACATTTATTTGTTGAAAAGGATATTTGAAATTAATAACATAAGAGTATATTTTCAATTTATTAGCCTGAATATTTGACCATGGTAAATATTTATTTTTCAATTTTGTAAACCATGAGTGAATTCGTTCATTAATATAATTTTCACTGTAAATGCTTGGAGTTAGTTATTTCACATAAACTCTTGTAAAGTTCATTAATGTTCACATGCTTTAAAAATGAATAGAAGATTTAACTTTGGACATAAAATTTGAAGAGTCACAGAATTCGTATATTCTTTAATTAACTTTTTGTGGAATTTTATGAATTCAATCGAAAATAAGCATGGAATTTTAAGCATAACTTTTCATATTCCAACCTGTTCCAGTTACATTTCGTTAGTTAGAAAATTTTAACGGAATTTTCACTTTTAAATTTCTTTCCGATATATTTCATCGACTCACCTTGATATTAAGTACACCTTACTAGATTAAAATGAATAATGATGAAGAAAGTCGAAGATTACCTACCTTATTATAAGTGTAATGATTATCTATGAACTAGTCTATGAATGTCACAAATTTAATTTTAGTTATTCTACCTAGTATTACCCAAATAGACACAAATTTTTGCACTTATTTAAAGAACCGTCTGACTTGAACGTCTAACATGTATCGCAGGAAAACAACGCAAATTGTACAAAATAAAATTTAAAAGCTTACATTTATAGGAGAAGACTTGTTACTAGAGAATAACGAACTAAATGAATATTAACTTTCAGCCATCACCCTATACACTCATAATGATGGGTCAACATGGGGAAGTGTCCAAAATTTAAATTCGTTTTTCTATTAAGAAATTTCTTTTCTTAAAACGGTATGCATCCTAAAGTGTTCGTAATTTAAAGCACATGAGATGTTATTATCACAATTGGTAAATTAAACCAGATAAATTAAAATATAAAAAAATTTGTTTTCTCGTTGAAGCATCAACTCGTACGCACGATTCCCGTCAAAATATTTTCTAATGCATTTTATATATGAAAAGCCGAAACATAAATTAATTCTGAAGTAAGCAAAACAATTTTTTTATCGCTCTCTCTTTCCTAATAAGTATGAATCTAAATTGTGTGCATTAAAACCGTCACAAGTTCAACATCAGAAACTAGCGCGAAGGTAATTGAAGCTCGGATATATCCGTGGTTATCACCGAGCGTCACTTGTAAATACATATGAAACGATCCATCAGATGATCTTGTTCGGCTTTAGTGTACGAGAGCTTTATTAAATGATATGACAATTGGCATTACTTGGAGTTTTTTTTCATCAAGGAGAGTTGGTATCAGTCGCTTTGGAACCGTTGTCTCGATAAGTTCGGTTGATGGAAGCAGTTGTGTGATAAATCTTTATTAAGTGGATTTAAATTATATCTGATAAGAAGTGAAAGAAACGTGACCTAGGAAAATTATTTTAAAATGTATAAGCATCAGGACGTGACTGATATTCAGCATCAATATTTTCGAAAACCTGAGCAACTTACTAGGAAAGAAGCTTTCAGACGATTCTTATGGAATCCAAAGACTAGAGAATGTTTCGGACGAACTGCATCGTCATGGGGTAAGAGAAGTTAAAAGTTTATTGTTCGCGAAACTATTAACAATTTATATGTTGACCCTGAAAATTTTCCTGACTCAGGACACATAAATCGACATTAACTCATCTGGTTTCCGTTAGAACTAGAAAATGAGATAGAATTTAATGATCAAATAAATTCGAGGCCACACCACATCTCCGATCGTAAAAGGCGAGAAAAAAGTAGTCGCAGAATTAAGCAATCTTGAATTAAATGTACGATTTTTCTCAACTTTTAAATTGCTTCTTCCTATTTAAATTGAACAGAATTTTAAATTAGAATCGCTCATCATGCAGTTTTTTTATGTTTTTCTTTCTTTTTTTTTTGTGTACATATTTCAATGTGAAATGTTTTATGATAACGAATATTATTATTACGTCAATTGTCTCGGAAGAGAAAAATATTATTTTTTGCATAATTTAATGATCCATTAGGAAGCTTTAATTTAAAAGAGATATTAATGTAAAGAAGAAGTACTTTCTTTGTTCTTCTTTTATCGAATATCAAACTTCAGCTGCGCAATGAAATACTAGAATAAGCGTTGGGAAGCAACAAAAACTTTGAAACTTAAAAAAATCAACACAAATAACTTTCCGACTTATACAAATAGCTTGTACGGATATTTCTTACACCTTGAAAAACCTGTTTGCTCCTTTTGTACACACACTTTGACATAAACATGGGGTTGAAGGATATCTACGTAAATCCTGAGTAGTTTTCGATTTCATTTTGGTGGTTCATCGAACTCGCACGTATTATGCGTGACATACAAAGTGCGACACAAATCGATGTTAATCAGGCAATACTAAAAAGTGGTTTTTGTTTTACACATTTGTACGATCACCTCACACTCATGCAATTCCACTCACATTTTCTTTATTTCTTAACTATAGCTTTAGTCGCCTTTAAACAATTCAATCGCTCTCTCGTATATTCTTAACAATTTTACTGCAAATCACAATTTAAGTGCAGTAGATTTGACAAAAAATATTTAAAGTTACTCAGTTGATGTTTAGAAATTAATTTGAAAGCAGCTAGTGTGAAAATATTAAAGAAAATTATGAAAAATTGTTAAATAAATTAAATTGTTAACCACCGCCCTCCGTCCACTAAGAAATTGAAGTTCTTAACGGCCTTCTCAAAAGCCACACGCCGTACTTCCGTGTGCTGTGTCTTATTTTACAACTTAAAGTGTTTTAAATTAATGACTAAGTAGATATTACCAAGGAATAATTAAAAAATGAAGAGAAATCCAAGAATGGGAAAGGAATATAATACAAATTCAATGGAAATGGAACAGCCATTCTATGTCAGGCAAAGGCCTGCTCCCATACCTTTCCACCAATTTCTTTATGACAGTAACAAAAATACGGTTCTTGGTCGAACTGGTTCATCATGGGGTAAGTGCAATCGTTAGATGGATCATTGAATGTCTCGTGTACAAAGTGTGTACATCGGATAGGAATTTTAAAGTTTTTTTTCGTGGCGTAAATATTATCAGAGATGAATAACACAAATACTAAAGTTGCGTTCGATTACACAGGTGTGGTTTTGTTTTTATTCCATTTCACCATCTTCAGCATGTTACATTTGTTTATTTGTACCAATACTATCATGGAACGCTCTCTTTCTTGGAGAAGTTAATTAGTGAATACAAGGGCGGGTCTCTCATAACTTAACATTTAGAAGATCGTTTGCAACACTACAAAACATAGCACAAGAAGCAAAGAGTTTGAAGATGCTAGCGTAGACGATTCAACGATTTTTTTTCTTATCAGCATATAAAATTATGTGAATTGACACATAAAGTTCATCATTCATGTTGCTACTTTGAAAACTACATTAAGTAGCGTGTTGTTGATGAGTCATCAGAAATGTTCTAGGGGAGACTAAAAAGCAAGAGAATTTAATTTCATTTTATTTATTTATTCTCTCAGTCGTGGGTCAATTGAATTATGTTTGATTTTATTCATCGAAAAGATTATTAGCAACTTCAAGCTTCATTTTTGTCAGATTAAATTCACTGTAATTATTGCAAAAAGGAAATGAAAATTCAATTGAATGCATGACATAACATTTTTATGTGTTGCCAATTGCTGCACGATTTTTTCAAGGATTTAATTATCTGAAAACTAAACTTAAGTACGTTGTAAGAATTGCCATCGAAAATATTGAAATAATTTAAATATTATTATTCGGGGGTCATAAGTAACTTGAAATTTCCTTTAAAAACTATTGCAACAGAAAAACTTGCCACATTTCTAATGAACAATATAAAACTTTCTTATATTCATCCGTGACAGTTTCTTGTTACACGTTGATAGTAAAAATAATTCTTGGCTTGATGCAATTTCTGACGTTTTTTTTTTGTGGTTTCATTTCTCTTAATCTCTCAATTTTAATTTAAAATCAAAACTTGAAGTAGAAGTCAAACATTATGGCGATGATACTTATTTAGCATAAATAAATAACGATTGTCTACTCTATTTAATAGCCTATTTATTATGTATGAAGTACGAAAATTGCTAAGTTATTGAATAATTTGAAAATTGTCGTTCACTTGCAAAATATCTAATAGAAAAAAAGAAGCTTTTCTCTTGAAAACGATTGCTATTGATATGAATGCAGTTGGCGAGTAAAAACAAAACTTGTTTACATAATGAAATGAATTAAATTTACATTCATGCCACGTTCGTCGTTACACTTGATAAAATATCGAGACTTTGTAAACATTCTCATTGACGTATGAGCTTGCCTGAGTTAATTGTTGATAATCATTTATGAATAATTCAGAGGAGAATAAAAATTGTAATGAAAAATGAAATTGTTAATCTTAAAAACTTCAAAGACCATAATTTGACCCTGAAGTTTGTTCCCCTATTATCGATAATACTAACGTAAAATAACTGCGCGCAAAATCTTAATTCATTCTTGTTTTCTTCTTGATTTACAGCAAAGATAGGACTTTTCTACACAATATTCTATCTTATGTTAGCAGCCCTTGTTACTGGTTGTATGATAGTCTTTTTGAGTACACTCAATCCGCGCATCCCTAAGTGGCAATTACATGAGTCACTCATCGGCACAAACCCAGGTATGAAATAAACTTTGAAGGGTTGAAAATCAAATGATTTGTTTGTCTCCTTTATTAAGGTTTGGGTTTCCGTCCATTGCCTCCAGAGGATAATGTAGAAAGCACATTGATCTGGTATAAAGGAACAAGCGAAGATCAATACAGAGTGTGGACACAAGCGCTTGATGAGTTTCTCGAACGTAAGTTAATAGTAAATCGATTAAAAATTATTAAATTATCTTGATATTTATAAATGAAATGTGGAAGTTCGCCAACAATTATCTTAGTAGCATTACTTACATCGTCTGACTTAAATTGGATTTTAATGTGCAGTGAAACGATTTTTATAACTTTTGTTTTGAATGTTAAAAACAGAAATTGAAAACCTTTAAAAATTTTGCAATAACATTCAACCACATTTCAAGTATCAATTAACATTGACAAATTGGCAACTATGAATGATTCCTATTTAATGTAAATCACTTGCAGCTTACAAGAAACCTGGGTCAATAGCGGGACATGGCGCGACCATTTTCAATTGCGATGAAGACAGTAATCCGCCGAAAGGTCAGGTGTGCGAAGTCAAAATTGATAAGTTGTATCCATGTGTCCAAGAAAATAGATATAATTATCATCGAAGCCAACCGTGCATCTTCTTGAAGCTTAACAAAATCTTTGGTTGGGTTCCACATTTCTATAATGACACACAAAATTTACCGGATAATATGCCAGAGGATTTGACGAAGTTCATTCAAGACACGGAAAAAACAAATTCGAAAAAAGTGAGTTTTGTTAACAATTGAAGAATTTAATTTAAATTGATGAACGACTTTAGTTAAACACAATTTGGGTGTCATGTGAAGGAGAAAACCCTGCAGATATTGAGAATATCGGGCCAATACATTATTATCCTATGCAAGGATTTCCTGGCTATTATTATCCCTTCGAGAACGCTGAAGGATATTTGAGTCCACTTGTTGCTGTTCATTTTTCACGTCCAATAAGTAAGTGAAATAAACTTGATCGCGCTTTTGAAGAGTTTAATTTGAGAATCTTTGTCTATTTTTAGCTGGCATCATTATCAACATTGAATGCAAAGCATGGGCTAAAAACATCAAGCACGATCGCTCAGACAGAATAGGTTCAGTTCACTTTGAACTTTTGATTGATTAGAATAAGGAATTCGAATCTCTAAATTGATTCTTCATTTGAAGACAAATCTCAATCTCAATCTGCCCAAAAATTACTCAAAAATTGAGTCTCGAAATCAAGCACAATATCAATCTTTTTAAAAACAATATGAAGAAGATTTGAATCTCAAAACATAAAAGCAATCAATGATTCGCCTTTAAAAGAAATCAAAGAGATCTGTAGTTTTTTAGACAATCTTAGAATTAAATGAGTTTGAACTCATTAAAAAAGAGGAAAAGTAAAATTTAAAGACCAACTCGGAATGTAACATTTTTCAACAATGTTTCTTGTTTTTTTTTGTCCAATAATATTAAAAATATCTAATAAAATGAAAAGAAAAGTTCAATTGAATTATTTAAAGAGAATAAAACAAGAAAAATTATTTTAATTAGTTATAGATAATAATTTTATTATTTTTCTTTTTTGTTTGTTTCTTTCAGGTTTTGTTGCGATCATTTCATGACAAATCAAACAATTTTGTCATTTAAATCGCTGCGACATTTCTTAATATCTTAAATAAATATTAAAAACAGCAACTTAAGGCTAAAATGTTTCAAATGAGATTAAGAAGTTAATTAATTAGTCACTGTGGTGTTTCCCAAAGTCCGCATTAATTTGTAGCATTCTTTGAGTCGATGTTTGTCACCATAGCGCTCATTTATTCTGCAAGCTTCTTCAAGCAATCCAGCTCGTTCACCAGGTGATGACAAACAAGCTTGCGGTAAATGTTTGACAGCAACATATAAAGCTGAAGCTCTCTCACGTTCGCCATCATATTGATGACGATCTTTTGAGCCACAAATGATTGATTGCTTGCTGTTTCGTTGACGGAGACTTCTATCCAGGAGGAATTGTGTCTTAATTGGAGCTGCACCAGACATCAATCGTAACACAGCTTCATAGAGATAAATTCTCGACTGTGCATTCTGAAAAAAAAATTATTAGAATAATCCAGAAAAAAAGTTGAATTCAGATAAACTTACAGGAATATTGATGGTTAAGCATCGAAGCAAGTGCAAATCATTTTGGAATTTGGTCAGGATTGACGATTCAACAGGAACGAAATTATAATAATCATTGTCATAACTTCCATACTCCAACTCCCATAAAGAAGTTCTCGCTTCCATAATCCAATCAATTGCCAAAAGTTGTGCAAACTAAAACAAATTGAATTAAATTTTATTTCTTTTTCATAAAAATCTTTTTTAGAAAATAGTTTTCGATGTCACTTTGATGTTGATGAATTAAATCATCATGAGGGTTGCACTGCAGAAGTATTGCAGAATATTTTCAAGCTCATCACATGCAATGCAACTACAATGCACCCACATAATGATCAACAAGATTTCTCTTTTCTGAAAATGATTTTCAATTAAAATTTATTAACTTACAAGAATTTTTCCTTTCAAAGGTCCTTTGCATTTTGTCGTTGTGAGACTGTCTTCAAGATAATGACTTGCAGCATTGCAGTCACGATAAATCTGACGAACATCAGCTGGAACTCCTTTCGACCTGATGGAAAAATTTATCAACTTTATTTCATTTAAAATAATTAAGAAACTCACATTAATCCTTTTCTTGCATTCCAAGCAGCAAACAAAGCTTTTGGCAAATTATTTTCCAAGCCAGTGAAGTCGGCTGGCCACTTTTCAATGAACGAATATAATTTTTCAGCTGAATTGTCTTCACCAAGAAGCCAGAAAGCAGCAACACTTAAAAGACTGCACCACCATTGAGTTAAACGATCCTCGCATAGAACTTGTCCGTCTTTTAACGAAGCAACTTTATCAGCAAATTGAATTGGCTTCTCATCTGACAAGCTGTGATTAATGAGTTCAGCATAGCTAAGCACGTCACTAATCTGTGATCCTTTGAGTGATATTTCACCTTCAATGCCATCACTTGCTTCATCAGCTGATGAATTTGGACTCGCTTCAGCTTCTTGCGTTTGTTTTATTTCCTTTCGATTGCATTTAATCGATGATCCTTTTGTGACTTCATTTTTACTCGATCCTGATCCGACAAGACATTGAATTGCTTTCTCCAATAAATGTTCACGATAATCTCTCAAAACATATGAAAGTGGATCTGCTTTATTTCCCAACTTACTGAAAACCGACGTCTCAGGCATTTGACTTTCATAACGGAAACGATGAGTGACTAAAAAGCGATAACCGTATGGTGTAAACGCCCATTGGAATCTTGATGGAACGTGACTGCAACTTAAGCTTGTTTGCTTCGCTTTACTCAAATAGTATCGACAAAAGAATTGAAAGACTTTCGGATAAGTTCGTTTAACGCGTAAGGCAGCAGTTAAATAAATTTCTATCAGATTTTCAGGTTCCATCGTATTTCCAGCTGCCTCTGCCATGTTCAATGCGCATAACGACAACATTAATCCATTTGAGTCTTTCATGTTTGTCGACAGATGAAGTTGATTCATACGATGATAAACAAGAGCAAGTTCTTTAGCTGAACTCAAAGCTTCAACACGATAAGCTTCCGATTTGAAGATTCCTCCATTACGACGTGACAAGAATCGACCAATCCAAAGACGATGAAGTCCAATTCGAATAAATTGCCAGGTTGTTGATGCAAATCGCTCTAAACGTGACATTGGCAATGATAATCCAAATGATTGTAAACAACGAACGAGTTCCTCATACGATTCTTTTCCTTTGCCCTGTTCAAACGTAAACAAAATGAAATTTATTTTACAAACATTCATTGAAACAATTTTCATTTTCTTACTCTTTCAAAATCTAAGTCAGATTGCTTTTTATGCTTCCAATATTTGTTACTCTCATTTGATTGATTTCTCAGTATTGGATCGCCATAAACGAGCATTTTGATGAGACAACAAATAAGGAAAAGAACGTTTAGCAGCCATAACATGAACATTGATGAAACATTTTGCAATGACATGTGTCCAGAATCTAATCAGGAATGAAGAAAAATTATTAATTTTAAGAGTAATTAACTTCATGTTCAACTTACCATCCTCCCACCATCTCAAAATCTTTCGTCCCGTATCTCCAGAATAATTATCATCAAATTGACTTGAACTTCCACTAATCCCATTCAACATTTTACTAAATGGATTAAGAACGAATACAGCAAACATGAACATACACAAAGTAAGCCTTGAATGTGCTGTCATTCCACGAACTGATGACACGTCACTGCTGTTATCATCTGAATCGTCTTTCATTCCAGAATCAAATGGAGATGATGGCATTGATGAATCGGAATGTGTTGGTGAAAGGGAAGGATTTGATTCGTCACTTCTTGGTGGTGTCATGACGCCAACATTCTGTTGAGCTGATAGTAAATCTTTGAGTCCGTGTTTCCTTTCAGTCATCACATTCTTAAGGTACATGTTCTCTTGCTTCAGTTTATTGTTTTGATTCTGCAAGTGACGAATGTGATCAATCGCTTTCCTTAAAATTGCTGACTTGTGCAGCTTTGCGTCAACGCCAACGACAATGTTTTTCAATTCAACAATACATGAGTTGATTGATGTTCGATAGCGTCTTTCAATTGCATTGTGAGCTGATCGTTTCACTTCCTTCACCTTTGGTGGTCCACTGCCAATAGAAAAATTATTTTCTCCATCAAGAACAAGCGAGTTAAGAACAATTGTTCCTGGCGCGTTCACCAATTGAATGTTTTGTCCATCATTACACGCTGTTGTTGTTGTGTACATGACGGGATTAGCTTGAAGTAGCATGGGTTGTTTATCACCAGTCGTTTGAATAAGTTGCATAACAGGCAGAGCTTGTGTTGGTTGAATTGTTGCTGTTTTTTGCTGTTTAATTGGCGGCTGTTTTGTAACTTTTTGATTTGCTGGAGCAATTGTCTTTAAATTATAAAAATTCGAGTTCTGTAGAACGATTGTAGATGGTGTTGTTGTTATAATGTTTGGATGGTTCTTTGTAAGGATGACTGATGTGGGTACAGCAGAAGCAATCGGTTGTGGTTGAATTTTTACATTTTGACCTTGATTTTGTTTTTGTTTACTTTGTGCTGTTGCTGGTTTAATAGGCTGATACTGAGACACTTTAGCAGCTTGTGGCTTTGATGCTGGTTGTGCTGATAACGCTTTAGCTTGCGTGATTTCACTGAAAGCGTTTGTAACGGGAGCTGAAGTCATTGCGACGTCTTCACTTTTAATTTCAACCTCTTGATTTTGAGACCCTGCAGGAGCTGGATTATTCTCATCCCAGCTTAACTGACTTAAGAAGGTTTCATCCATTATATTCAATAGTTTTTCCTCATTGAGAGCATCTTGGAAAATAAAGGAAAGTTAATAAATCGAATATTTACAAAATTATTTTTATTTTTGCGCAAATTTCATAGAATTAAAGTTCTACTTACAAATTTCGTTGAGGTCCAAGTTTTCTGGAATATCCAGATCCATTTGGTGTTGGAACTGGTCCCAATCATCCATGATTTTCACAGTTTTCCTTAAAATTCACTTTATTTCGAAAGTTTCTTTCTCTTTTACAAATCTTTTATAATTCAACCAATCAGAGCGTCGGAAGGGAATCTGATGATGGAGCTCACTTTGGAAATGATGTCACAATACAAATTTTCCGATGACTAATTCATTTTCATGAACAAATGATGCAACGCATTTATATAAAGGATATTAGATCATTAAATTGACGTTTCATTATTTACAATTCCATAGTTTATTTGAAACATTAACTACTTATTCATTCTGAACGTTGATAACTTGTAGCACGCATTTTTTATTACATTAATTTTTATCATTGATGAATTACTCTCACTTCGTAGTCCATTAATCTATGCTTTGATCTAGTACTTTAACATAAAATTCAAAACAAAGAATTCAATTAGAGGAATTCACGACAACTAGGTGGTTTCGTGTGATCAATGATGGTGAAGCTTTAAAAACATATTTTTTGTCATTCAAATGTAATGTTGACAATGCTTAATTAATATGTTTCGGCATTTTTATTTGATTGAATGCGTTTAGAAATTTTATTTTCAAATATTCTGCGTTATTTATCAGTTACTAATTTAGCGGTACATTTCCTACTGGTGCGATAAAATAAGACTCATCTTCTGTTTTCTTAGCATTTCTCATGATATCATTTTTTATATTCTTTTCAGTAACTTTATCATCCCTTAACACTAGCGGGTCATGTTCTAGAACAGTGTAAAGAGGATCCACATTTGTTGTGTCAATATTTTGAATTTTACTTCCAAATTCAATAGAATCTTCCAGCACTTTTACAGCCTCCCTAAAATGAAATGAGTAGGTATTGTGCTTTTAACAATTTTATCATTAACAAAATTTGCTCATAACTCTTACTTTCTTTCCAAATCTACCAAACTCAAACGCTCAAGAAGAATTATTTCATCTTCTGTAATTTTACTTCTCATTGTTTTTTCTGAGAATTGTGAAGCTACAACATTTTGTGGAACTTTTGTTTTAAACTGTAGTGATTTCCAATCAATATGTGAACCTTTTGATGACACGAACCTTGATTGAGAAAGATATAATCGTGAAATTTTAGAAATCATATTTTAAATAGTGAAATTAATCTAGTACAATAATATTTAACTCGAACAATCGTAGTCCGTATGTAAACAAAACAAAGAAACATCAACAATGCGGCAACTTTGGAAACGAAATATTTCAGTTCGACCCGAATTCGAGCCTCACAGTGTAATTAAAGTGATTTCGAAATTAAAAGTAAATGAAAACTCACACGATGAGAAGATTTCTAAAAAAAACTCGTCTGAAAAGAAAATTGCAAGGGAAAACATTCCTGAAAACATCAACGAAATGGGAATTCAAATGATATCAAGACATTTGTTTAATCAAATATTTAAGAAAACAAATAATACAAAAATCGGCAGCGAATATATTGACAAGTATGAAATAATTTACAAATTTAAATGACAATTCGTCAAAATTTTTATGTTTTAAAGATATAGAAAAGAACTCGAACGGCATGGAATAAAAAATATTGAAAATGTACAAGTTGAAGATGTGAAGCTCAATCTTCCCAAACTCAGGGGAGAAAATATTGAAGAACACTTTCAAATCATTGCCAAAGAACAAGTTGAACCATATCAAAAATTAGTTTCACAAATTGTTAACTCAACGCTTCCAGAAATGCCAAAAGTAATTTTTTCATTTAATATTTTAAATTATTTAAACAATTTCTTATTTCATAATTTAAAGGAATGGTCCTTCACTCCTGGTTGGACACGTTACGATCCTGTAAAAGGACCACAGTCAATCTTACATCCTGAAGAAACTGCACTCGTGTTTGATGTTGAAGTTTTAGTTCCTGTTTCGCAAGCCCCTGTTATAGCATGTGCTGTAGGCTCTAAATATTGGTATTCCTGGACCAGTAAGAAGTTAACAAATCCTTCTAGACATGACACAAAGAACAAGAAAGTGTCAACTGAAGATATGATTCCACTTGAATCAAATTCCGAAGATGTTTCGTTTAATTTAAGTGAAAAATTTCGAACTCCTCGAATAATCATTGGCCACAACGTTTCATATGATCGCGCTAGAATTAAGGAACAATATTGGATTGAAAACACAGCCACACGTTTTCTCGACACGATGTCGCTTCATGTTTGTGTGAGTGGCATCACAAGCTACCAGCGTGCTATGCTTAAAGCTCATAAAGAACTTTCAGAAGACGATCAAATGTGGGGAAGTTTGACTTCACTTAATAGCCTTACAGAGGTTCATAATCTTTATTGTCAAAAGGAAGAACGATTAAGTAAAGAAAGGAGAAATATTTTCATGGAAGGAACAATGAAAGATATTCGTGATGACTTTCAAAATCTTATGAATTATTGTGCCAATGATGTTGTAGCGACAAATGAAGTTATAAAAAAACTGTTTCCTATGTTTGAAGAAAGATTTCCACATCCAGCTACGCTTGCTGGAATGTTAGAATTAGGAACCGCTTATCTTCCAGTCAACAGCAATTGGACACGATACATTAATGAAGCTAACTTAACTTATGAAGATTTTGACATCGAATCGAAAACTCTTCTCTCACAAAGAGCTGACAATGCTTGTCGTTTGATGCATAATGAGAAATATAAGCAAGATTTATGGATGTGGGATCAAGATTGGAGTCAGCAAGATTTAAAATTGAGAAAAGGAAAGCCGACAGTCAAAGATTCTCAAGATACGAAAATAAATTCTTCCGATGAAATGGAAAATCTTTCGAAAAAGTTTGAGAAAATAATGAATAAAATGTTTTTACTTCCTGCTCGTCGTACACTTCTTCCCGGATATCCTTTGTGGTATCGAAAGCTTTGTGAGAAACCAAACGATGACAACGAATGGAAGCCTGGACCTGTCGATATTGGAACTGGAATGCAAGTTGCACCAAAGCTTTTATCACTCTGTTGGGAAGGTTATCCACTCCACTACATTCGAGGCGAGGGTTGGGGCTTTCTTGTGCCAAATAAATCTGAAAGACCTGATAATGAAGATGGAAAAATTCCACTTGAAGCACTTGTTAAGAAATGTCCAGTTCTTGGCGTTAAAAATAAAGCAAGCGAAAATGAAAGCTCTGAAGCGATGGCAAATCTGTGGAAAAATGTCGAAGAGAATTTAAGTAAGAAAAGTTATTATAATAAGAAAAAGAAGAAGAATTATGAGGATTTTGTTCGTGAAAGGTATTGTGGGTCAGGCGTGTGGTGCGACATTGAACTTGAGAATTGTTGTTGGTTCTTTAAACTTCCACATAAAGATGGCAAATCAAAGAATGTTGGAAATCCATTGGCAAAAGATTTCATTAATAAATTTTCGGAAAATGTGTTATCGGGTGAAGGAAAAATTCCAGAACGAATCATTGAAATCGCTCGAATGCTTTCTTATTGGAGAAATAACAGAGATCGTATTATGGGGCAAATTGTTTGTTGGTTGCCATCGTCGATACTTCCAAAGCATCTTGCAAATAGTGAAATGGAGTATGGAGCGATAATACCGCAAGTTGTTGTTTGTGGAACACTCACAAGACGAGCTATGGAACCGACATGGATGACAGCAAGCAATTCGAAACTTGAACGTGTTGGTTCTGAATTACGTGGAATGGTTCAAGCACCTGCTGGATATAAGATTGTTGGTGCTGATGTTGATTCTCAAGAGCTTTGGATTGCTTCAGTTTTAGGTGATTCTGGGATGAAAATTCATGGTGCGACGCCATTTGGATGGATGACTTTAAGTGGAAGCAAATCAACTGGAACTGATCTTCACACAATAACAGCAAAAGCCATCGGAATATCAAGAGATCATGCTAAAGTTATTAATTATGCGAGAATATATGGTGCTGGTCAGAACTTCGCACAAACACTTTTGAAACAATTCAATCCTTCGATATCTGAAAGTGAAGCAAAATCGAAAGCAATTAAAATGTTTTCGTTAACAAAAGGCAAGAAACTTTATCATCTTTTGCCTGAATATCACGATGATTATCCAAACAAAGGATACTCAAGCTATGAAGCACTTCAAATATCGTCGATTAATCGTAAGAATGTTCTTGAAATGTTCACAAAAGCACAATGGAGTGGTGGAAGTGAAAGTGCGATGTTCAATAAGTTGGAGGAAATTGCTGATAGTGAATTGCCAGTCACACCATTTCTACATGGACGTCTCAGTCGAGCTCTTGAGCCACAAACTGGAATTGAAGATCGTTTTCTTCCAACGAAAATTAATTGGGTTGTTCAGAGTGGAGCTGTTGACTTTCTTCATTTGATGTTGGTTTGTATGCGATGGTTGATGGGAGATCGCATCAAGTTCTGTCTCAGTTTTCATGATGAAGTTCGTTACATTGTTAAAGATGAATTTGCTGATCGTGCGGCTCTCGCTATGCATGTGACGAATCTTTTAACAAGATCATTTTGTGTGTCACGACTTGGACTTCAAGATCTGCCTCAATCAATTGCCTTCTTCACATCGGTTGAAATTGATTCGATTCTTAGAAAAGAAGCTGAAAGTGATTGTAAGACACCATCAAATCAACATGGATTTTCAGCTGGATATTCAATCAAACCTGGAGAGTCTGTTGATATTTATGAAGCCATTAAAAGAGCTGGTGATGATTTGTCATCATGGGAGTGGCATAAGAATTAATAAAACTCAATTAATTTTAATAAAAATGTCTGTATTTATATTTTAAGAAATTCTTCAACAAGTTTCGGCAGTTCGTCATCAGGAAATTTATAAAATTTTGGATTTTTTCTTTCCAAAAGTTCGTCATGTTCATTCCAGAATTTTGGTTTTATAAGATCGTCAAATATTGGAACAATTGTTTTCTTGGTTCTACTTTTATCAATCTTAATTTGTTTTGTGAGGAGAATTGTGCCTTTTCTGAAGATTGCTGGAACATTGTTGTAGTTGATTCCAAATTCGCTGAAAAGAATTTCGTTTTTATCACCCGAAACTGTTCCTCGAAGGGTTTCCTCAGCTTCAGAATTCTTCATTCCCTTTCTCAGCACTAAATTCCAAAAACACGTATTGTAAAGATTGTTAATGTGGACATCTGCTTGTCTCCAACTTAAATAATCTTTGAGATTTTCGTCTGTAGGATATAAAACAACTCGAGCATCGAAACTGGGAGGATACTTCAACTTCTCCGAACCGAACCAACGATCCCAATAAAATACAAAAGATGATGTAAATAAACTGTTAACATTTGAAACTATCTTTGATTCTCTTCGGTTATACACAGCTGCACTACGATGGAAAACAAAGGAATATTCGTCAGATTGGCCATAAGACAAAATTATCTCGTTGAACTCTTTCATCACACACGAAGCAGCAAAATTCATTAAGCTTATCCCTCGCATATCATTTGGTTTCTCAAAGTTATGAGCATCAGTAAACTTATGAAAACTCTTTCCATCAAGCCTCACAACAATCCAACAATTTGGAAGAATTCTGTCGTCTTTTTCGAAATCCTAAATAAAAAACAGATCTGGTAAATTGAAATATTCCATGATGGTTTAAATGACATACCTTAACATATTCATATCGACTATTTGCCATGACAGATTTATGTAATTGTTTCTTAAAAGTTTCATAAAAACACGAGACACGTTTGTTTACAAGCCTAAAGTTACTCAACATTATGAAAGTAAATGAATGTTTCAATGTTTCCTCGAATGTTTTAGGATTACGCTGATCATCGTACCAAAAACAATGAAACATTCTAATATGATTTTAAAATTGTCCGTTAAATTTTCCAACTTTCTCTGAAACATTTTTACGAGTAAATAAAAACAAAAATATTTTAATATACGTTTTAATTTAATTTTATTACAATCTCCTGGTATTGAATTAGAAATGAAAAATACTTGCGTTCAGTTCAGTTTTTACGTTGTTTTTTTTCGTACATATTTTAAATTTGAGGACATGAATGAAATTATTTTAAATACATTTTTATTTAAAATATGTGTGATGCTGAACGCAATGTAAACAATTAATTAGATATTCTCTTTTTGATGAATGTTTAGATGTTCTAGCGTTTATATCACTAACTTTCTTTTTAACATTGCTTTTATAAAAATGATGATTTAAAAACAGGAAATAGAAAGAGAGAAGGAAATAAAAAGAGATAATAAAGTTTAATGTTGACTTCCTCATGAAAAGAAGTTATGCTAATGGATTAGATATTAATGTATGTTAAAAAATGTTCTTGTTCCAGATTCCTGTTGTTGTATAAGATTTTTATATATTAAGTCCATCTATGTGTATGATGATAGAGGTGACATGTTGGTAAATGTTTAAGTCACTTATTCGTCTTCTTCGGAACCGCTTTCTGTTATAAATTATAAAATAAGGAGTATTAAGAAAGAGATTACTGACAAATAAATTTAAAAAGTTTACCTTCTTCAGCTTTTTCCAACCATTCCATAAATGGTCTCATCTTTTCAAGGAAGTGCATTTTTCCTTTAGGCGAGTGAGCATCCCTGTACCACTTCAACACTGAATCTTCCGAAATGATTTCAACTGAAATGATTAACATGAAAATGATTAAATGTTCTTAAAACAATGTTAAAAATGAAAATCTATTCTAATTATGTACAATTGACTAATCCATTGATATTTAAAGGTATCAGCCAATTCCAAATAATCAGATTTCATTTTAATTTTGCATCATTAAGAATTTTAGCTTTGCAGAAATGACAGGAAAGCTAAAATGTGAACAGATGCGAAAAAGAAAAGTTTAATTAATTAAACTTACGCTTGTAAAAGAGCACCATGATTTTGTAGAAAGAATTCATGAAGTTCATGTTCTCGTAGCAATATTCCTGGATTTTCAAAATCAACGCCAATTCCGAACGTGTGTTTGTTGTGAATGCTTGGAAGAACTGAGCATGTATTTTAAGATGTCTCAATGCTTGATCAGCAACGAGTTCTTCTTTCTTATTCCATTCACCCAAAGACATGATTGTAGTCCAAACCTTAATAATTAATTTTAATTAATTTTCATAGAAAATTGAGACATTTATTTCTACTCACAATTGTAATGACTTCATGTTCTGGAATGATATTCTTTTCAGACAATTCCTTAATGTCGTTAATTATATCTTTATGCGATTTTCCATCCTTAATATCGTCGATAATTGCCTGTAATAATAAAAAAGAGACAACATTAATAATTAATCTTGTACAATTCTAAATAAGTTTTGATGTGACTTTTGACTTTCATAAAATGAATAAAAATGAAATTTAAATCATTTCAAGATCATAACAAAAGTTATTTTAATTTTGCAGCCAATGGAATCCATTCGTGGATAAATTTCCATTAAATGGATTTGTCTTAGATGCGGAAAGAAAGTAAAAAACTGTTTTATTTATTCTATAGAAATAAAAACTTAATTAATGTTTCTTGAAAGTGACAAAATTGTTAACATCAAGCATGAAAAAGCTTGCATAATTTATTAGATCAAGAATTTATATTTAATCTAACAGCTAACAATAAATTGGAACTCTGATAGAGAAAGAACATCAGCCAATTGAACAAAGACTGTAAATTCATCATTTTCATTCAACTACTATAGACAAGAATGAACAGATGAAGGAAAGTGTGAGAAAACTTATATCATTATCATGAAAAGTCATCATGAATTAACGACAGTACGTCTTCCAGCTTTAAAAAGCAAACATTTTTATACCCAGCAATTAAAGCTAGCAAAAGTTCCTTAAAATGTTTAGAATTTCTGCTGAAACACAAAACTGGGCGATTATGTTTAGTCTAGCACATCTTATAAGAGCCAATGAATCAATTAAATTTCTTGTCGGAATCATCAGTGTATGCAAATGTGCTGACCAAAGTTTACATAAAATCTTCTCAATGAAACGCTATAGACAATCATGAGAAGTTGTTTTTGTTTTTGTAATAGATATTATTGACATTGAATCTCATTAATTCGAGTCTAAACAATGTAAGCAAATTCTATTCATTCATCTAGCATCTTTTTTGTTTTAATTTTCCCTGGATGTAAATTTGATAGTTAAACAAAATCACCAGGTTGTCGGCAGATGCCAATGAAATTAATTCAAACATAGACAGAAATTTAATTTCATTTATTTTTCTTTCCTTATGTTGTTTTATGAAATGTCGTGACTATCTTCGTTCAAGAGGTCATTATTAAAATATTATTGACACAATCAAACAGATCGTAGTCCAAAGCATTAATGTCGCATAGGTTCAAAATCGTCAAATTAGATTGAAAAGCATTTGATGAGTCTGCCATATGCATTTAAACAGATAAGAAATAAAAGAAACTTACCGATTGCAATTCACGTTTTGCTTCTTGACTGGCTTGAGCTTTGTGCAACTTAACGATGTCTTCAAGTCCACGATCAGTAAAGATCTTTATGAAGTTCTCTTCAGAGCGTTTGTTCAATGGCAGAAATTCCATCAATCGTGATTCCAATGAGCCTTTTTTCAATGCCGTTATCAAAGCTGGAATTCCGCGTTCTTGCTTAAGTGTCACAAACAACTCCAAGAGAAATTCCAAAGCTACGCCATCCTTTATCAAATGCTCATTATTTAGCACAGCTAAAACTATCGGTGGAACTGCACCACTTGCAACCCACAATGCCGTCATTCGTGCTAACTTCACACGCTCAATAGGTTGAAATCCTTTGATAAACACCAAAACCTTTTTCATTTCTTCTTCAAACATCTTTTCTAAGTATTTGTATCGTCGTACCAATTTGATAAGGATCTGAATGAAAGTTAACAAATGAATTTCATTAGAAACACAAAATTTCGACATGAAAGTTTTTATAAACTGTTGTAATCAATGAAAAATTAAGTAAAATCTACTATTTATCGACTCTTAATTTAAGCAAAATGACTACAGATGATTTTTCTATCGCACACCTTCGACACCGATTCATAGGAATTTCTACCAACTGGCTCTAATCGGTGCTGTTAATAATTTTAAATTAATTTACCTGTTCTTGCTCACGCATCGATTCCATTTCTTCCGATGCTGCAAAAATGCAGGCCTTTGTGTAAGGCTTCTCGCCATCTTGCGAGATGGACCCACCGGGAACGAGCAAACCACCAGCAATCAGAATATCAAACAATACTTCACCGTAACGACGATAATCTAATTTGTTACCAGCAGTGTCGAGAAATTTTGAAATTTGTTCTAAGTCTTCAGCTTTTTCGAGACCAGCAATGACCGCATCACGGAATCCCGTTGGGTCATACTTTTCTTTTTCATCTAAACAAATTAATTAAAGTTAAAAAAAATAAAGTAAACTATTATTATATAATTAATATTTACCCCTTTTTCTGGTCTTGATGCGTTGACCTTGCAGTACTGGCCTTTCTGCTTTTTGACTCATACAATAAATTACTAAAAGGAAAGAAACAAAACTTTAAATAAGAAAATTTTTCATAAAACTTTTTATTAAAGACAACAGCAAAAAGACTTTTCCGACAAATGTCTCGTGTAACATTTGCTTGAAATTAATTAGAAACTATTTCTAGAAGTAGCCATTCCTCGTTGAAACAAACGTGACTTTCATCATGAACACTTGTCAACATAAAAATATTTTTTGAACGAAATTCTCGTTATTATAAGTGTTTAAAAAAGCATTTCCTTCTTCTTTCTAAATATCTAAGTTTTAATTTTTCTTTGCTCTAACAATTAGCAAACGAGCTCTTTTTATAATTACAAGACCTTGCAGATGATCAAAAATAAAATATTTCGTGTAGGTAGTTGAATACAAAGAAATTCTATGACATCATCGAATAGCGGTTTAAATATTATGATGAAATTATCTTGAAGCAGGTCAACAAGCTTAAGAATGCTTGAGAATCCAGAAAAAAAGAGAACATAATAAAATAAAACAGGTAGACGTGGAATGTATCTTTAGCAGCGTGTTAACTGCAACTATTGAAAAAAATTGAATTAACTTAGCAAAGCTAAAGATTTTTGAAATATTTTTGCAGTTTTTACTTTTATTTAACCGAAAGACAATACTCAATTCAATTGACTTTCTGGCCCACAAACTGCTTATTTAAACTTTACTCTCCATTATGATGACTCATCTTAAGATGATTGACATGGCAGCAAGCTATGACCTCAATTTTTATAATCTTTGGATCTACCTAATCTGTTTGAAATACCTATTAACTATCGATTATAAACATTTTCTAACGAAAAATTTTTATTTGCTATCTGGACAGTCTGTTTAAGAGAGGTCAATAGTCAGATAGAAGAAAAAATGAAAGAAAGAAACCAGAACTGTTGAGGTGGCTAAATTAAGCTACTTTACGGTCTATTTTTGGAGAAAATGCATTTTGAAAATTATTTTTCTTTGTCGGCTTGGGTTATTTAGGAACTGTTTCAGTTACTGTGTAAAAATAAAACTTAAAATTTCTATCTATAAGTAATCATGAAATGGTGGATAAAACCTCAAAATTATGAAAAAAAGTAACTAAATAAAAAATTAACAAAAAATATCTTACAGATAAAACTTCTGGTTGTCGTGTGATGAACGAAATAGGAAAATAAAAATCTAAACTAAAGTACAAACTCTTCCTGACAATAATTATCTCGATTTGGGTGAGGATGAACACGCGGAAAAAATGGCGAAACTAAAAAAGCGAACTAAGTGATTAAAACGTTAATATAATATTGAAATATCAACTTTTTAGATGACAAGTGATTATAACAGACTAAGATAAACAGTTTATATAACTTAATTCTCACTACCTTCACTTAAATTTTAATTTTGTCGTGAGGAGATAATTTTGTCGCTTCACGTAATTTAGCTTCTTTAAAAAGACTGAAACTTTGCTTCAATCGGTCTCGTGGGAAGATAAAAATTTCAAATTACGCTCAGCCTCAAAGCCGTTAAAACTTATAAATCAAATTTAGAAGTAATTATCAAAAATATCTTAAAGAAGTCAGAAGTAAAATTTCATGTGTCATTTTATTTTTCTCCTATACTTTAATCAATCAATCAATCAATCTATTTTACTTTCATAACAAATACAAAATCTTTGATTATGAAACTAAAAATTGTGAAACACTTTTAAAGTAACGTTCGTTTAATTTTCCTCTAAGTTCTTCTTCATTTAACCACTCAAATTTTATGTTGGCATCCTTTATTTCACCAGACTTATAGACAGCTCTATAGAAGAAAACTTTTGATCCTACTGAGTTCTTCCTGTTTTCAGTTTTATACTTTTGCTTATAAAATCCACAAGGAGCGTTGCCATAAAATTGTACATTGAGATTGCATCCAAACTTATCTCTCACAATTCGCTCAGCAGTTTCTTTAAGTGTTTCACCTTCAATCCATTTAGCTTGTGGTAAAAGCAGAATCTCATTTTTATCAATTTTTTCAGCGCAAACGAGCATCAATGTGTCATCAAGGTTACGATTTAAACTCTTTAAATTTCCCTTCTTGTCATCTTCAGTTTCACGAGAAGCATATTGAAATTTCGACACTTCTTGCTGACTCAAATCTTCCATATCTTGTGCAGTCTGAAGATTTCGAGAATCGCCATCCAAATCAACTTCATATGTTCCGGCTTTAATTAATTCTTGTTGCAACTTGTCCTTTTCTTTTTTCACTTCATGATCAGATTTCAAACTATTTTCAAATTCTATTTGACGAAGAGTGTTCTGAAATTAAATAAAATTTGATATTTAAAGAATTGATTGATTAATTATGTTCATGAATAACACACCATAACATCAGCTTCGAAATTTGTCAATTTCTTAGATATAATTGGCAAACGTTCTATTAATACTCCAACATGTAAATCCCACAGTTCTTTAGACGAGTTTGTTGATGCTCTTCTGATATTGTAAGCAAATGCTTTTGTGACTAAATTGCGAAACATTTTAATTTCTTTTCTTTAAATTAAGGAGCAAATGAACATATTTGTTGACATTTAATAAAACGCGTAGCCGTAAGATTCTTACCCCCAATACATAACCGGCTAAAATCGAAGGACCCATCTTCATATAATATTGGCCGGTTTTTGTTTATGGCGTCCCGAGATAATTGCCTCGTGCCCCGACGGTTCGCGCGGATTTGACCTTCCATACAAAATGTACATGACACTTTGTTTATGATGTCTCGGGATAATTGCCTCGTACCCCGACGGTTCGCGCGGATTTGACCCATCATACAAAATGCACAAAAAATTTCTCCGTGCACGAGATTTTCTCCGTGCACGAGATTTGCGATGGCAGCGCCGCCAATGAAACTAAAGAGAGTTAAAATCTCTTTAGAAAATTAAAGTAACGCAAGCGTTACTTGATAATATTTGCTCATAGCATCATTTTTGTTTCATCCCCATTGTTTTGAGTTTTTTTTAAATTTCGATTGTGAAAAAATGTCTGGCCTTAAAAATGGCTTTTTTATTTTAAAATTNACCTGCAAAATCGAAGGACCCATCTTCATATAATATTGGCCCCGGGTTTTTGTTTATGGCGTCCCGAGATAATTGCCTCGTGCCCCGACGGTTCGCGCGGATTTGACCTTCCATACAAAACGTACATGTTTTTGTTTATGATGTCTCGGGATAATTGCCTCGTACCCCGACGGTTCGCGCGGATTTGACCCATCATACAAAATGCACAGAAAAAATTTCTCCGTGCACGAGATTTATTTCCGACCACGAGATTTGCGATGACAGCGCCACCACTGAAACTAAAGAGAGTTAAAATCTCTTCAGAAAATTAAGCCTGCTTTGCGTTACTTGATAATATTTGCTCATAGCATCATTTTTGTTTCATCCCCATTGTTTTGAGTTTTTTTTAAATTTCGATTGTGAAAAAATGTCTGGCCTTAAAAATGGCTTGTTAATTATAACATGCTTATCAAAATTGCCAGCATCGCTATCAGTAGCTAGTAAAAGAATCGTCAACAATCTTTACATTCATTATCATCCCAATGAGCCATTGAAATACGATAAATTTAGCAAAGTGATTTTTTATCACCTTAATTTAATGTGTGTCCATTCTTATTCATGATATTATTTTTAGACACTGTTAAGTATCTACACAAGCTCTATTGAGATATGTGGGAACATTGATGTTCGTGTTCTCGTATCGACTATTAAAAATAAAAGCAACATCATCGCAAGATTAGACAAAATGGATTTAATTCTTGTCGATCAAAATGAATATAAGCCTGATAAGGTTTTATCGTCGCTGAGATTGACCTCTGATACAATCGAATCACTGCTTGACGATTCAAATCCATGTTACAATAGTGTGGTTCTTGGTGGAACATTCGATCGTCTTCATGTCGGTCATAAGATTTTATTATCAGAAGCTGCCCTTCGAGCAAAGAAACGATTAGTTGTAGGTGTCACTGACGTCAACATGATAACAAGTAAGTGCCAAAAATCACACACTGATAAGGAAGTAAAAAAAACTCAAAATCAATTCATTTATTTATGTATTTGTTATGATTTCAAGGTAAAAAACTTCCTGAGCTTGTCTTACCATTACAACAACGTATGGATGATGTTAGAGCGTTCTTGAATGATATTGATCACACATTAACTTACGAGATCGTTCCAATTCAAGATCCATTCGGTCCTACAGCTACCGAACCGGATCTTGATTTGATTGTTGTCAGTTCAGAAACAATGAAAGGTGGCGAGAAAGTTAACGAAATTCGTCGCGGGAAAAACTTTCGTGAACTTGAAATTTATAGCATTCCATTAGTTGAAGTGAAACAAGTACTGAAAGAGAAAGAACAAAAAGTCAGCTCATCGAATCAACGAATGGACATTTTAGGAAGTCAATTTAAGGAGCCTTTTCCACGATCACATCTTCCTAAAAGACCTTACATTATCGGCCTCATTGGTGGCATTGCGTCAGGGAAAAGTAAGATGACTGAGAGATTCCAAAAAATGGGTGCTGGTGTCATTGATTGTGATAAGTTGGCACATTCTTTGTATGAACCTGGTGAAGAATGCTATCAATCTATGATTGATGCATTCGGCAGTGAAATCGTAGATAGCGTTAACAGAATCGATCGTAAAGTTCTCGGTGCAATTGTGTTCTCTAACAAGGAGAAACTTCAATTACTCAATGGAATTGTTTGGCCTAATTTATTGAAGAAAGCTAAACAACGCGTGAAAGAATTGCATGAGAAGGAAGGAAAGGAAATCATAATTCTTGAAGCTGCCGTTCTTCTTCAAGCTGGCTGGGAAACGGAATGTCACGAGATTTGGTCATGCATCATTCCATCAGAAGTCGCTACGAAACGTATCATGGAACGCAATAATCTTTCAGAAGAAGAAGCCAAAGCAAGAATTGCATCACAAATGAGAAATTTTCAAGTTGTTGATCACTCAAATGTCGTATTTTCATCATTGTGGAGTTACGAATATTCACAAGAACAAGCAGAGAAAGCTTGGAATGAATTACTTCGTCGATTAGAAATTTCTCCTTCGAAATTTTAAAATCATTTTAATAATGTGTGGGTGGGGGATTAAAACAGGAAACCTTAAAGTTCATTTTTTATAAGTTTATCAAAAAAAAGGAAGTTTTTATTATCTATTTGTTATGTGCTAAGAACTTTACGTTAATGTTGTTGAAAATACATAAAAGTGAGGGAATGTCTTACTCTAAGCAAAAGTCTTTAATTTTATTTTCTTTCAGTTGATTCTTCGATAAGTTTTCTTCCATTTGTTTGATTTGGATCATCGAATGGTTTACGAAGATGAATGTGACTAGAAGAGAAAAAGAAAATTTAATGACAAACCTACGATTAACATTTTATGTGACTTACAGAACTAAAACCAGAACAATCATTTGCGTAGCAAGTGTTAACCAAAAGATACCAGCAGGATGTGAATCAATTGTCCATTTATAAACTTGTGTATACATCACACCATTTAGAAGTGGCACAGCATTATCACATACAGATAACAAAGCAAAAACACTGCCACGCTCTTCAACTGGAACCAATTTTGATGTGATTGATCTTAAAGCTGGTGCAACTGTTGGACCAAGAGCAGCAATTGTTGCACCTAAGAACATCATCCAAGAAGCTGTTGCAAGTCCAAAACAGACTCGACCGAGTGAATGAGCAGACGCACCGATAATAACGATTGTTGTGTCTTTCCACTTTAACAATTTGTTCATTATCGGCACGGCAATCAACATGACAAGAACAAAAGCTGCACTTTGATATGTTTTGAAGTTTGAATAGATTTCCGTCGTCCAATTGAATTGAAGTTGTGTATAAAGATAAAGATAAGGTTTCTCATCACGTTGAAAAGCGTAAAATGCCATTGAGATCATCATAAAAATTATGTATGTTCGATAGTTATTGTTGCGACGTTTGCATAATGTTTTCATCGATGACATGAAATGCTTCTTGTCAAAGAAATCTGGAATCCATTTCGTCCAAGGAAGATCAGTTAAAGGTTGTTGTTTTGGCGTTGTTTGCCACTGAAAAAAGTTTCATTCATTTATCTTCTAACACTTAAAATTCAGATCGTTTACCTTCAAATTCAGCAATGTATAAACAATTCCTAAAAACAGCAACGACGCATTGATAACGAACATTATCGTGAATGACTTGTTGAAATAATTAAAGAGATAAGTGCCTGTCATGAATGAGAGATATAAAGGATGTAATCAGTAATTAAGATTCTTCTTCAGTAATTTGGAGATTAAAAGCAATCAGATAATTCACCTAAAGCTACTCCAGTCGGCATTGTTGAAAGATAACAAACGTCGAGTATTGTGATTCGAAGTGTTCGATCTTGAACGCTTGTAATGTCGGAAATATATGCAAAAGCGCTAGCAAAGATGGCAACATCTTTAAGATTGAACAAAAAGATTAATTTTTAAAAGTAAACTGTTGCTTTAAAATTTTCTCACCAGCTCCTGTAAATGCAGAAGGAATTGTCGCAGTATAAATGACATATTCAACAGGCCATGTTGGTTGCAGTGTGTTAACTACAACCATAACTGAGTAAATAAATTTTCCAAACAATCCCATCAAAAGTGTCAACTTTCTGAATTATGAATAAACAAGCAAAGAATTTGAATTATTGCGCAATCAGCACGTGAAATTCTATTTCATTTACCTTCCTCGTTTGTCTGAAAAGGCACCAAGAAATAAGGCCAAAATAATTGGAATTACATGTCCAGCTATGGAATTCCATTGAAAGAAATCTGCTGTGGTTACTTGAACTTCTTTTTTTGTTTCGTTGTAATTTTCTATGTTGATGCAAATATTATGTGGATGTCCATGATTTACAGTGCAAGCTTTGTAGACAAAGAACACGTTCTCCACCACAGACGTCACCATAAATGCCATCATGTATAAGAACAATGAAGGTTCCACAGATATCTTTTGATACCATTTTTCGCGAATTTGTAAATCTTCAGACACTTCGTCGACCTTTTCCATTTCTGTTTCCATTACGACTGTGACTGAATATGATTCTTTATAACTTTATCATCTTTGCTTAGTTTATGAATGAGAGAATTAATTGTTTGATAATATGATGATACTCATCATTTAAGAAATTGAGGAAATTGATAAGAACATCGTCTCGTTTCTCTTCTTTTAAATTGACTCCAAATGCGTTTGTGTTGTTGATAATAAACAAACACACGTTTAGGAATAAGTTACGTGCGACGTAACGTAAGGTTGAGGCTATACGTCGCTTTTTAAAAACATTTTCATTCGAATTTAAATTCACAGAAAAATAAAAACTCCTTAATATTATCTTTTCGAATATCGTCCAATGTCTTTGATGATATCAACATTAAGCAATGGAATTAAATTTCTTAAGGTAAAAGTGGTGAATTCCATGATAATAAAGAATCTTCAATATTCACATGTAAAATCTTTTTAAAGGTTTCCCGGTCAGCTCAGAACTTAGGACTTTTAACTGTAGTTCAACAAACTCCTGATATCCATCAACATAGACATATTAATAAGCATTTTAATCCCAAATGGAAGAAAATGAGAAGAGAAAAAGTTGTTAAAGTTGAATTACCAAACATAAATGAGAAGTTTGGTGATCTTACTCCCGATGAGCAAAGATCCAGAATGAAGGAAAGAGGCGTTGCACCTCCAAGACCTTACATGGAAAGGCCCTTCTATATAAGTTGCACAGGAGGTACATTTGAACCTTATGTTCCACCAGAAGGTGATGGAAAAGTATCGTCTGTGAAAGGAGTTGCAAAAGCAAAATTCGAATTTCTCGAAAAAAAAGGAAAGTCAATGATGGCAGTAAGAAAAATTCGAGGCTTTGAGGAAGAATTTGAGCCCCCAGAATTCGCTTTGAAAGCACAAGAAATTTATATTAAAGCACATGAAGCGATGATGAATAAAGACAAGTATGAGTTACGCAAATATGTCACCGAACGTGCTTATCCTGAAATGCGTCACAACGTCGCAAACAAAACTATAAGATGGAAGTTTCTGAAGTCATTAGAACAACCATATGTCATTCATGCTCGTTGTACTGACGTGATTAGCAAGGAAAACGTTTATGGTCAAGTCACTGTACGTTTTCATACGCAGCAATGCCTCGCCATTTATGATCGATTTGGTCGTCTCATGCACGGAAGTGAGATTTTAGCTAAAGATGTTCTTGAGTATGTTGTATTTGAAAAACATTTATCAAATTATCATGGTGTGTGGAGGATTCACGATAAAATCATTCCTGATTGGGCACCACCGATAGAACCATCGAATAAAACTTACATTGATGTGATTGAGGAGCCCGAACCACTTGAACTTATGGCTGAAGAGAAACCCAGTGAGAATATCGACGTTTCAGTAAAATAATCAAAATAAAACACTCAATTTTTTTCTTGTTAGACATTTTCATTTGTATATTTCACGAGCAAAATAAAAGATTTTAGAGAAGACATTTCTATTTAGTTGTTTCCTTTTTTTCCATAAAATAATTTCTCATCTTAAGGCTATAGATAAATAATTTCATTTCTTTTCACATCAAATTGTTATCAGAAAAATATGTTTTCAAACATGAGAAAAGGAAAATTAAGAACAGAACTTTTCCATACATTTCAAATGCATCTGTCAAATTTTCCTTTTTCCGTTTCTCTCTTTCACACATTTATAAAAATAAAAATATAAAAAAAGTTTCAGTTTCATTGGCACTTTGCATTCTGTCCAAAAACTTTCGTCACATCTTAAAAGTAATTTTCACATAAAAGTTTCTTAATTTAAGTCAAGTTGCGGATAAGTAAATAAGAGGGAAAAGACATAAAATAGCGTTAAACAAAGCTACTGGTTGGCTGGTCAAGATAAACGTCGTTCTTTGTCGACGATGTTTCAGCGCTAGCGAGTGGAGCGCGACGAGGTAATTCATGTGGAGATTTAAAGAAGTTCTCTTTGTTGTTGCTTGTTGTTTGCCAATTACTTGGCTTTATAGGCAGCTTCGAAGGCTTTGGAGGCAACGGTGGAACTTTTTGTTGTTCTTCATCGTGCTTAAAAATTCTATTCCGATTTGCATCTTCAATCTCCTGATAATCATGATGATTGTTGTTGTTGTAATATCCCATAATATCTTTTGAACTTTCATAACCAGAATTCGATTGATGATTGAAGACCATTGTGGTGTCTGTGGAAGAAGAGAATGCATTTTAATTAAAAATCTTTCATATATTCATTTCTTTGTTCATCACTCACCAGCATAAATTCCGCTACTTCCATCGGGACTATAGTAACTTGACGAGTCTCTTGTTTTAATTGGAGTGTTTGATGGTAAACATTGAGTCGAGACATTCATTTCATTTGGAGCTTCATCTCGTTGAGTTGGGAACATCTTTGCAGAACCATTTGGACTGTTCAACATGATTGCATTTTCTAAGCTGCTGATCTTTGATTGAACTGACGATGAAACTTCTGCGGTTAGTTTTGTTGGACTTTTTCCAGTTAAAGACAATCGTGGAGCGGGTTGTGGTGGTTTTTGTGGTGCTGACGAATTCATCTTAACAACTGGATCATTGTTGTTGTTACATTTATCGATGTTATTGTACAAACTGATTGAGTTTGATGGACTTTCATCGAATTTTGTTTTCCTCAATTTATTACCAACATTTGCGTACTTTTCCTTGTCTTTCAGAAATTCTGGCAATTCAAAGTTGATTTCGGTTCCTCGTTGATCTTCAAGACGCGAACGTTGAGCTCGTTTTAAGCCTTCCAATAGAGATTCTTTATCAAAACGAAAGAATTGAGATTAGATTGAAGATATTTTAATTAATTTAATTTTACCATCATTCTGAGCACGACTCGTAACTTGAAGTTTAGCTCCAGCTTTCCATTTAGCAATCAAAGGTTTCTTAATTCCATTCACATCGCCTTCTTCGGACCCAGCTGAACTTTTACTTATCATTTTTTGTGACTTTTTTGGATGACGACGCATTCGATTGAAGATTCCTGACGATGTTTCTGATCCCCAATCTTCTGACTATAAGACAAGAAATTTAAAATCATGATAAACATGACAAGAAAGCATTTTAATTTACCAACCTTAACTGATCCTCGTTCATCGCCATTTCCATTGAAACCATTAACAATTCCTTGACCATCTACCTTTCCTTGTAATAACTCATTGAACACTTTATTTGTGATTTCATCAAGAGTGTTCAGTTGTGGATTGCTGGCACTCATTGTCAATTTGTTCGCTTTAACAAATGTTATTGGCCCATTAGCGAACTTAAATTTTTGATGTTTTCCATTTGTGTTGATTGACGTAACTTCACCAGCAAGTTCAGGATTTTCTTCACGACAAATAATTTGTAATCTTTGTCCATCGACAGCTGTGACTGGAAGCGACATATCAAGTGGATCGGAACTTTCCTTTCCATAAACTTGCACTAAATCAAGTCGATAATTGTATTTATGCAAGATTGGACGAAGAACTTCACTCAACACTTTACAGATCTTACTCTTCACCGAGATGACTTTCTTGTTCGGTAAATCTAACTTAAATACGACACGCTGCTCAATCATCACTTCATTACCTGACAGTTGTGTCGAGAGTCCATCGAGGTCAAGAGGCTGTTAGTTATGGGAAAATAAAATTTACTTAAAAGATACAAAAAAGATTCAAATTTTATTTTTCTCACCTTATTTGTTCCACTTAGAAAAGCTTCGTAAGCATGATAAGTAATTCCTCGTTTATCAAGTAATCGTTCAACCAATTCTCTTATCGTTTCATTAGCCCTTGTTTGAACAATTGTGGTTGCACCATTTGAAAGAATCACACGACAAAGTGAACTTCTTGTGTCGTCATCAAAACTGTTAATTTTCGAAATTGTTGCATCAAATGATGATAAGGAACTGCGAGAGCTGTGAATATCACCAGCTGAATGATTTGAATGTTGTTTTAAAGTGTTTGACGAAGATGTTGAATTCTTCATAGTTTCTTTGCTGCTCTCGTCACGATCCTTTGACTTACAACGCGTTTTACGATGCCACGGCAAAAGCGACTTCCTCCGACGATCTTCAGCATTACTTAACGATTTCTTCAACTTCGTGCTTACATTTGAAGGTTGATTTATTGTGATTCGAAGCATTGGATCTAATTGTTCAGCTGGATATGGCAAAGGAAGATTTCGACTTTCAGCATCGAGACAAGTTTTGTACAAGTCGCTTCGAATGAAACGCTGATAGCTGTCAAACTTCATCAGATTTAAGATTTGCTTTTGAACTTGAATAAATAAATCTTTTTCAGCTGAAATTAATCTCTCTTGTGCTCTGAGTCTCGCTTGTGAATCAACATTAACCGGCTCAAGTGATCCATTCGCTAAATGTTTGTCGAAGATGGCAAGTGCTTCCTTCGTTCGTTCCGACACGTCATTGATTTGACGATATCTCTCACAAGCTGTCCAAAAGTAGATATTCTCACCAGAAAATTCTTTCTTTAAAAATTCAGAGAATGCGTGAAGACCAGCGGGGTCATTTAAAAGCAATTCAAATGATTGTCCCCAAACTGTCGGACCTGTCGGGTAAACGACAACTTCTTTCTCATTCTTCTCATTATCGTCTTCATCATCATCTTGATCATTGTGATTTGTTTTGATGTAAACATCGCTTTCCGAAGCAGCAAGCGATGATGGACGTCGTTGAAGTGGCGTTCGAGGATCGACTCTTGATCGAAGCGATGACTGTCCCCATCGTTTAAATGGTGAAAGTTCATTGGGAATTTGTTTCGACTGTTAAAGAATAAAATAAAATTGCATAATTTATTTTGATGTTCATCAATAAATATTTTTTTATATCAAAGACAATAAAAAAAGAAGTAAATATTCGCTTACACCGTTCTGTGGATTATAAATTTCATCTTCTTTGATGAAACCCATGACAAAATTTAAATCGTGTGTTGTGACCAGCATATTTGCCGATATAGTTTTGTAGTAGTTGTAGTTTGGCATTTAGATTTCTTATTATTTCAATTTCTCACAAATTTCTGCATCGTTTAAGTTTTGTTTTTCAAAGAATTTTCATGAAGATTTTCCTTTGACGTTGCCGAAAACCAAAACTTTAATAAAGTCAGAAATAAAAAATTTTGGTAATGGAATAAATGATAGTTAAATAAACTGATAATTAGCATTCATTATCAGTACATTGATCGTGTCATAAAATTTAATATCGAGAACTGGATTTCGTTTTATTGGATTTTATCGACTTTTCTTCATCAATTTTATTGCTGCTTCACCGATCATAAATTTTCAACTCTACGACCGCTCATATGTTGTCTCAAACATTTTCGACTTTATAGTTAAATTTGAAAGAAATCTTATCCATGTCCAACATTGTATTGATAACATTTGTTTCTCGCATAAAATGTTTAATTAACAACAACAACTCGGTAGTGTAATAAAAAAAAGTGAAAATTGCAAGCCAGTTTCAACCCAACCGGAGTTGATAAAAGATGTGTGAGATGTAAACAGCATTTTGCCTCCACTTTTATGTAAAAAATTAATTTATTACGCAAACATTGAATGAAAGATTAAAACATGAAGAAACTGTTTCATGTTCTCATAACATGTCGATGACACGTTGAAAGTTATTTGCTTATCCTCGTTTTTGTTTTGTTACTGACACGATTTTTAGGTGTTAAGAATTTGAGAAGAATAAATATTTATCAACGAAATTAAAGAACTTCATTCAATGACCGTGTTAAAATCAAAGAACAACAAATAATGAAAGTTGATCTGATTGAAAGGATGTTGAGAAAGTTGAACCTTTTAGACGACTTGTTGTTTACAAACTGTTACAATTTCTCTCCTAATTAAATATCTAAATGAATAAGATAGCAAACTCGATCAATTTTACGGTAAAAAGATCTTTTAATCTTTCGATATCTGTGACGAAAACGAACTCTTTCATCTTAAACTCTTTTTTTTTACTTTCTCAATCGTTTAATTTCCCAAATCGATGATCTTTTGATTACACTTCCCTCAAGTTGATCATCGTTTTGTTTAATTTGTTCAATGCATTAGCGGAATCGCAAAATGAAGAAGAGAAACTTAATTGACTTCGTTTTATTACTCAAATTAAATGCTTGATGGTCAATTAATTGATATTGAATTTTGTTTCTCTCGATTTCACTTGATTTAAATATATTAAGTTTTGATGAGCTCAATTTACACCAGAAAGAGATCTTTTATGTCATGAATTCAATGATCATCGCTTTTTATAATAAAATGAAGGTCTTCACTGATCTTAAAGTAGAAAAAGAGTAATGAAAACTTGGGAAATCAATTAATTTACAAATATCTAGGTGCTTATGAATAAGCAGCAACAACGCTTCGAGACTTAACATTGCGATCAGAAACACGATGAATGATCAAATAATTAGCACGTTCAACGTGACCCTCTCCCTCCTTCCCCCTCAAATAACAAGCTTATAAATTAAAGATCGCTTCATCATCAAAACACCGCCTGCCAAACTTTCAGATTCATCCGGATTAATCGAGAATTAAACTGTTAAATTGAGATTCGATGTTGCAGTAATTTGTTGTCCGTCAAACGCTTTTGTTGAAATTATTTCAATGAAATATAAAATAAAAAGCTTTTTCTCTTCTTAATCGCTTATTCAAAAATCATCTTACGAGGAAGTGCTGAAATCTTTTGATGTTTTTAATTTTAACACAAGCACGAAGGGAAAATTTTTGCTTCAAGGCGATATGTTCGTTGTAGCATTTTATAAATGTATGCTTAATGCGGTTCTTCCCTTTCAAAGATTCGAAGATTGTGACTCAACTTGCATGCTGAACCTTGATAATGCTCCACATTACCTTTTCCAACGCATCCAATCGTCGAGAGTTAAGTTTCAAAGTTAAAAACCATTTCATTGTCTCGTTATGGTGTCGACGTTAAGTTTCATGAAAGGAATGAAGATAATTGACATTTTCAAATGCGATATCGAATCGTGAAATTCACTTGATTTGGTTCTTTTTTCTTCTACAAGACGCCAAACAACGATTACGCAAAATCGAATTGAAATTTAAAACAGAGGAACTTCACACTAAACTACTTATCTAGTTTTGTGATATTTTAGATACAGCAATGAGTGACTTTTCAAGACAACAAGTTGGAAAACTTTTCAGTGACTTTTTTCTTTTTATTATTTTTAATAATGATTTGTGGATTTGGAACAACAGTGACTTGCTAATATTTAATTTTCTACATTTTTTTTTCATGTTGAGTTAAATGCTGGCGCTATATCGCATGTGTACAATATTGTCTTACCACAAACTATCCATGATTGTTGTTGAAATGAAACAAAAACCTCAATTTTAAAACAATGAGAAAATTTTACTATTCAGAGTCAGTTTTTTTCTTTTACTTTTCCTCCCATAATTACTTTGACAGACAATCCCAAGCAAATAATTGCTTTCCAAGCTGTAGACATTGTTTAACTTCATTCGTTGATCGAAGAAAGGAAAAAAAAGACAAGACAAGAAGGTAGAAAATATTTTTAAAATAAAATCAAATTAATCTTTCAAGTTTTCACCGAATGAACAAAAAGGGAAGATCAAGTGATTTATAGCATAATTAACAACAAATGAAAGTAGTTTTTTGATCGATTCAAGAAAGTGTTTAAAGGCATCATTTATTGATGCATCCGTAGGGAAGTTTCATAGCGATTCAAAATATTTTCGAATAAGAAATATTCGAGCATAATTAAACAATTGTTTGAATGATTAATCACAAAGTTTCTTAAATGTTTCTCTTCCAACACCTTTTGATATCCCAAACTTTGTTGACTTTTGAATATTTATCTCCAACTAAACACATAATTAAGGGAAGAAATCATTCCATTCACGGTCTCGTGTGTCGTCTCCCGCATTGTCCAATCAATGATCATATTCACGAGCAACAGGAAAGTTTCCTTAATTAAATTCAATTAAATAATTTATCAGGGTAGCCTAAAGATTCCTATAATTATCTAGAGCCGTTGGATATGGCGGCTTCTTTGCTTAGCAACACATTAAGCAAGCCATGAACTTATTTATGTGTAATCTACACCCAGATATTAGCAATCTATTCAGTTCGCTTCACATCAAGTGCTTCTAACTATTACAAATTGTACAACAGTTAAAGCAACATCAAGCGAAAGTTAGAAAATGAAAATTTCGAGTTTAAGAAAGAAAAAGTTTTTTTCTTTCATTATTTTGAAATAAAGAAAATTTTTATCGCTTATTAAGATAAAGGGAAAATGATTTTCATTTAACATAGTAAATCGAATCAGCATCCAAAATCAATTTAAAACGCTGACATCAAAATAAAACAATTGAGGTCTTTTCAAGATCAAGAACTATTTTCTAATTAAGTTAATCGCGAGAAGTTTCCATGGGATAAATAATATAAAAAAAAGCAATATCACCACAAAGCTTGGAAATTTATTCATAAGAAGTAACAAACATTCATTCCACATTTTTATAAAGTTATTGTTTCACATTTTTCACTTCTTTTCGCGCGATCTTCTCAACAGTAAATACGCTTGGATGAGGGAAGAACGGCAATGAAATAATAAACAATTCACTTTATTATTCTCATTCTCCACGCTCTTCTTTTATCACGTTATTTTATTTAGAATGTAGATTGGTGTGTTCGTTAGTGATATCATCCATCGACTTTTTATTCCTTTTGTATTCAAATTATCTCTCGCATTCAAACACATAAAGAAACATAAGAATCTTTGTTGTGACGAAATCTTTATTCTAATTTCTTTTGAAAAAAAAAATGAAGCAGATTTGATAATTAAGAAAAAGCCGCGCGCGCACTTTAATCCAAAGTCAGCTCGTATAAAAAGAAGCATCAAACGAAGAGAATCATTTTTTGAAAGAAAATAAAACAAAACATCTTTAGAGTTTCTTCAGTCGTCGTAACTCGTAAGTGAGAACCTTGAAACTCTATTTCTTTACAGACAAAAGTACAATCATAAAGTTTTATAATCTTTCAACTTCATTTCTTTTATTTCTTGCCCTTATGAGAAAATTGTTGATGTTGTTGTTGCTTACTTGAGATGATTAACTAAAATAAGCAATTTAGAGGATGAAAGAAAAAACATTAAAGATTAAAGAGTCGAGTGTCGGTGAGGTGTGAGAATTATTGTGGAATAAATTCACGGACATGGGAAATGAATTATCATCGTCATAAGTAATGATTTTAACAATTTCTGTCGCATAAAAGCATAATTACAAGAACCTTTCCCACGATTCAGTGTTTTTTCCGTCATTTGACTATTGTTAAATATCCGACCAAAGTCGTGTGTTGTTTATTTTATGATCTCCACAACAATGCTGAATGACGTCCGCTCAAAGGCCCACAAGGGTTAATAAACATGAATTGATTTACATTTTCTTACAGTTTTTCAATTGAGTTATGAGAAATTAAAGTAAGCAGTAAGGCGATATTGATGACTCACACACTAATTTGATGGCTTTACACATTTTATGAATAAATGTGTCATCAATATGCGCTTATCAAGTTACGACATTCATGAAATAAAAAACACTTTGTCGAATAAACAACGACTTTGAATTTTAAAAAGGTTTACAAAGAAATTGTGAATTAGTTAAAACTTTCAACTTCACTTGATTTAGAGGCAAAAAATATTTCCATGATCAATTTAGAACGATAAAATCGCAAATCATGCTTACTACTGAATAACGACAATAGAATCATTAACAAGACTGTCGGTTGATTTAATTTAAGAGTTTTTCTTTCTTCTATTATTCGCACATAATAAGAAAAAGACTTTTAAAATATTCTAAACTCGAAATCTCATTAAGTCCAAACGGAATCTAAGACAATTGTGTGAAAATGTCAAAAGCAACCCTGTCGCGATGAAGACTCGTTTAGAATATTTGATCACTTTTAACGGCCGGTAAATTCCAATAAACCAACATCAACCAAGTTCCGATTCAAAGATTTATTCCAAATTCAAACCTCATTTGATATTTTTTCCCATAGAAGTCACTTATTAAATTATTTAATTAACAAAATCAATTATAACGTCTTGTCTTATCACAACAATTAAATATTCAAAAACTAAGTGTAAAGGTTCTCGCAAACATGTCATAAACAAATTAATAGCACAAAAAAACTTTTCAATTAATTCCAAACAACCGTCAGCAATTATTTTTTATTTCTTTATTTTTCACGTCTCGCGATCATTTCTCGGAAGCGTTTAGACTGAAACTAAAAATCTTGAGCGAAACCCAAAACATTGTCGGAGATTCGAATTAATGTTTTCATTCAAGGGGTTACTCATCGTGGTGCTTTTACCGGCTCTCCATGATGCTTCGGAAAGCACTAGCACATTACTAAAAAATGGAAAATTTTCCAAGAATTGGCTTAGTTTTGGTTGGAATTTGCGTAGGTATTGCTTCTTTTCTTAATTGTTTTTATTTGCCTGCAAATATTTTTCGATGGCCCCTTGGATTTAATGTTTCCACTTGTTGAGCTGACTTTTTACTCTCTTTGCTCTCACATTTTTCTCTCTTGATCGTTAATTTTTCTTCTTCTTATTCTTTTTCTCGAATGAATTTCGCGTGACTTGTTTCTAATAATTTTTCATTCATAAGATGTTTGATAGAGGGAAATTTTTAGTATTTCCATGTCAATCACATATAAGTGTAATAAATGTTCAATCAATGGCAGCAATATTTCTCGTGGGCTTGGCACATTTAATTGACAGAAGACGCAATAATAAACATGTTTGTTTACTCTAAACTTTAAAAGTTGAAATGAATGAAACGAATTGAATTCAAGTAGCTGAACAAATTGTTCGAGAGAAAGAATTGCAGACTGTATGATTAAACTTTTTCTTCTTAATTGCCTCATCTTATTAAAGATTTGACAGTAACAAATTACTACTTATAAATTGAAGGAGAAGAAGAAGCGAGTGACATATTTCACGACTTTGGTATGACGATGGCGCTCAAAACATTTCAGTCGATTTAAAACAACGCATAATTTAAAATTTTCGACAAAAAATTAAAGGAACAGTCTCGCTTTTATGCACACATTTTTCTTGTCTTGTTTTAAAAATAATTTTAGAACGTTGAAAATTACAATGGAACGTTATGAGGCGGACGGCGAACAGCGATGTGAATAATTTCATGCATGAAAAATAAATGCAAAAGCCAACCTTAACTCAGTTAATCAGCGTGGGAAATTTGTGGTCTTATTTCCAACAGAATTCTTGAAAAAAGTGCATTTGTCTGACACATCACGCTGATCAATTCACAAGAAATATTTGCATCGATTTCGTATGGTTGAAGTTTTCATCAAAATATTTCGAATGATGATGAACAATCTTGAAATTGAACTCAATTTTTTATTCTCGTAATTATTGTTTTTGTTTAAAGTATTTACACGATCAAGAGAATTCTTGTTAAACTCGAGTCGTAACAAACGCTCATGACTGAACTCAAATCACTTCGAAAATCTTTTCCTCGCAATGGTAACAAGTGTGATGTTCTTATTTCTTTTCGTATAAGTCATAAGACGAGAGGAATACAGTTTTTGTTCTGATTAAACTTAAATCACGATGTACAACATGGAAAAAATAAGAAGCAGAATAAAACATGCGGAGAATCATCAGACGTTTTGTAAAATGAATGTTTATGCAATTATTAATGTGACTGCATTTCATTCTTACTTATTTTAAGCGCGATGATGACACCATATGATAAAATTGTGATGAAGCGACTCAATTTCCTTTTATCTTCTTTAAACACATTTTTTATAACTCAATTTGTTTCCTTAAAAGGGGCTTTTTGGAATTGCTGATAAGAAAGGCGACTCCTTTGAACATCAAACAACCTTTTCCTTGATATTAACCTGATTCATTCGAACGACCCTTTAATGATGAACTCTTACAAGACATTAAACAATTTCCTGTGTGAGAAATATTTTATGTTTCTTTGACGAGAAGAACTTTTTCCTTTCTTTCAATTCCTGTTATTGTTCTCTTTACAGTTCAGTGTTTCTTTGTTCAAGTGACAAATAATTTGAAGAGAGATCGCCCCTTAAAGGAAGTGAAGATTGATGGAAGAAAACCGAATTCAATGCCAAAGGTTCTTGCAAAACTTCCGGTCGTCGTTTAATTATTGCATCTTCCTTTGAAGAAGATAATTTCCAAATATTTCTACGACATTTGCATAAATGTTTTGAGCGTCTTGAATGTCAACATAGTCATTTACAGCTGATATTTCCCTGTTTCTCTAAATTTGGCGCTAAATCATGTAACTTGTTTCTGTTTCTTTAAATGTTTTCATCACTGTGACAATTATTCGAAGAATCTCATAACATAAGCTTGATCGAAAGAAATGTTGTTAAATTTCATAAACATTCAACATATTAATTCATCTAACTGATCTTGTTAAGAGCTCGTGCAGCAGAATTCTTTTTCCATCTTGTTAAGTGCAACAGAGTGTAAAAATGGAAAGAAGTTTGTTCGTAAAAAAAATCAGTTCCATAACAAACTCCATGATGAAGTAATCGACATTGTTCGAGGCTACATAATAAAAAAAAGCATCAATTTGTTTCTGCTTTTTATTATTCTAAAAATTTCTGTTGTGTATTGAATGTTTAGAAAACGGAACATTAAATGCGATGATAATTGCTATCAACACGAAGCTTCTTGTTACTCAAATAACATCACGAGTGAAATGTGACAATTTCAAGATCACGACAATACCGAAAACTTCAAAGAGTTACATGAATGAACGTTTATACTAAACAAGCAAGACAGTTATTGTTCATGTTTCTGAATTAAGACGAGTCTCTAGCAAGGTAATTATTTCATTAACATACGCAAATTTTAAAGTAGCACATATATTAACAAGCTTGTTAAAAATTTATAGATCAGATTAATTTTCAATTTGATGTGCTATTTAAAACAGAATTACATCGTTTAAAATGCCGTTTTTACAATCCTAAAATGTCGCTCCACGCTTTTCTATCTTTCACAACATCGTCTCTCCATAAATATTTTATTTTATTTAATTAGCTGCTTTATCAATAAACACAGATTTAAAACGCTGACACTTGTCAACTAGAAACTGTGAAACTTCGGTTGCATTCAACTCGTTTAACTTACAATCTCGAATAAACTATCAACACGCAATTAAAAATCGTCCCGTCGTTCTAATGAACTTCACAATTTTTCTTCATCTCAGTTTTCACCTCGAAACTATTTTTTAATTTTAATTTCTTCTTTTCTTGGAAACGAAACTCCAAAACCGCATATCATAAATTATCTTCCATGAACATTTATTTCATTGCGATGTCTTAGGTTGAATATTTATTAATTTTCACAGCAAGTTCAACATTGTATCGTGTCATTAAACTGCATCCAAGACGAATTGTTATTAAAAACATAAATTAAAAATCTCTCATAATATTATCAAACGAATAAATGAATAAAAAAACAATCAGCTGATTACTTTGTAAAGAAATATGAGAACTCAACTTTAAATTCGTTTATTTGAACAGTTAAACATTCGCTAATGCTATGACAGCAAAAATGTGGCATTCGTCGTCTTTTTAACGATAGTTATTGATCGTAAACAAAGTGAATGATTGTAAATTTTCTGTAATTAGTGTTAAGTAAATATTCAAATTTCACGCTAAAACTTTTGAACTGTTTAATTTTTGTTATGTTAAGAATCACAGAGCTTCAAGAAGCTTCAATAAATCGTGATATAAGTCACAGCCTATGATCCTTTCATTTCTTTAATTCTTGTCCATGAAACCGAAAGTACTACGCAATGTGAGAAATGTCCCCCTTAAGTAGATAATATAAAGGCTTGCACTTGTCCTCCAAATATAGAAAGAAAAAAAGTCAACCAATTGTTATTGTTGCGAATTTAAAGAGAAATATGTATCAATATCAATACCAGAGGACGAAGGAGGTTGTTGATTTTATTCAATTCTACAATGTTACAATTTCAGTTAATTAAGTCGGTCAATTATTTTGTTTAGTTTTTATTTTGAGGGATTCAATTTATTATCTTATCGATATCGAGCATAAAGCAAGCTTACGAAAAAGAATTTCAACCTACTTTTATGATTTATTTTTATTCTGTTAAACACAGAAGGTTGTCACAATCTCACGTCATTTTCGATATCAACGATAAGTTCTCCGATGTATTAATTTTAATAAATTTTAATTATTTTCACAGACAGAAAGTTAAACATTGCATCGTGCCATTAAACTTTTCCGGAGACTAATTGTTATTAATAAATAAATATCTTTTCACAATATTATCACATGAATAAAAGAATGAAAAAACAATCAGCTGTTTACATTGTAGACCAAGCCCATTTGAAACATGAGAGAATGACTTTAAATTCGTATATTTAAATATCGCTGATATTTACATTAAATGAAGCTCGATATTCTTGAACAATCGACAATATTTGCGAAACAATTTGTTTCTCTACTCCACGCTTTTTAACCTCTTTCAATGTCATTGATACTTGAGATGTGGCTTCGTTCGACTTCTAAGTTAAAAAAACTACAAGATATTCAACTTTCTTTCATTTGATAAATCATCACCCGCAAAAAATATGATTTAATCATTTAATAAAACTTTGAGAATGAAAAGGAAAAGGTTCATTATAATAATATATTCGACATGCTTGACTTTCTCGTGATTTCTGAGAAATTGATAAGACAATTAAGGTTTGAAATTTAAATATTAATCAATCATAAAAAGTAATAAATTTAAATTATAAAAGCTGTGACATTATTTCTTTATCAGATGACTATAATTATTTTCTAACAGCACCCCAACTTTTTCTCTCTTATCTTTGATGATTAAAAGTAATTTATAAAGACAATTTCCAGACAACTATCAAACACCAACGTTTTAAAAATCGCTCAAGGCAGCCGCAATTTCATACTCAAAGAACGTGATTAGACTTGAAATATAAACGGGACTCTTCGGTTACAATCATTACAATCCATCATAAATAGCGTTTTCCACATTTGAAAAATTCACAACTATTCTGATAAATCTCACCTCCAAATGTAAAATAATATTAAAAGAAATCTTTCACTTTGATTTGTAGATGATTGAATTGAACTGATTGATGCAATGTTGAGAAATGAGAAGAAGCTAATAAAATCTTCCTATAACTGAAAATATTTCACCATCATTCAGCTTTTTTTTTTATTGTGGCATCGTTGAAAAGTACCCGGCACTAATAATTTTTATTAAAAGTTTAATAAAGAAGTTTGACGGCTTGAGAGCTTTTCATGCTTTGAGTTTGAGCTCATTAGGTAGCACGATTTACTTTCAATGTGTGAAAAGAAATTTCTTTGGGCTATGAAGAACGGTGAAGAAATATAAAAATCTAATTGCTGTTCATAATTAATATCACAGTCGATATTCCTAAAGCAATCATCATAACAAAATTGGTTAAGTTGTGGTTCAACTCTTACTGACAGATAATGAATAATGAAGCAGCATGATAGTTCCGTGAAATATTCATTAGTCGTTGCTTATTTTAAATTTGATTTGTTTGTCTTCTTTTTATTATTTATTAGCAGCATCGTTGATCGTCTGACAACAGAATTTCTTTTGTTATGTCTCAAAGAGATTATTGATCTCTGTGAACTTAACGGTGTTAAAAACCACAACATGGGACGACTTGTTTGCTAAACTTAAATGAGACAATAAACGATCATGTAATGAAATTCTAATTTTGTTTTATTTACTCCCCCATCGTGTGCCGTTTCATAAGAAGTAGAAGTAAGAATGAATTCTTTAATTACAAATTTCAAACAAAAAATTCCCACTCATACTCAAAGTCTGGTAAACATTTCAAAAACTTCACAATCCACACCTTGACTTTAAATTTGGTATTCCTACGAAAAAAATTAACAAACCTTTTCCGCATTATAATGAATGTAAATTAATTGGCGAGGGTTTAAAGATTGATAAAATTTTCTTAATCAATCATGTCACTGCATTGTAATCAAATTTAAGTTTAAATATATTAATATGCAGAACGTGATACTCTCACGAATAATGTGAGGTGGAATAGAGAAACCTTTAGTGAAACGAAATTCAACAGAAAATAATCAGTTTAATGGCGTGATTAAAATCTTGAAACGTCTCAAAACCGTAAACAAACTTTCACTTGTTATTGAAAGTAAACAAATAATTCATTGAATACTATGCAGTACTTAGAAAAAAGAATATAATTTATCATTTTCTCTGATCAATATCGCTCTATTGCTAACTCATATCAAGTTTCATTTTATGCTTAAATATATTTTTATGTTAATAATATAAAAAGTATATTTAAAGATCTCGTAGAACAAAGAAATCTTATCTAATTCTAAGATTACATTAGATATGTAATAAATGTAATGTAATGTAGTGTTTTATTTACCAATATCAATTGGTTTCGTTTTCCATTGATTTATGTTTTTTACATATTCGTTTACAAACATTTTAAAACTTTGACTCGATTTAACAAAAGATTTTTTAAATTCATTGAATGTTTTTAAACCCTTATAGAAGAGAGATAAATTAAGAAATTTGTTTCCATCACGAACTCTCAAGTTTGTAAAGAACGTAACGTAACATAAGCGAATGATTCATCCTTTCATTCATAACAAGCAAAGACGCAAACCACAAACATTGAGAGAGAAATAACATAGAAAAGAAGAAGAAATTACTCACAGATAATTGCGTTAAATTCTTTATCGAAGCTTCGCATGTTTGTGTTGTGTTGGCTTTTGAAATAGTGAACTTAAATAAATCGTCGTTGGTCTCAAGGTTATCCTCGATCGCTGGCTCGCTTATTGATCGTCTAAATGACGTCGATAATGGGAGTTTTGATGCGTAGGAACACTTAATCATATGCTTGACGTAATCGCATGCTGGTGGATATGAGTCGTTTGGTAACGTTAAATATGACGATGTATTTGATGCACTTTCTGATGGGGGATCTATCTTGAATGTGGGAATCAATGGTGACTTTAGCATCTCGATAGATGAGTCAAGAGATGCATTATACGAAATGTAATTGGGGGAGTTTTCAGACTCATCAATTTCCGATGATGGAGGTTCACATATGAAAGAATATTCAAAGTTGTCACCCCACTCAATTGTGGCTTTATCAGGCGATCCATCTTGCAGATATTTTTGCAGATTTTCTCTTGTTAAAAGAGATTTTTTCTTGGTGCTGGTAGACTTCCTGCTGTGACGTTTCTTACTCGGCGATTGCTTACGTTTTAACTTCTTTGTCGACGAGAAAATATTGAAGAATTTCGATTTCTTTACTGAACTGGTTGCACTTCCCGAATCACTTTCAATGTTAAAAGCTTTTCTTATCGCCAATGGTGTTCGCTTGACTGTTTCTTCTAAAATCATTTTGAATCCATTTTTAAAATCAGAAAGTGACGATGATCTTGAAATTTCTGAGATATTTTCTTTGTTTTCACTTGAGTTAAAAGTTCGATTACGAACTAAAGTTGTATCTTTAGTTGATTGTTTTAGTGATTCGTCATACTGATCTTGATCCATTGATTCAAAGTCAGAATCATTAAGCGAATTATTTTTCGGATCTTTTCCAGCTTCGACTTTATCATCAGCAAAACTTAAAAGTCCAACACCGGAAATATCTAAATTTATATTACGATGATCAGCTTTAATTGGGGTTGATGACGACATCGTACCGAAAGCAGCTGGCGATCCTTCTAAACTATTAATTTTTTGTTTCTTCGTAATGACAAGCTCACTTATCGATTCCGCCGAATCATTTTTCATACTCGAATCATTTTTCAATTCGTCAGCTTCCGTCGTCTCTTCAGATTTCTCACGACTCATAATCTTCTCGATGAACTCTTTCACATCAGCACTGTAGCTTTTATTATTCTCACTCTTTTCCTTAATGATATTACCACCATTGACTTTGAAAGAGTTTGATGTTAACGAACGAAACTCTAAAAGTTCATCTTGCGAATCATTCGAATTCTTAATTACAGAAGTGAAATCTGTCGTAACAGGAATAATCGATTTGATGACAAACTTAATTTCGCAAGTTCTTGGCGGCGTAACACTCTCAATTTTCTGCTCCATTTCATTCAATATTTGCACACCGACTGACATAATTACTTATTAGTATTCATGCAATCAACAAACAAGTCTATTGTTCAACGTTTTTCTTTATCGAATGAAAGCGAACAACTTTCAATCTCTTTTGCAATAAAATTTTTAATGATTCACAAAATACAACGTTGAACAATTTATCTATTAAAGCTGACTTTTAAAAGCGCTCAGGGTAGCGAATCTGTTAACCAGCTTTAATTGAATGTTTTGTAATTCTTTTAACGAATCTGCAAAAATTGTTTTTCTATTAAGCCACTGTCATGAATCGTAATTAATTTTTCTTCCCTTTTTTAACCGAACTTTGTTCATTAAATATAATTTTATAAATTTTCAATTATCTTCCAAATCAAGACACTAAAGCAACACACAACTAACTCTGCTAAAATTCATCATTCACGACTTCTCAGAACAACAAAGCGCGACAATAAGTTTTGTGATGTTTTATGAATGAATCACTTCGTTTTGAATAAAAATGTTTTTAAATTCTTCTCTCTACATGAACATGACTTTGGAAACAAAAACTTATACAGGTATAATGAGTAGCACTATGAGAAAAGCAACCGAACTGGACAAGAGAACGTATTGAACTAAGTGAACCGAAAAAAGGAAACCTTTTCTGTCTTCTCATTTTTTTCCTCGTTTTCATTCCTCGAAGTAATAAACGTCTTACATTGATCACTCGGAGTAGAAAAACTGAGCATATGTGTGGGGATTTGGTCAAAGCACGAGGACTAAAAATTTGTTTTCAATTTCTCGTGAAGTATTTTTAATTAAATAACTTAAATTTCTTATCTTCACGTTGCCTTCTTCTTTTATTTATCAATAACGTAAGTCGATAGCCGGAGGTTCTCAAGGATCAATAAATAAAATACGTTGTACATGTTTCATCTTTCTGAGAACTTTTTTTTTTAACTTTTAGCAACATTTCTTTACTTTTTTTGTATTTCACAAAACACGCATGAAAGTAAACAGTTTGCGGTTGAAAAGTTACAACTGTTTCCGGATCATTTAATGAATAAAAAAGAAATTCAATTATGAGAAAACATTTGAATTAATTATCCAACTGATTTAATGTGAAAAACTTTTGTTTATTGGCGAAAGATGAGAAATTATAGTTTTGACTTTTGAACATTCCGATATGTTTGATGATTATAAAAAGATAAAATTATTTAAGAAACTTCGTCAAGGTCAGCTGTTCAACGTTCAGTAAAACAATAAATTTTCAACTGCCACAATGCAGTTGTTGCTTAAACGAAAGAAGGAAATCTTTCGAGCATGTCCAACAAACAACCTGTTCGTATAAAGTTTCTTCCCCTCTTGCGTATTTTTATTTATGTGAAGAAATATTTTTTGATGGCGAGCATGAATAACAAGAAGTAAAAACCGTCGTGAAAATGAATACAAAATATTCAAGTCAAGTCGTTTTTTATTAAATAAATTCTACATCAAAGCAGGTGGTAGATGTTGGATAGAAAATAAGTTTTTAATTTCAAAACAACGGTAATCTTATCAAGCAACGTCGTATTATTGAACTAAATATTTGAAGCACTCAAAAGAACATTGCAAAAATCATTCGAAGGAATTTTACTGCTTCTTAAAAACTTCGTTTTTATAAATGTTAAGCTTACCATAAAGCCATCAGGTAACGATCTAGTAAATCCACAAACTAAACCAGACAGCATGTTTGACATATTTTTTATTGCACTTTTCAACTGAAGATTTTTAATCCTACTTAAAAGAAACTTTTCTATCGTCCTAATTATCGTCTTAACTATTCACTTTTTTTACAAAAGGGAACTTTCGCAATTGACCTCATCCGGCAAACAACTGATTGATAATTCCTTTAAAAAAATTTTTTCTTCATTCTTTCCAACACACAAGAAATATTTATCATCATTATTTGCGATTACTTTTCGATTTATCGAACGTCAATTGATAAGATAAGTGCAAATTTTTAGTATTTACACTTTCAATGTTTATTTAGATAAGTTATTTCGTCACAAAATCACCGGTGATTCGATTGTCTATCGTTGAATCATGTTCGAGGAAGGCGCTTATGGAATCTCGTGCAAACGTCACAGCAAACCTTCCGTCAATTCGCTATCGCTCAAGGTACTTCACATTTTTATGCGATAACAATTTTTTATTACGTTTTAATTAATGTAAATAATAAGAGAAAGATTCGCCTCGGCCTACGATCACTTGCACATACGACACTTGAACGCAAAGAAGGTCAAATCAATTTGTTTCAATTAGTTGTGAAGATATTTCATTTTTCTTTTACATATCTAAATATCACGTCAATAAATATTCTAATTGGAATGTTCACTAAATAAAACCGGAAACATTATGTGCGGCTTTAATAAAGTTTTTCTAATGATTAACGACTCTCAAATAATATTTGTGTTGAAACTTTTGCCTTAGTGATAAATCAGCTTATTTCTTTCTTATCATCATCACTTCTAAACAACTTCTCTCACAGCACACTCACCAGCATCTCAATTGCAACTAAATAAATTATTCATCTCGACACAGATAATCTTCAACTATTGAGCTTCAATAAAACTAATTTATCCCAATTATCACGCAGTGAACAATCGTCTTCATATTGAAAAATGTACTATCAAACGCCTGTCGCTTACACTTAATTGAATTAAAGTGGAAAACGACTTAATTTACTTCGTGCACTTTTTTTGTGTATTCTCTACTCAAGACCCACAATTTGTCTGGCTTTGTGTAACTAACTAATTGACTATTTCTCTCTTATTTATTATTTCTAATAAATGCAGAGAGTTTGTTGTTTTATTGTTGTAAGTATAAAGATAACTGACGATTGAATATCGCGAAACAGTCTTTGATGATCATCAATAATTTATAACTGCACGAAGGCATCAATTAGATCATTGACAGGAAAGAAAAAATGAGGTGGAGCAAAATAAGGAAAAGTTTATTAATGAGAACGCCAATTTCTGATGCTGAAGTGAAAATAATCAACAAAAAAAGAAAAAACGTCGCGTGCGTTTCATAATTGTCGGTTATTTGTAAGTAATTGGTTACAGCAGGTGTTAAGCGAGACGATAACGAATTTAGGGGATAAACTAAAGTAAAGTAAACTTCCTGACTCACCTCATCATTGCCTCGATTTAAATCTGGTTCACTGTAAGTTCCTTCGAGAAAATTCGCATGTTGCGGTTGCTTTAAGACTTCAGATTGTCGCAATTCTTGAAGACTTCCCCAAATCGAAAACATTTCTTCATCTTGATCTTTATCCTTGTTTTTCTTACGACTTCCAAATAAACTTTTTCGCTTACTTGACGACGATAAATTCTCAAAGCTCATCGAGACGGGTCTTGGAACGCCAAACACCTTTGGACTCAACTTGTAATGCAATAAATTACTTTCATTCCTTGGCTTTGTCTCTTCATGTGATGATTTCATTTTTCCTGATATCGTCAAGGACTTCTTGTTGATGTTTCTTTTTTGAGGTTTATTTGCTGGCACCAGAAAAACGTGATCATCCTTCGATTTGCTCTGCTCGTCTTCATTCTTCGATGTTTCATTGTTTGTTTGGTCATCAGATCTACGATATCTCGCTTCTTCTTTATTCATCACCATGATAATATCATCACAAGAACGAATCATCATTGTACGTTGGTTATCGTTGAATGTGTCGAATGTATCTGGAACATCAATAGCACGTTCTTCAACGACGTTCCCAGCTTCATCCAGAAGCTTTCCATTGTACCAAACATCAGCTACTGGTTGTGGATAAACATTTTCATAGTCACTTTCATCAATTTTTTCTTCGCTCTTTGTCATGACTTCGATGTCAGGCATCGCTCGAATCGCAAGACGGGGATGAACAACTTTTACAGCATCAACTGATGGACTATAATCAGCTGACTTTGATTTTGAATGAAATACTGGCAGTTCAGAACTTGTTGAAGGTTGTGGTGATGATAAAGGCAAATTCATGCTTCTTATGTTTCTTATTGGATTGATTGCTTGAAGTTGCGTGTCATTAACAATTCCAAGAGGTCTCGGTCGTTGTCGTTGTAAATACGGCAAAGGATTTTGATTTCTCAAGCCAATCCTTCGATTGTGATTTAAATCTGGAAAGTCCACAACCAAAATACGATCAGAAATATTCGCATAATCATTATGAAAGCCAATTCCTGAGTCGGAGTTGCTTGATGTTGTTGTGATTTCACTGTGATTGCTTGGATGTGGAGAGTTTGCCATTAAAAGTTCATGTGGATCGTCGAAACGATGTTCTGGTCGTCGTCGATGGTGTGCATCGAAATTAAGATTTCTTACAGCAGACGGTCGTCCTAAATGCACATTTTCATTCTTTATTGGTGATTTGATGCTGTACATGCTTCGAATAAGATTACAAATATATTCAGAATTCATCGGAAATTCAAGACATGAATTTGAAATTAAATCTTTTGTGCACGTTATGTTAAATTTCTCTGCTTTCTGAAGATGAGCATTGTGATCGATAAGCTTAGTATCAATAACAAAAACATGGCAGCTGTTTGATATGGCAACATTGTGCATTGTTATTGTGTCGAATGTGTCACATTGTAAACTTTCTTCTTGATGAATTGCCGAAGTTACTAAACCGAAAAATTTGCTATTATTATCTGAACTTGAGCTGACGTAATTTAGACGATTAGCTGGATATGTGGCAAGAATTGCATTATTACTATTGAGAAGATTTAAAGCATTTGGCAGGATATTCATCAACACTAAGGCAGGATTGCGTTTCTCTTGTCGCAATTTTCTTATACAACTTCGGACGGTTTGTAGTTTTGATGATGTAGCGATTTGTTTAGGCATTTCAATTGTTCCTAAGTAGCCAACCATGACACGGAATGATACACTTTCTGGACTGTTCATCAATGATGATGCTGCGTTTATTGGACTTGTACTGACCATTGCACTGACATTGAAGATGTCTGATTTTCCTCTTGCATTTGGGGAATGTATAACATTGTGAGCTTCAAACATTGGCAATGGAGGAGGCTCGAGAAAGTTGGAGCTTAAGAAGTTATGAGAGTATCTTGGATGTGGCTGTGGAAGTGGTGGAACTGTGTGATGAATATCAACTGAGCTTTGACCTTGCAGCTGCAACCTGTTGAGTCTAGTTTTACTATGAGGATATTTAGGTCGAAAGCGATGTTGATTTGCTGTTGCATCTTCATCAGAACTATCAGAGAAGTAATTATCAGCGATTGTTATTCTTATTTGATTGCCTTGTGATGCTCCAATCAAAGCGACAATCTCTTCATGATCTTTTTGCCAGACACTGTAACCATTCACTGATATTAAGAAGTCTCCACTTTTTAATCCAGCTAAATCAGCAGGAGACCCTCTGATTATTGATGAGAGAATACATGGCTGCTGTCCGGATATTGTGAATCCAAACTTTCCTTCAATGGCTTCAAGTTGAACATTTCTGATGTTTCTTGACCAGTTGGCCCGTTTTTTCTTTTTTCTTCTATGGAGATGCATTTTAAGACTACTAAAATAAAATAAATGAACATAAATGATAATTAAAAGTAGTTTTAAGAAAGGAATTTTTTAATTACCACAACTGTTGTGCAAAAAACTAGGCCATGAAATATTTTTCCTAAAATTCAGTCTGCTGTCACATTAAATGGCTTCAATTTCGGTAGAATTTAACAAAAGTCAAAAGAAATGAAAAAATTAAATCACTAATTCAGGATAAACTTGAAGAATAACACTAAAAACATATAAAACACGAAAAATTTAAGTGTTGTGATTGTCGTTGCTACAATATTCAGGGTTTTGCAACGAACTTTTAATGTTTGGAGAAGGAGTGAAGGAAGAATGCGAAATCATACATTCAATTAATAAATAAAATAAGGATTTTACTTTGGTGACACAAGCTTGTTAGAAACTTATTTTCGATCAATTTGAGAAGGAATATAAGCAGACACAAAACAAATACTAAATCCCTGATGTTGGATAAATTATGTTTGACAGTCGGTCAAAATATTTCAAGATTCAATTGTTGTTGTCAAAATGTTAGCTCTCCAAAAAACTCTACAAAAATTTTCATACCGGTTGAAATTAGTTCCTTTAAATAGAAATTCACTTAATATTATAAGAAACATGTCTGGAAATGACTCGAAAAAGTTGAAAGTAGAAGTTCCACCTAAGACAATCGGAACACATTCAGGTTAAAATTTATTTTTGTGTAACTATAAACAGGAATTAACAATGTCAATTGTAATAAATTTAGGCACGTTTCATTGTGATGAAGTTCTAGCTTGCTACATGCTTTCACAGCATCCGGATTTTCAAGACCATAAAATACTTCGTACTCGCAATCAAGACTTATTGGATCAGTGCGATATTGTCGTTGATGTTGGAGGCGTTTTTGATAGCAACAAGAAACGCTTCGACCATCATCAAAGCACATTTAATGAGACTTTCTCTAGTCTACGTCCTGAGTTGGACAAAACCGAAGATATAAAGTAAAATAAACTGAAATATAATTATCAGATAAACAAATTTAAATATAATTTCTTTCAGATTAAGTTCTGCTGGATTAATTTACGTTTATTACGGCGAAACAATAATTCAGGAAATTTTAAAGAAACTTAATTACTCCACTTTAACTGCAACTGAACTTAGCATAATCTTTGTAAAAATTTATAAAGGCTTCATTCGAGAAATTGATGGAATTGACAATGGAGTTCCACAATTTGAGTCTGAGCCACGATATTCAATCAGTACGCACTTATCGAATCGTGTAAAGAACTTCAATCCGGATTGGACCGATACAAAAACTCCTGAAGAGATTGATGAATTGTTTAATCAGGCAAAAGCTTATGTTGGAGAAGAGTTCCTCGATAAAATAAAGTATTACGGAAGTAAATGGTTACCAGCTCGTAAAATTGTTGAAGAAGCTGTTGACAATCGTTTCAAACTTCATCTTTCTGGAGAAATTATTGAACTTCAGCGTTTTTGTCCATGGCAAGAACACTTACGTCAAATTGAAAAAGAAATCGGAGGAATCGAAATAAAATTTGTTATTTGTGATGGAGGCTCAAATGACTTCAGAGTTCAATGCGTACCTGTAAAAGAAGGTTCGTTCGTATGTCGAAAATTCTTAAACAAAAAATGGTTCGGAATTCGGAATGAAGAATTGGAAAAAGTTTCAGGAATTGATGGAACTGTTTTTTGTCATGCAACAGGATTTATTGGAGGGAATAAAACTCGTGAAGGCGCACTAAAAATGGCTGAAAAATCACTCACAGATGAAGATTAAGAAAATACTTTTATTGCTTTTGTTTTTTATATTTCTTCAACTATATTTAGGTAAATAAAAAAGCAAAATAAAAAGATTCATTCACTTTCGTTACCTTCATTTTCACTTGAATCTTTTTCTTCTTTTTCAGTGTATTTGTCATATGAATGATCTCGAAGCCTTTTTCCAATCCAAATTTTCATTGAATTATCCCGAAGTTCAGTTTCGATAATTGTTGACATTATTTTAGTTCTGAAGAATTCCTCTACTTGATCATTCTCTGCTTCGAATGTAAGTGCTTCATGCATACCATCGGAACCATAACGATCATCATATCGAGTGTAATGAACAGTGTCCAATACAAGACCAAGTCCTGGAGCTTGTGGAACAAGAAGTTTTTCTTTCTTAAAAGCTCTTTCAACGATGTCTGTTCCAACGTATCCTCGCATAATGCCGATGACAAGACCAACCATTCTTCTTATCTGATGCATCATAAAAGATTGACCAGTAATCTTCAATCTCGCAAACTCCACTTCAGAGTTATCAGGAGTAAACGGCGTTTGACATTCGAATGACATGATACATCTAAACGCAGATGGATCTATCGGTTGCTTTCTTATTGTGAAGTTGTGGAAATTTTTGGTCCCCAAATACAAACTGAGAATCTTGTTAAGTTTCTCAAATCGCTCCGATGACAAACGGAAACTTGATTCATCAAATTCTTCACCATCTTCTGTGAAAGCATAAGTTGGGAGTGTGTAGGAGTACGTGCGAGCATCACAAGTAGATTTTGAATTAAATCCTTTCGTAACTTTCTTAACAGAAAATATTTTAATGTCTTCTGGTAGATCTTTGTTAATTGCATCAATGTCAACGCTTTCAGCTGTTTCGATTAAATTATTTCATTAATCTAAATTTAATAATTCAAACTCACAATTAACTTACGCAATTTAAGAGATACAATTTGTCTAGTTGCTGATACTCCTTTGTCTGTCCTCGCACATCTTTGGAATTGTGCTTGTTGTGGTAGTTTAAACCATTCTTCAGTTATCCATTTATGTTTAAGCATAGCTTTTAAAAGCTCTTCTTCTATCGTTGGTACATCAGGATTTCGTTGCATACCAAAGTAATTGACACCTGAATATCCTAAGAGAACTACAGACTTCTTTCTCTAGAATGATTGAGCTTAATTTAAAGAAATGTTTGTTTAGTAATGAAGTAAATTTTGTTTACCTTGATACGATCTTCTGGGTCAATTGGATTCTGTTCTAAACGAGCTTTTTTCGCTTCTTCTGACTCTTCTACCCATTCTCGTCTCTTGAATTTTCCATTATATCTTTCTTTCCTTATTTTATCTCTTTCTGTTTTCTTTTCTCGTACTTTTGCAATGTGTTCGTCAATTGCTTTTTCCATTGCTTCTGCAAAACCAGCGAATTTTCGATTAAAAGGATAAATACCTAAAATAAATAATGTTTTATAACAATCAACGATTTATGATGATTTATTACTTACAGTTTTGAACTACTCTAAATAGATTAGAAGGTCTTAGCATTTATAATATATAGTTTAATCCCGTTTTCCAACTTTCAATGTTTGTCAATATTTTAACCTCCAAGGAGCGTAAATGTTTAAAAGTTTTGTTCAAGAAATCACTAAACGCACTCAAAAAGAAAAACATTAAGTTGATCTCTTATAAAATTTCTTTGATTAAAATTTAAAATGAACGGATTATTAGGAAGCATTCTTAAAAAATCTCTACTACCCAGTGTAATACTAAAGAAAAACATAACTTCCACAAGTGCACTGTGTTTAAAACAAAGTAAATTTTCTTTAAATCTTTTTTGAAATAGAAAAAATAAAATTATTTCCATTTTGCAGTTGAAGTTAATCACGATGAACAGAAACAATCAGTTGTCATAAAAGGAAAATTTATAGATTCACCCAACAAGCCATATCTATTGAAAGAGTACATAGAATGTCAGAAGGAAAAGAAAAGATTCTGTCCAGAATGCACTCTCGGCTTAGACGTCAAGCATACTGACGTCTTAATTTTATCCCAATACGTAACTCCTGATGGAAGTATGCTACCACGAATAGCAACTGGCTTGTGTAAAAAACAGCAGAAGAGAATAAGAACAATGGTTGTAATGGCACAAAGAGCGGGACTTTTCGATAGAATTTCAAAAGTTACTAAAATTAATGATCCATTGTATAAACAATTGAAGAGTTGTAATTCGAAAGGAAGACGTTTGAATCGTTATTACTTTGAAGATACCATTAAAACCGACCGTATCAATTAAATTGTATATGTGTAGATATAATTCAACTGGAAAAGTGTATGAAATAAAACATTTCTATTAGAATATCAAAAGATTCTTCAATGTTTCATTGAATGTTTTTCTGTCGGTATAATTTTCAAGCATTAACGTGTCAATGTTTCAACTTGTTAAGTCGCATTCTTAAGATGGTTTTGTTAGAAGTTTGTGTTGATTCTATATTGTCGGCAGTTAATGCCTCTGAATCTGGGGCAGATAGAATAGAATTATGTTCAGCATTAAGCGAAGGTGGTTTGACTCCAAGCATTGGTTTATTCATGGGAGTAAAAGGAGCTGTAATTATCATCTCTTTTAATAATTAAACAAAATTAACATTTATGCATTTTAGCTTGCTAAATCAAAGACTAAAATATTTTGCATGATAAGAATTCGTCGTGGAGATTTCAACTACAGTGATGAAGAGATTGATGCAATGATAACAGATGTAGAGTATTTTAAAAAACATGCAGCTGATGGAATTGTTTTCGGTTGTTTAGATGAGTTCCAAAATATTCACAAAGAAAAATGTTTGAAAGTTATTAATGCTTGGGGAAATCAAGGAAATATTACATTTCATCGTGCATTCGATGAAACGAGTGCAAGTGATATGGAAGAGAACTTGAAAATTATTAAAGATTTGGGATTCTCAAGAATTCTTTCAAGTGGATACAAATCTTCAGCTGAAGTAGGGATTGAAAGTTTGAAGAATATTATAAAACGTGCTAGGGAAGATGACATTCAGCTTAAAGTTATGCCAGGAGCAGGAATAACAAAAGCCAACGTTTCTAAAATTATTACAGAAACTCAATGTAATGAAATTCATGCTTCAGCGAGATCTCCCGTGAAATCCAATACAGGAAAATTATCAATGGGTGGAGGAAATGAAGATCTACAACCATTAATGGTTTGTGATCCTATCAAAGTTAAGGAACTGATCGAAATATCTAAGAATGTTGTAATTTAAATTATATTTAAATTTTTATTTTCCATCATCCATGCCAATATAAATTTCTTTTAAATAGAAGTTACCTCATTTTGTCAGTGTACATAATTAAATAAAAATGTTTTTGTGTAGTTTTTGTTTTTGGTAATTGGTAACAGTACGAATAAACGACGAACAATTTCATTGATTCCGTCGACGTAAAACTGGATTTGGATTAAAATTAACGACAACTGTTTTAGCTAAAAGATCATAAATTAATTGGTTTGATTTGAAGAAGAAAATATATCTGAAGTATAATGGAAAAAGTAACGTCACCAACAAATTTTTGGCGCATGATCGAGCTAAGGCTCTAGCAAAAGTTAATTGTGTTGCTGGAAAAACTAATGCTCTGAATCCATGATGATTGATTTGTTCTTCAAGTGGAAGAACAGCGTCAGCTTGAAGAATTCTTATCCCCATAATAAGTTTCCCCGGTGTAGCGTGAAGTCTCACAGTGAAAAGTGCTTCATAAAGTGATGAAACAATTTTTGTAAGTATCTCGAGTAGAAGAAAATCACTACTGAAACTAAGTAGTTGGGTGTAGTCATCTTCAAGGAATTTCATGTCTTTGAAGTCGTTAATGTCAATGTCTAAGCCACTACAAAATCGAATATTTATAGGATATTAAATCAATTCATTAAAACGTTAAATCTTACATGTGAATATCAAAGAAATCCATAACGACAACAAAAAACAAAATTTTCACAATGAAAAGTATGACCGTGTCGATGACCTCAGCTAGGAATCTTTTATACAATGGACTGATCACTAACTCATATCCTCCGTTATTTCTTATAATTTCTTCTGTTCGAGCTGGATCGAACCATCTTCCTGAACCAAACTGTTGATTAGCTGCTGGTTGTTGTTGTTGAGAAATGTTCGTTCCTCCGTTTGCTGTTGGAACTGATGACTGATTTGTTTGAGTCATGGCTAATGGAAAATAAGCCATTGCACGGAATGCTGACTGTAGATTCACCCATTCTTGAAGAAGCTAAATAAATTACAAAAGAAATTTCACATCAGTTCAAAAGGACACATCAGATTTCTTCACATACACGAAAATATTCTTCTTTCGTCAGCTTTGAATCATTCTTGGGCGATAGCCTTGTGGCTTCAGTACTCTCTATCTTTGATTCTTCCATCTTAACTATTTATCTATATAAATTAAAGGACTGAAATGATGATCGATAATAAAATTGCAAGAGAAAATATGTAAACATTAATGTTACAAAAACTACTGACGTCCCTTTATATTTTAGGCGAATCCATGACAAAACTGAAAACGCCCCATTTTTAAATTTATAGAAACCGTTAAATTTTTTTATTCACATTTTAATTAAATCCTTTATTTAAATTAAGTTATAACTTATTGACGAGCCTTATGCGTTGGAATTTAATCCATTGTACACTTTGTTTATCGAAGATTGTGCGAGAATTTCTTTGATTTTCTCTTTCTGTTCATCAGAGAAGTCTTTCTTTGGGAATTCAACATCAAACGTTACATAAAGTGTCCCATGAAGATTGTTGTTATCAAAATTGGGCATTCCCTCTCCTATCTTACGAATACGAGCTCCTGGCCATGTTACTTTTTCACGAACAATCGACACTTTGTGTCCATCAAGATGGGGAATATCCATCGAAAATCCAATGAGAGCATCCTGAAAATAAGCAAAGAAATAAAAACTGATATTTACAATGAAGATTCCTGTAAACTTACTTGAAGAGATATTGTGACATTTGTATATAAATCATCACCTCGTCTTTCAAATCTTTTGTGAGGCATTTGTCTTACTCTGAAAAGGACGAAAATATTCATTAGTAAACATTTAAAATTAATTAAAATATAATTTTGGATTTACTTGATTATAAGGTCACCTGGCTCTCCATCCATGTGTGGTTCACCCTCAGCTATGAATTTTGTCTCATGACCATCTTGTACTCCAGTCTCAATTTCAACTTCAAGGATCCTTTCTTCATTTACTAATTTTACATTTGGACACTCATCGCAAACTGTTTGTTGCATCATTTGGAATCGTCCTGGTCCTAAGTTACGAGTAACCATTTCTTGACGGCAGTTACACTGTCGTGTTCCAGAGGCTGGTTTTAAAACTGGTTTATTTCTCGTTATCTACAAACATAAAAACTGATAATGTTCAGTTGTCAATGACAAATCAAATTGTTATGTTACTTCGACAAAATTTCCTGTGTACATCTCTTCGAGAGTTGCATAGAGATCCATCACTATATTGGCACCCTTGTGAGCCTCATTTCTCTGTTCTTGGCCACCAAAGTTAAAACCGAAATCTCCAAAGAAACTTGCGAATGGATCCATTCCTATGTAATGTTAATATTCGGAAAAAAATAATTAATATTGCATTAAAGGGTTTTATAATCTTTCTAATTGACTCACCTCCATCCATCATTCCTTCTTTCTTCACACATTCCTCCCCACATCGATCATAAAGTTTACGTTTATCTTCGTCACTAAGAATTTCATAAGCTGCTGACAAATCAGCAAACTTTTCAGATGCATTAGGATCATCTTTGTTCTTATCAGGATGTAATTCTTTAGCTAATTTCCTGTATGCCTTTTTAATTTCATTTGTATTTGCATTTTTCTTCACATTAAGGATTTTATAAAAATCACGATTAGCATAAGAAAATTCACTTGTAAAAATCAACACGAGCAGACAATTTAAGATTACGCTATAAAGTAAATTTAATTGATTCATCTTTAGTTTATTAGGTAGTCTATATTTGAAGTAATTGTGTTGTTCTTTAATTTATTCTACTAAGAATTTAAGTGACAAAAATCCGCTCGTCGACAAAAAACCACGACAGTTGCTCTGATTGGTTAAAATTTACAAGGGGTAGAAAATTATTGAATCATCATTTGCTTCTCACTTTCTGTCCCTTCGTAATTACAACAACAAAAAATTGAAATTAGCATTTGTGTAATTTTCTTTGATAAAAACTAAAAATGAGTGAAGAATCAGCAAAGTTACGTATGAATTTAGTAGCTATTCAAAACGCCGACCCATATGCAAAAAAAATTCTTGACAGTAGTCCTCATGTTGCGTTCTATAAGTTTGTTAATTCCGAATGGGAAAAATCAGAAATTGAAGGTGAGTTTTACAAAGCTTTTTCTAAAAAATTTACATCATCTAATCCACCTTCAGGCTCTTTCTTTGTGTATTCGCGTGTCGCCGAACCATTAAACAGCATTTTTATCAACAATCGTCTGAATACAAATTCTCTGGTTGAACCGATTACAAAGCAAATTGAGTTACAGTCTCAGCCTCCATTTCTTCTCTACCGAAATCAAAGATCAGCAATATCGGGATTTTGGTTTTACTGTAAGGAAGATTGCGTTCGTGTGCATTCTCTTCTGGAGAATTTGATAAAGAAATGTAACAATGCAAAGCCTTCAGACAATAATGGTAACAACCATTCATCAACATTGCATCAGCAACAATTTAATAAACAACAATTCGAAATTGCTCGAAACGGAGCACAAAATAAGGATGTTGATATTTTTTCAATGCTAAGCAAGGCTCAGGAAGATTTCAATAATGCAGGAACATCCGTACCTGATAAGAATGTTGGTCCTCAGCTAAACCAAGCATTTGCTGGAATGCAATTGAGCAATAATGTTCCTCAACAACATCAGCCATTAATGAAACAACTATCGACAACCATGCCTGATATCACATCACCAAATGTCGTTAGTTTCTTTGCAGCTGCACAACAACCAAATGGATTCGTAAAACCCGATGGATCTCTCATCCAATCTCAGATTAACAAGCCCATTGTCGTCAACCATGCAATTGTTCCTCCGGTGCAAACTCTTGATGAGATTGAAAAACAACACCGAGTATCAGCATCGCCGACACAACCGCATTTGATAAAATCTGATTTCAATAACTTACTCAACTCAGTGGCACAACAGCAAAAGCAGTCAATTTCTCCTCAACCGGTAAAGTTACAACAACCAGGAGCATTCCAGCAGCAAGCAAATAGCAACAAACCAACATTGATCACTCCAGCAATGTTCCAGGTCAGTAACAATATTGTCGAAGAGAAGCCATTAGCACCAGTGCCAATTCAATCCAACATTCGTCCTGAACCTTTAACACAAAATCAACTTCTCCAAGCATTGAATTATATGCTCGAAACTGATCCCGAATTCATTCGAAAGATTCACGAGGCTTATGTCAAATCATTCAATAAGATTGTGTCACTCTAAATGGAACAACAAATCAGCTGCAGATGAAGATGAAGATCCGATAAGATTCGTAAATTTATTTTATTTTCAACATTCTAAGAAATTTTAAAATCAGAAAAAATCTTTCAATTTTAAGAAATGTAAAAATTGACACAATAATTTGTTTTAAAGCGTGTCAGTTTCCTTTCAATAAATCTAAATCATGTTGTTACATGTAAGAAACAGAAAAATTATTTCCCCTTCACTTTATGGATGTAATAAAAATAATTCAGTAAATTCTTATCAAAAAAAAGTTTTCTTAATTTTATTTTTATAAAAAGGAAATCAAAATTTCAGTGAAGACGATTGGGATCTTCCAGTTCAATGACTTCCATTCCAAGACTATCAAGACTCATTGCATCAACGGCTATTTGTTGTTGCAATCGATTCATTTCATTATTCTCAGAATCTGATCGTATTGCGATGTTTATTGCTTGTAAAAGTGGAAGGTTGGAAGTGTCTGCGTGATTGTGAATTTTAATTAAATGATTTTTCATACTTGATCGGTATGCAAATGAAAGATCGCAAAATTTGCAGGAATATCTAGAAAAGATGTGGAAGTTGAATGACTTGTATAAGTCAATGATAGAAAACTTACGGCTTTTCTTTTGTATGAACTCGCAAATGAACTTTTGCATTCTTTGATATGCTGAATTTTTTATCGCAGTATTTACACGAGTATCTGAATGAGAACATTAAGATAATTGTCAAAATTATTATGAATGAAAAGAACTTACGGCTTCTCTCCTGTATGTGTCCGATAATGTTTTGTTAAATCATATTTTGCCAAGAAAGTCTTCTCACAAATATCACACGAATGATTTCTCTCTTGTCGGTGAGTCTTCTCATGATAACGCAAAGCTCCAAGTCGATTGAATCTGGCTCCACATAAACTACATTGATATTTTCTGTCTTCTTTATTATGAACAACTAAATGTTTTGTTACTGAAGATGGATCAACAAATGTTCGTTCACAACCTGGCTCGGGACATTTATAGTTACGAATATTTAAATGCGAATTAACATGACGCTTTAGTTGACCAGATTGCGTGAAACTTTTACTGCAGTAACTACATTTGTGTCGTTTCTCTCCTGTATGTGTCAACATATGAATTTGAATTCCTTTTACGAGCTTTCCACACACTTGACATTGAGAGTTTTTTCCTCTGTAAGATTTTCTCACTTTATCCAACCTTCCTAATACTTTAAATCTTTTCGAAGACTTTGAAGAAATTTCTTCTTCTACATCTTGCTCTTCATCAGTCATTTCTTCAACTTCTTCAATGTCATCATCTTCATTTATACTTCGTTCAAGACTTTGAAGGGTTTGATCATTTTCTTCTTCCAAATTGTCAGATTCTTTAATTTCATGATCATTTGATTTGTGTGACTCTAAATCATAACGAAAACTTTCTAGTTCAGTTTGTACTTTTGATAAAATCTCAGCATTAAATTCAGAACGTTTCAAAAAAGAACTAAGCTCTTGGATGTTAGTTTTACATGAATAGCATATTAAATTACTCATTTTAAGGTCAACCTTCTCTAAAATCTGAAAGATAAGTTAAGCAATAAAGTAAAAAATATTCAAAAATAATAAAATAATTTCTCACATTTTCATGAAAGACATGATGAATTTGATCAATAAATTGATTAGTTTCTAATAATTGATCATCAGAGGAATCGTCATAAATTTGAAGGAACTCAAGTGAAGAAGTGTTAACTCGGCAGCAAAATCGACATAAATTACTAAAATTATCCATACAGTAATCGTAATAAAGTTCTTCACCATGTTGAGTTAATAATTTCCCGATTTCGGAATCATCTTTAAATTCTGATATCTTATATCTCGATATTGCATTTGTGTAAATCTTTTTACATTCTTCAATCGTAATGTTAAATTCTTTTGAAACAATTCTAAAAATATTTTCATGAATTAATATTTTTCAGATATTTTCTATTAAATTTATAAGATTTATACTTACTCCCAACATTTCGCTTTACTTGATTTCGGTATCTCTTCTTTCAACTCTATTATTTTTATCAGAATATCTTCCTCAATTTTATTTTCTGTTGAATAGAAATTTGTTACAGTCTGTAATTAATTTTTAAATCGATATAATATTACGGGAATCACATATCACCGAAGAAGAATTTTCGGTGACTCTATCATTCATGTTATACTGTTGAATGTATCAAAATATTGACTAAAACAATAATGAATTAGAGAAAACTTTTATGACAGGAAAAATTCTACAAAAACTATAAATGTAAACAAACAAAGCTAAGAGTGTGTTCAGTTTCATCCAACATAAACATTGAGTGCGTTCAAATTGTTGTTTAAAAATTTTTTCTAAAAGTTTACAAAATTGAGATTTATTTTAATACAGTTATAATTTAGCTAACTTTGCTAAATCTTTCTGAAAGAGTCTGTTGAACCCTATACTTCAAATTTTCTGGCATTTAGAAATCTTCTTAAAACACGGTTTAATCATGATTCAAAACATTTACACAGAACAAGATGAAATTGTAAGTCATGGCCTCATGATTGTTTGTGAAGTTTGTGGTAAGGCGATATCAAGATTAGATTATGATCGACATATGAAAACACATAAAGAAAAACGAGTTGAAGTCTGCAATATTTGTTTCAAAGCATTCACCAGTGAGTATTTAAAAAGGTTTCCTGGAAATTTGTTTTGTTTTCAATCATTTCTTAATATTTTTCAGACCTTTCAAACTACAAATACCACTTGGCTCATCATTCAAATGAACGACCATGGTTGTGCAATGAATGTCCAAAAAACTATAAAACAAAAATAGATTTACTTCAACATCAAAGAGTTCATGATAAAGCTCGAGATCCATTTCATTGTGAGACTTGTGGACAATATTTCAGAACTCGAAGTAATTTCAACACGCATTTAAGGACACATAGTGTTCGTGGGCCTCAGAAATGTACAATTTGTGACAAAACATTTGTTAATCTGAGATCTCACATACAAATGGTTCATCAGAAAATTCGTCAACACATTTGCAGTATTTGTTCAAAAGCATTTGGGAAGAAGTCTGGACTTGATCGTCATATCATCACAGTTCATGAGAAAATGAAATGTTGGGCTTGTGATTTATGTGAGAAGAGTTTTGGTGAGAAGGCACAATTATTGAGACATCGAAAAATTCATTTCAAGCCATCTTGTCAAGAACCTGATCCAACACAAGTGACGGAAGATCGAGAAATATTCTTTAAAGATAAAACTCGAATGCAATGCGGATTTTGTAAGAAAATCGTCAATTCAAGATCCGCTCTTAAACGACATAAAATGTTAGTTCATGAAAAGAAAAAGAATTTGTTATGCGATTTCTGTCCGAAATTATTTGGTAAGTTATTAAACATCAAATAATTATGAAATGAAATTAATTTAAATGTTTTGTGTTTTCAGGAGAAAAATCGAATCTTATGCGCCACATTATGAAGTCACATAGAAAAGAATCAGAATTTGATAATTATAGTGATGAATTTTTTTGTGTGAAAGAAGAAATTAAAGGAGAGAGAATTGAAGAATTTTCCTGTTCAACTTGTAGTCATGTTTATTCAACAAAATGGAAATTGGAAGCTCATGAAAGTCAATGCTTAATATTGCAAGAAGAAAAATTAAATGACGTAGAAGATGCTTCAGAGATGCATGACTTTGACACAGAACAAGTCTTTTTAATGGCTGATGAAGAGAATGAAGCAGTTGAAGTGAAATCGGAACCAAATTTTGTTGATGAAAATTATGAGAATGTGACAACTCACATCGTTGTTCATGCAGAAACTTTCGAGCAGGAACCTCTCGATATGAAAATAAAAGAAGAAATGATTGTTGATGAAGATGAAATTATTGAAGAATATCTTGATCCATACGAGATTCAGCCTGAAGCAGAAAACGGGAAAGATGATGAAATTGAAATATTTAATGAATATATTAGTGAAGACAATGAAGAAAATTTCATTCATCAAAACGCTGTCGATGATGGAATATCAGAACCTGAAGTGACGTTTTTGAAGCGTTACAAATGCAAACTTTGTCCAAGCACATTCAAAGAAAAGCGATATTTTCAATCACATTTTGAAACAGTTCATGGAAAGAAGAGAAATCTCAAATGTGGCATTGATGGGTGCAACGAAATGTTCATTTATCGTGCACAACGTTTAAGACATCATCGTTTGAAACATCCTGAAATTTACGAAGAATCTGACAACGATGAAAGTTTTCAATGTCAAATTTGTGATTTGTTATTTGAAGATTCAAAAGATTTGAATGATCACCTGAAGAAGGATCACGAATTAAATGATGACGATGAGAATAGTCGAACTTGTGATATTTGTGTGCCAATTAAAAGTTTCAATAATGGAGAAGATCTTATTAATCATGTTCACTCTTTTCATTCGGATAAAAGAACTTACAATTGTGAACAAATTTCGGAAAGTTTTCCATTGGAACGCCATATAAATGATGTTCACAACAATCTTTGTGAGTTCAGTGACAACGACGGCACAATCAATCATGATGAGAAAAATAAGAAAAGCAACAAATCTGAAAGAACTTGCAAAGTCTGCATGAAAGTATTTAAGAAAGTAAAATACCTCGAATTACATTTCTCAAGTGTTCACACATCAGAACCACAATATTCATGTCCGATTTGTAATCGAAGCTTTTCATTTCGTCGATCAATGCAACGACATATCCAAGCAATTCACGAAGATCGAAGAGATTTCAAATGCACATCAGACGGTTGTCAAAAAGCTTTCCGATGTCGTTATGATCTGAATGAACATTTCAATAATATTCATGCGGAAGTCAAGAAGAAACAACCAGTTGAGAGTGTGACTTGTGATGTTTGTGATAAAATTTGTTCATCAAGAAAAGTTCTTTATTCGCATAAGAAAATGGTTCATGAAGGTGGGGCGTTAAATTTGAATGTATAAATTGTGTAAGGAAAACTTTGAATCGATATACAAGAAAGCTAAACATTGGGGACAAGTTCATCGTTTCGGTGAAATAAAAACGAGAACGTGTCATTTATGTGGAGCTGACTTTCAGTTATTTAACGACTTCAAACTTCATATTGAGTCACATGTCGGGTATTTCATCTGCATAACATGCGGTCTTTGTTTTCCTGACGAATCGTCACTTTTCATTCATATTGAGTCACATCGTAAGATTGAAGAAGAATTGCGACTGTTTGTTTGTGACGTTTGTTCTTATCGTATATCAACGAAAGCTCAACTTTTGATTCACATGCGAAAACATTTTTCTTGCGATCACTACATGTGTGATGTGAGTAAATAAATTAAATAATTTGTAATCAAATTTTTAATTGAAACTTTTAATAGATTTGTGGGAAATTTTATAAATTCATTACGCCGTTTCTTCATCATAAAAAGTGTCACGATAATAGATTTGACTTTCCATGTCGTTACTGTGAAAAGAAGTTTCGAGTAAGTCGTGATCGGATGCTTCATGAACGAACACATACTGGAGGTGAATATATTCTTTTAATTAACTTAATTAGACATTAAAATATTTTCTTATTGACAGAACGACCGTACAAATGCGAGCAATGCTTTAAAAGTTTTTCAGCGAACTACTTCAACCATTTGAAGACGCATGAATCGAAAGCATTCATTTGCAAGACTTGCGGCTTACAAGTGACGTCTGAAACGAAACTTCGACAACATATTGATAACGAACATCCGGAAGAACGACCATTTCGGTGTTGTCATTGCCGGAAATCTTTCAAAGCATCGCACACTTTAGAAACTCACAGGCAGAAGTGTGAAGTGTCACTTGGTGTTCATGATAACAAAAGATTTTTAATACCAAAATTTTAATGAATTATGGAGATGTATTAGATAATAAAACTTAACAATAAAAGAGTTATTACAATGTGATCACAAATTATGATTTTTATGATAAATTTCAATGTTTTTCTGTTGTGATGAAGAACAACGAAAATTATTCCTTAACAATGCAATGTCGTGATTTATACGAAAAAACTTCTGAAGACTTTTATCTCTGGACAATTACTGATGACAGAAATCTTGCTCAAGATGATATGAAGAAATTAATGGACGGAAAAAGATAAACTTTAATGGTCACAAATCTTCAAACACTAAAATGGAAAAAAAAATTAAAATAAATTTGATTTTGACGCAGATGTGGAAATTTCATCAATGAATCAAATACAATCTGTTGATACCAGGATGACTGAAAATCAGATGAAAATATCATCAATCATGAACTTTGGCGGTTTTTTCTATTAATCTTACAGAGGCGATTTAATCTTTTCTCAGAAAATATTTCGAGGCTTTAAAAGTTTAAAGAAGAAGAATCAAAAAACTCTCAAAACATTTGTTTTTCACTAATTACAAAACCTTTTTAATAAATTAAATTTAATTTATTTTTCTTTTTTTGTATTTACTCATTATTAAATCAATTTTCCGTTTACCTCCAGCAAGTTCTTTTACAACTTCCGGTTGGTTTATCAATTCATCTTTCAGTGGTTCATCAAACATTGATTGAATGACTTTAAATGCTGAAGTCTTCAACCCATCACAATTGAAACGACACGCAAGTTCGAATATTTCAATCGCGTTGTCATTGCTTAGACCGTTTATGATAATCCCTTCAAGAATTGTCATTAAATTCTCTACTTTGAACTTGGCTGCGAGAGAGAAAAGCTGCAACAAATTTGAATTTTCTTCTTTTTCGATTTCATCTGTGTAGAGAAATTTCAGGAAAATTTTCACAGTTTTTGTATTTATATTTTTCATATGAATTTCATCAGATGGTCGATCCTTCATCTTATCTTCGAAAATTGAAGTGAAAACTGGACTCTGAACAGCTAAAACAACTTTATGTGCTTTGAATTTCTCAGTGTCAGTGACAATCGTGATGTCCGCGAAACGGCCAGTCGTCCAAAGTGTTCCGGTCGTGAACCACACGACTGCACGCCTCGATGTCCCCGTCCAAACTGACTCGTCACTCGCACTAATACCAGCGAGTAACCGAGTGCCGCGCCCCTCTCAATCCTACCGGTACACTCCCCCTTTCGTTTATTTTTTTTTTTTTGATTTGTTTTGTTTTGTCTACTTGCTTGCAGAATTTTGTTTTGTCTTATAGATATGGACATTTGCTATCCTTTAAAAAATTTGATTTTAAAATAAAAAAAAAT